TTGATGTCTGTACGAATTTCTTCTTTAGTATCCATATTTGTCGTTTCATAATTTTTTAAGCAGGAAATGCGTGCACCGAAGAGTCTCATTTAGCTTGGATTCATTGAGATTAGTTGGCATTTTAGTGGGATAAATTATAGATGGCATTAACTCCGCCTATATTGTATAGTAGGTCCCAAGTCTGGATAAAGAAGGAGGGTTGTGTTAGGCTCTCGACAGCCAATGTAAAAGCCGGTCGAATCTCATGAATATGGATCAACGAAGTAAGTACGCTAATGCTAGGTCGTTGCCCAGAAGTGATGTGCTGTATGGCTCGAGTACAGTGAGAAATGAGCTAGAGCCGCTGCATCGTCACCCGGATGTAGTGTTAAATAAGCGAGGGTTACTGCACTCTCTTGGACGGAGGCAGCTAAAGAAGTTAGTTCATGAGACTGAGATTAGATTTGGCACTTGGAATATTGGGACGCTGAATGAGAAATCTATGGAAATAGCAGGAGTTATGAGGGACAGAAGGATTAATATCTTGTGCCTCCAAGAAACCAAATGGACTGGAGAAGCTGCCAAGAAACTTGGAGAGTATAAACTTTGGTATACAGGAAAGGTGAGTGCAAGGAATGGGGTTGATATCATCGTTGATGGAACATGGAAAAGAAACATGGTAGAGGTTAAAAGGTTTAAAGACAGAATAATATCGTTAAGAGTAATTGTTGGAAAAGATACTATCAATATCATTAGTGCCTATGCACCTCAGGTTGGGGCAGAGACACACCTTAAAGATAAGTTCTGGGAAGATATGAAGGGGTTGGTTCAAAGCATACCACTCGAAGAAAAAAATTTTATCGGTGGGGACCTTAATGGACATGTCGGTAAGGAAGCAGGACAATTCAGCGGGGCCCATGGTGGTTTTGGTTTTGGGGAGCTTAATAGTGGAGAACAATCTATTCTCGACTTTTCTCTTGCATATAATCTTAAGATTGTCAACACTTGTTTTAAGAAGCGAGAGGAGCATTTAATCACGTACAAAAGTGGTGTCTCAAAATGACAGATTGATTTCTTTTTTGTTAAGAATCCAGATAGAAGATTGTGTACTAATTGCAAAGTGATTCCAGGAGATGGGGTGACTGCCTAACATAGAGTACTTATTCTTGATGTACGTTTTAAGAGTATCAGGCAAAAGTATCATCAAGTGGTAAAACCCAGGGTTAGGTGGTGGCAGTTAAATGGTGAAAAATGAGAGTTATTCAAAAGGACCCTTGTGGAGGAAGGGATTTGGGAGTCGCAGGGAAATGCAAACATGATGCGGGAAGAGATAGCTACAAGGGTTCGTTTGGTAGGTAAAGAAATTTTGGGAGAATCCAAAGGTCCTAGTCAGAGAGATAAGGAGACTTGGTGGTGGGATAAGAGTGTGCAAGAGAAAGTCAAACAGAAAAGAGATTGTTTTAAGGCCATACACTCGTGCAATAGTGTAGAAAACCGGGAAAAATATCAGTTGGCTAAAAAAGAGACGAAGAAAACAGTGAGCGAAGCACATACTAAAGCTTATAAAGGGTTTTATCAGGAGTTAGGAACAAAGATGGGAGAAAGAAATATTTACAAGATTGCGAAGCAAAGGGAGAGGAAAAAGAGAGATTTGGACCAAGTAAAGTGTATAAAGGATGAAGATGGTAAAGTGTTAGTTACTGATGGTGATATTAAGGACAGATGGGAGGCTTATTTTTACAAGTTGTTTAATGAGGGAAGCAATTATGCGACTCAGGACTTACAGGACTTGCTAATTAACGAAGATGATCAGAATTTGGCTTTCTACTGCAGGATTCGTATTGGAGAGGTTAAGGCAGCTCTCAAGAAAATGGACAATGGAAAAGCCGTTGGGCCTGATGGTATCCCTATTGAAGTTTGGAAATGTCTGGGAGATGAGGGTAAGGTGTGGCTAACCAAGCTTTTTAATGAAATTTTACGTTCTAAGAATATGCCAGATGAGTGGAGGAGAAGTATTTTAGTTCCTATTTACAAGAATAAAGGAGACATTCAAAACTGTGCAAGCTACAGAGGGATAAAACTTATGAGTCATACAATGAAGTTGTGGGAAAAAGTGATGAAATATAGGTTGAGGCTGGAGACTTCTATTTCAGAAAACCAATTTGGATTTATGCCAGGGAGATCCACTTCGAAAGCAATCTATTTACTAAGAGGGTTAATGGAAAGATATAGAAATAAAAGAAGGGATTTACATATGGTCTTTATTGACCTGGAAAAGACTTACGATCGTGTGCCAAGAGAAGTAATGTGGAAGGCTTTGGAAAAAAAAAAGTGTATGGGTTGCTTATATCAAAACCATACAAGATATGTATGAGGGGGTAACTATCAGTGTAATGACGCTTGGAGGTGAGACAAAGGATTTCCCTATTCAGATTGGCCTACATCAGGGATCCTCTTTGAGTCCGTACTTGTTCAATATTGTTCTGGATGTTCTAACTGAACCTATTCAAGAAAGAATCCCTAAGTCCATGCTTTTCACGGATGATATAGTTCTCATGGCGGAATCAAAAGAAGAGATTAACACTAGATTGGAGTTATGGAGAAGGACGTTGGAGTCGAAAGGTTTCCGCTTGAGCAGGAACAAAACAGAATATATGCATTGTGATTTTGGGGGAGGTAGGGCAATGGGGATTTGGAGGTGAAGATGGGGGAGCAAATCATTCCTCAAGTATCAAAGTTTAAATACTTAGGATGTATTATATAGGAGGATGGAGAAATTGATGGAGACGTTTCTCATAGAATACAAATTGGTTGGTTAAAGTGGAGGAAAGCTACTTGAGTTATTTGCGATAAGAAGGTATTTGAGAAACTTAAAGGAAAATTTTATCGGACTGCTATAAGACCGGCTATGTTGTATGGTAGTGAATGTTGGGCAATAAAGGGAAAACAAGAGCAGAAAGTTGGGGTAGCAGAAATGAGGATGTTGAGATGGATGTGTGGTCATACAAGAAAAGATAAGATTCGAAATGAAAATATCAGAGCAAGAGTCGGTGTGGCACCTATCCAAGAGAAAATGGTTAAAAATCGTTAAGATGGTTTGGACATGTGTAGAGAAGGCCATTGGAAGCCCTGGTGAGGAGGGTGAATTAGACAAGATGGAATCCCATAAAAAGGAACAGAGGAAGACCAAGAAGAACGCTTAATGAGGTCATTGAACGAGACCTCCTAGTCAATAACATATCTAAGGACTGGGTTGTTGACAGAACACGATGGCGTCGTATAATTCATGTAGTCGACTCCACCTAGTGGGATAAGGCTTGTTGTTGTAGATCTTGTAGAAATTATAGATGGCATTCTTTAGGAAGTAAAATTTGCCTGTTGTTGATATGCAGATTATGAGCTTGTTTGGACCTCCATTCAAAACAGACTTTTAAGCAAGTTTACGTAAGCCGAGATAAAATTTTCCTCGCATACTTACTTCGTATTCTGTAAATCATGTTTGAAAAGTTACTTATAAGTCAATCCAAACAAGTCCTGCCTTATCTCTTTTCCTTGAAAAAAAGTGACTTTATTAGGAGGTGAAAAGTACATAGAACTAGGATAAGATCATAAGAAAGAATTAACTCAGGTTCTATGACCTGATCTCTTTGTCAGCCCTTCCTACTCAACTCCTAAGAGATAAAATGGGCAAGAGCAGTCAGAAAAAGCAAGGCTACCAAAATAGGTGTGGTGTGAGAAGAAACATCTTTTAAATCACCAGACCTTTTTGCTTCAACCACAGGCACCGCGACACTAAGCAATGGGAGGACACCTTTCACTCCCTTAGTCCTTCCGTGAACCAAATTCTATAAAACCAGAACAATATTCTAGAGACCGGATTAAGGCCAAATGCCAATCCCTAATTTTCGATGCAACCTCAACATGCTAAATTTTTGTTTGTCTCTGAACTCCAAAAGGGCAAAAACAAATCGGAAGAATTAGGAGGAAGAACCTTGTTAGATGTATATATGAATTTGCAATTGATATTATGTAAATCTTGAATCTTTAGTTTCTATATTTGGTGCTTGCAGTTTTCTTTTGGCCATGAGTACTGGCAGTATCTTTGATTCAAAAATATGGTGGAAAAACTACAAACACACTCATGTCGTTATAGGATTTACATATTTCCTAATTCGTGTTAGTTCCTTTTTGTGTTATTACTAATCACCATGTCGCTAAATATTAATTTGATATAGCTTCGAGCAGTTATGTCAGCTAAAGCTCTGTGGACATTATTTGGTACTAGGGTTTTCAATGATGTTGAAGACCCATCTGTATTGATTATTGTTTGGATCTTAGCATGGAATATCTAAGCTCTGGACCCCAGTTCTAAATAGCAAGTCTTATTAGCTTGATATTTTTTGCCCACCATTTGCTGATTTGTTGCATGTAATGGTCAAGGCCCAACTCCACAGTTAAAGTACCTCAATAATGATATCAACGATCTAAAACCAGCTGTGAAAGTCTTTAGACAATAATGCTCCTCCCTCTCAGTACTGGGCAAGCTTGATATTTCACAAAGGGCAGGCAACAAACATGAAAGTAGATCATCAAAATAATAGAGATTATTGTTTGATAGATCATTGCTTTTCTGTGTGCCGCGATTCTATGTGCTATGCCCTGACCGTTTTTTATTCCTTCTTAAATTAAGCTCACATTACTTGACTAGCTCTAAAGGGAGCAGACTGTAATTTTAGTCAGACAGTGCTTCTAGAAAAATCCTGAGATGTTGTACACTGGAATCGGACTAAGATGGGTTAAACTTACACGGACTTTATAGTGCTGATGTGCTATGTGATGGGAACATTTTCTTATAGCAACCTTTTTTCTGAAGTACGCGTACTTCTAAAATAAGAGGGTATTGTGATCTTTTTTCATTCTTACTTATCTTAGGTCTTTTTTATACTCAGGAATTTTGTAGACCAGAGTGCATGCCCCCACCTGCTTTACCTTTCTGAGGAAGAAAAAAGTATTGAAGAGCTTTGAGTATTCTTCGTCGGTAGTAAAGACAAATTTCCCTTGGATACGGACCTAGTGGCAAATGACTGAGATGAACTCTGCATAGAAGAAAGGAGTATTTCCTGAAACTGTTTCCACCACGGATGGACAAATTCGTGAAATTACCTAATTTTGATTTGAGCGACTGCCTCTGCTCCCTCAGCCACAACACCGCCCACTCCAAAAATACATAAATAAATCACTTAAATGGTTTCTTTCTTTTCATTTTTTTTTTATATTGTATCCGTATCAGTTGTGCCAACTTGTTGGGAGATATTCCAAGTTAACTCAACTCTTAAGGAAGGGATCTCTACGAATTTTAACAGAGTCAAAGACACGCTGCAATAATTTACTCTCTGAAGTGGGGCAGCAATCATAGCCTCTCTTCCTAACCATAACCGACATGTGCAAAGAGGATAACTATCACCGAAGCATTGAATGGCTCACCCGAAAGACTCCAAAGTACTAAATTGCAGCTCCGCCGACCCGACTCCAAAACAAGCCAATACCTCAACCTCACTTTCTCCTCTTGATGAATACTTTACCTCGTAACTCGTAAGCCCATCTCCCTCCCTCTCTCTTGGTTTCCTCTCACATAAATACACACTGCCAAAAGTTCCTTGAGATAACTACAACCAAGAGTCTAACGCAGAGGACTCTGAAAACTTAATGCCTTGTGGCCAAAGGTCTCCAAAAATGCTCGCCATGCTGAGCCGCCATCACACCTCGAGCCCCTTATCCAACCAGTGTGGCTCGAACCAGGTTCAGATCATAGACGCACCACTGCCTCTGGTTTGGTCCCTGATCAGGAAATTTGATCACCCGCAGCGTTACAAGCAGTTCATAAAGAGCTGTAACATACTGGCTGGTGATGGTGGGGTTGGCAGTGTGCGTGAGGTTGAGGTTATGTCCGGCATGCCAGCCGGAGTTAGCTTGGAGAGGCTGGACAAGCTTGATGATGATCAGTATGTGATGAAGTTTAGCATGATCGGTGGGGATCACCGGCTTTTGAATTACAGGTCCACCATCACTCTGCATGAGGAGGATGGTGAAGGATTTGAAGGGAAGACGGTGGTGATAGAGTCGTACGTGGTGGATATTCCGGCAGGGAGCAGTGGGGAAGATACTTGCTCTTTCGCCAACACTATCGTAGGTTGTAATCTAAGGTCGTTGGCTAAAATTACAGAACAGATGTTTTGTAAGACTGACACTCACTGAGGATGTCATGGTTTGCTTTAGATTATTAATTACCATGTTTGTTGTGTTTGTGGTGTTCACTATACTTGATGAATTGGGTCTTGAACTGATTAGTGTCTCGTGGATTGAATTTCTATGTAGGATTTATCTCTGTGTTTGTTGTGCCCGATAAGATTGTAAAAGCAAAAGGCCAAGGAACCTCATGGATATCATGTTACAAGTTGTGAGAATAGTCGGTATCATTTTGGAGCCGTGCTGCTTTGTGGATACGGTGCTTTTCGTAGATATTTTCACCCACGACCCAACCATTTAAATGTTTGACTCAGAACATTAGAACTTGTTTACAATTAATTTACCTGACGATGTGTCGTTATTATGTTTTGGTGAAACTTGTCATTGTCAAAATTAACATTCGGATAAGCTCAACTTCACCAAATGAGCATGTTATTTTTTTCACTCCTAAGCTGAGGTCGCGTGCAGGCACCTTCCTATCTCTTTATGCATCATCGATGAGAAAAATAGCGCAAAAATCTTGATTCAAACAGAAGAGAACTGCAAAGGAGGGGTCTTAAGTTGTCTTGAGGAAACCTTATCCTGCGGCCTGCAATTAAAAAATATCACAGGGATTGCGGTTTAATTTGTGGATTTTAGTTTATGGAGCTAATAATTGAGGGTCAGTGTGTAACTTGTTTGGTGAGAAGGTCATCTCATGGGGACTTTAGAGGGGCAAATTGTGGTTTGCATGTCAGTTTCAGGTCAGAAGCGGAATTTAGGAAGCTTGCAAGTTTGAGAACTACTCACAGTCACACAGCAGAAATTCCATATTGCGAAAGCAATCATATTCTTTGATCCTATGATTACTGCAAATTCCAATACTTCATTCTCCTTGATTACATTCCTTTTCCTTGGTGACGGGGTTTCTTTTCAGCATCCACTCAACTTTTATGAGGATTATTATATATTACGAGTATTTTCGGTCTTAAATAGAAGAGCTAGTGGATTAATTTAAGTAGATTAAGAAAAATCAATTAAGTTAGTTATTTGTAATAAATAAGTATTATCTTTCTTAAAATATCTTTATTAATCAAATTTATTAGTTAGAACTACTATTATTATAACGACAATCTTAGAGAAAAAAAAGATAAATGTGAGAGACATATTGGATTTGGTTTTATATTTATGACCAAAATAAAAGTTAAATGAGTTCTTATATTAAGAACCGGAGGTAGTATAATTTTATTTATTATAATGATAGTATTCTCCTCCATAAGAACAGTCTAAAAAAAGTAGCTTTAACTTTGGAAAAATTGCAATAAAATATCGAAGAAGAAACATATTCAACAAAAAAGTCATGTAACAATAGAATATTTTGTAAATAACCGATTTCAGAATAAAAAATAAAAATAAATTTAAGCTATTTATTTGTAAATAACGATTCAAAACCTTCAGTTAGAAAGTGAGGGGGAAAATCTGGCCCAAAATAAAAAAAAGGAAAGTGAGGGGAAAAATACTCCGACAAAAAGAAATGGCGATACATTTGGAATATTTAATAATATTCGTTTCTCTGGTCTGCTTTTGCCTTCTTTTTTTTTTTCCCTATTAAAGATCCAAACATCAAAGGTATCTTCGTGACAGCATCAAAATGTCTCAATCGTGCGCTTGAATGACCAAACATATACAAAATTTGTCGTGTTTAGATCCACAATTTGACAACTTAATTTTTGCATAGAAAGCTATAATAAGTAAAAACGCAGAAAGAAGAAGTTAAAAAAGAGTTGAGTTCTATTTTTAAGAAATTTACTATTTTCTCTGTTATATTTCTCTGATCCTATTTATAAGGTACTTCTAACATGTTTCATACGGATCAAGAAAAATCTTAAACTGTATTAATTCTTCATAAAAATATAGCAACTTTCTAACTTTACCCTATTGAATATATGCACCTTTCAAAAAACACAACTATCTACATTATAATAAATGAAAGACAATATAGTATATTGATGCCAAAAATTTAATGAAGTGACTTATAATAGGGCCAAAAAAACTTCTCTCTCTACTTTATAAACAGAACTAGATGAGTAATATTTAGATAACTAATTTACGGATAATAAAAAATTAGTTAAAAGTAATAAATAGATTATAGATATACTTTTGATTTTAAATATGCCCTTATAATAATGAGATCAATGATAAAAAAAATATACGGGAAAATATAATTAGAGTATTGCAAAAGAGAGAAAATAAAATATATATTATTTAATAAAATTTATATTATTTTTTATCATTTTATAACTAAACTTACTTTTTCAATGATAATCTAAACAACTTCACTTTTATAAACTGACTTACAAAAGTTAATCTAAATATAAATCATATTACACAATTTAATTTTTTAAAAAATAAAATTAAAAATAATTTTTTTAATCACTAATTTAAACAGGCCCTAAATGAAACTGATTAAGAATTTAAGATTATAAATAGGATCCAACTTGTTAATACTCCTCCGGTCCTTAATATAGGATCCAATTGTTGAGTTGATTTTGGTCCTAAATATAGGACCCATTTTTTATATTTATCAATTTTCTCTAAATTACCCCTATGGATACTCCTCAACCATAACCAAGTAGAAGAGGGAAATGGGGTATTAAGAAAGATGATTATGGTATTTTAGGAAAAATGTGTTTCATTTCTTATAATTAACTAACTTACCTAACTTCCTTAATCTAATCAAATTAATTAAATGAGTCTTACATTAAGGACCGGAAGAGTACTAAATTACAGGACAAATCAGCTCATGGGCCATATTAGTGTGAACAGCCTGGAGTCATACATCGGTTATTTATCTTTCCATCCAGCCCACGCATTACAGCCTTTTATATGCTACCAAAATTATGGATAACATATTTTTGGAACAAATTGGAAACATTAATAAATCTCATTAAACATTGCTGGTAAAAAGAAAAACTCATTAAACATAATTAAAAACCATAATTTTTTTTCATAAAAAATAAAAAATTCGAAAAACACCCTTCATTTTACGCTAAACTCTAATTAACTTCCACTTAATTCAAGGAGGGTAACTTTGGATCAAGGTTATTAATAACTCACTGTTTTCTCCAAAATATCTTAAATTATGAACCAGGAAATCATTCCAAAATATATCTCATAAAATCGAAGGGAAAAGGAGATCACACTTTTTTAAATTTCGTTGAATGAAATGAAATTTGATATAGAGTTGCAACCTAACAGCTCCTTTTTTTTCTTTCTTTTTTTTTAAGTTCACCTTGTTTCAACTTTCGACTAAATATAGTGATAAATAACTAGACAAACTCCTTTACAACTTCTTTTAGTTCTTAATATAAAATCTAATCTGTAATTTAAATTAAATTATATACTAGATTTTCTATTAAAAATGAAAGTAATATATACTTCTCTAGTCCTATTTATAGGACAGAGAGAGAAGGTTTTTCTTAGTCATATTTATAAATTATTTCATTAAATTTTTACTATAAATTTACTATTTTATTCTTTATTTATTATAATATAGATATTTTTTAAAAAAGTGTATATATTAAATAAAAATAAATTTAAAAAATTATTATATTTTAATATAGAGTAAATACAATTTAAGATTTTTTTAATATGTGTGAAATATGTTAGAAATACTTTATAAATAAGATATAACACACGCATACATATATATCTTCTGGCGTTTCGGGGCCTCAATGCGTTTCTGATTGGGCCACGTGGAAGTTCCTGCAAAGTGCATACGACAACCAGTGAACCACAACGTATTGAATCATATCGTCCGTTTAATGAGCAAAACGACAAACGTCTGATGCTCTCATATAAATGCTGGCATCGGAGAGTGGTCGCTGTCCCCTGCAGCTTGGTGAGGGACCAGAATACGAAAATGGCAGAGCAGCGGACAGAACAAAGAAAAAAAAGTCGAAAGCTAAATGTTCTCTCCTTCACTCCCCTCTCTTTTCCCCGTGAACTCAATACGAAGATGGGAGAGTTAAATCCCGTGAACTTTGTCGCTCATTCATAGCCATCTTATTTCCTCAGGAGTTTTGATATCTTTTTCTCAACCAACGTTTAAAATTATTTATAAGTAATTTTTTAACTATAATTTATGAAATAATGTTGATCCAAAGAGCCCCAGTGGTTCGATTTTTGGCCAATCATTTCATCATCGCATGAGAATATAAATAATGGTAAAAGATTCTTCAAGTTTCTGGGTTTGATCTTTCTTGAAGCTCGCCGATGATTTGGTCCGGAAAAGAAGTAGCTTGCAGATGATAATACTCAGTGCAGGACGCAGCACAACATCAATATTATTCAGTAACAACCTGACGCACCACAGAGTTGCAGAGCCGAAGGATACATTATTTATTAGTAGAGAAGACACGTGACTATGTAAGTAACATGTCCAACTCCGACACAGCAACACAGAAGCGTGGCTTACGTACGACATACACATAATACAAAAGTACCACGAAGTAACATAGTTAGTCTAGGCCTGGAGGACAGCCCCATAGGAAGTGGATGACGATGACGAAGAAGAGGTGCTTTGCGTTGGGTAGCCAACAGCAAAATTAAGAGCACATACGCCATAAGGCCACCCAGCGTTCCTCTTGATCCTTATGTAGCCTTTCTCTCCCCAGTCTTGTCCCCATGTGTTCTTCACTATCCAGTAATCTTCCCCATTCTCTGTTCCGTATCCCACGATCAGCACCACCAACGTGGCTGTCGTCGAATTCTTATCGCAGTTGTCGCCTCCATAGATTCCCTGCTCAAATCACCCCAACAAAAAGCAAAATCAATCTTCTTTTCATGTCCCATGCCTCGTGGTACAGAATAATTAAATATGTGGAGGTCACTTACGCCAGTGTAAAATTGGAAATCGACGGCATTCACACTGGTGGTGACAGGCTGCTGAGCAACGGCACACAAGATTGCATCGTCTGTGCCAAATGCAATAAAGGACAAGGCACTGATACTAACAGCCTTTTTCCATTGCTGCTTGAAACAAAAAGGAAGAGAGCCCAGAATTTAATTTAGTTTAAGAGAGACAGATTAGCCAACTTTTTAATAACAAGGCTAGTATATAGCAGAAGGAAAGGAAATCAATACCTGGCAAGAACCGTTTGTGGCTGTATATGGATAATCAGCTGCTGTATCTATGCCACCATTATCTATAACCCAACCAAATGCGTCGAAGTAGAATCCTCCCGCACAACCATGGCTTTTTGGGTCACAGTCCACCAGTTGTTGTGCTGAAAGTTCGATCAGCTTCCCCGTGTTTATTGCATTTATCCCTTCTATGGCTCCCACCACTGAGAATGCCCAGTCGCTTTCTGCAATTATCACACATTAAATCAATGATCAATAAATTAAGTGCTCTCGCCAGGCTCCAAAAAAACAAGACAGATCATCATACTGCAGTTTTCTTGGTCTTTAACTGAAGTGACAGCATTTTTTTGTCTCCAATCTAGAGAAGCAGGCACGTCATGATCACAGGAGTCGTCCTTCTTGAACTTGGTAGCAGTGTTGGGCGCCATGTTTACGTTGTGCAGGTAGATTTCCCTGAACTCCTCGGGACTTAAATCTGCAAATTTGTTCAGACCAAGACGGGACTGCGAGGGAGATTCTCTCTTGGCATTCATCTCATTGATGTGCTTCAAGTTGCTTTGGAAAATCTGGAATCTATTTGCTTCTTCTTGTGGGTTTGGGTAGACCCGTCGGTGCTGCTTCTGCCACAATCGGAAAAGTCCGTAGACTTGTTCCTCTGAGGCAAACTTTCGAAGGCTGTCATGGTCTCTCAATATGGAGAAGCCACCGGAGATGGAAGAAGAGAGACACATGAGTGGAGCACAGAGGAAGCAGAGCAGGAACAAGTTAATCATATGGAAACTCGCCATCCCTAGTTTTCCCGACATATCATGTTATGACACACCATGCTTTTATAGATGCGTCCCTTGTATGCGCAGTGATGCGGCATTTAGACCGAGTTTAATCGAGATATGAAGTCATATCTTGTGATTAACCATTTTTCTTTTTCTTTTTCTTTTTTTAACATAAGTGTCTCTTATGTTTAGCGATGAGGCACATTGGGAGCGAATGATGACAGTCTTTAAACATTTGAACGGAATTATTGAGGAACTAGAAAACAAAGGTAACCCCACAGAACAAGACAGACGAGTTTTCCGCACGAGTTTCACGCTGGTGTTTTCTTATTAAGAATCAGCAAGGACGACGAGGAAAAAGGCTGCAAAGTAGTACAACAAGTGGACAGAACAATGATATATTTACATCTTTTCATTCATATATTAGCAAAATATTGGGGTGAGGGGGGGAATTAATACTAATATTTTTGCCACAGATTTAATATTCATTTTAAATTCCACCTGTTTGTCTGCATGTGTGCATATGCTAAGATATATTGGGCTCTGTTTGGATAGCACCCCAAACCATGGTTTGGGGAAAATGCTACCCAAACAGTCTCCCCAAAAACCAAAACCATGGTTTTGGAAAAAGCAAAATTTTTTTGCTTTTGGAGAAAAAAGGGAGAGTGTGAGGACCTATATGATATGTATCTTGTTATTTTTTTTATAAACATATTTTTTTATAAATATATTTAATCTTATATTTTATAAATATATATAGACATTAATTATTTATTAATTATATTATCTTATGTATTATTAATTATGTTGGTAAAAAAACATATTATTAACAACTTTATTTCTTCAAATTAAGATATATCATAAAATCTATTTTTTCTGTAATTATCATATTAACTTATGTCTTTTTTTTAGTAATTTGTATATATAAAAGTGCTTCTGATAACAACTATCCAAACACTCTCACTTCTCAGAATCACTTTTTTACAAAATCTATTCTTCACAGAATCTATTTTTTCCAGAATCTATTCTCCAGAATCACTTTTCCAAACCACGGTTTGGTTTCATCCAAACACACCCTTGATATGGGATAAGTATGAAGAAAGGGGTTGGAGTATTTTACTCCACAATTAATTTAATTAGCATTGAATTTCATGTGGATATTTCTTCATGGATGCACATGGTTAAAAGTTGAAACGTTTTAATTAAGCCTATCTGTCTAATTTTCCTTAAAAAGTATTTAGTTCGTGTGATCAGATCAAACTTGAGGAATGTGTTTTATTTATAATTTGGCATATATGCACATTAATTAAATGTTTATGATATGACTTGTCAATAAAACTGTCAACATAAATGACCAAATTGAAGGAATCCTCAAAGTAGTTCGGTTTGTATGATGATTAATATTTTTCTTTTTGGAAATCACCGTTTCTCAATTGAATCATTTAAAAGACTAACAGTAACAATTCCATAACGAACAAGGCCGAAGGGTAACCGGGTTTAGTTGTATTGATGAGATTAATTAAAGTGGTCGAAAGGTCAAGGGAGAATTGGAAATTAAAATAAACTAATAAATGTTAATATGAGCGGAGGGAATTTAACACTGAGCATAACATCTCTTGTGCAGGTGCGAATAGAAAAAAATATCTTTTTAAAAGAATTTTTTTTATTTATAGTCCAGTACAACTCGAATCCGAACTATAGCCTACCAAGGTAATATGACTTTAAATGCTCTAAGAAGGATCTTTTGTTTGATGTCCAGCCTAAATTAGAACTAGCTAGAGTTCAATACAACTTCAAATATAGGAAACAACTATCTTCTATTGGGTGTTACCTCAACCGGAATCCCGACTCAATAGTCTAATATGGGTTTGTTTGAAATAACGCATAAATAACTTTTCAATCATAATTTATAAAATATAAAATAAATACATATAAAAAATTTATATAAACGTAGTTATTAACTGTGAATACAAAAAAGTCCTGTAAGTGCAAATAATGGGTGAGTTTACTCGATAGGAAAAAGGGAAAAGGAGGAGTGGCTGTGGCTGTGGGGAGTGAAACACAGGGTAGAATAATTATTGAAATGGGGGGCACAGGGAGGGATTGTGTTGTTTGAAAAGATCTAATATGGAAGGGTGTTTGGTAACTTTTAAATTATGATTTCAGAAGTATTTTTTTGTAAAATGAGATAAATTTTCTCATATATTTATTTCATAAACCGTAAAAATATTTTTAAAACTATAGTTTGGTTTCTATCCAAACACTCTTAAGTTATTGAGAAACTAGAAAACAAAGGTAACCCCACAGAACAAGACAAGTTTTCCGCATGAGTTTCACGCTGGCGTTTTCTTATTAAATCAGCAGGGACGACGGGGAAAAAGGCTGCAAGGTAGTACAACAAGTGGACAGAACAATGATATATTTACATCTTTTCATTCATATATTAGCAAACTATTGGGCGGCGAGGGGGAATTAATACTAATATTTTTGCCACAGATTTAATATTCATTTTAAATTCCACCTGTTTGTCTGCATGTGTGCATATGCTAAGATATATTGATATAGGACAAGTATCAAGAAAGGGGTTGGAGTATTTTACTCCACAATTAATTTAATGAGCATTGAATTTCGTGTGGATATTTCTTCATGGATGCACATGGTCCCAATTTCGACGTTGACCATTAAGGCGGCAAAATGGGTCGAAATTTATCTTAGTCTATCGTTTAGCTCGATTAAAATCGGGCTTCAAGATCAAGGACGTATTTAGATTAGTTTTTAGAAATAATTTTACGATATATAAAATAAATACATAAAAAAATGTATATTTGCATAAAATTACTTTTTTTTTTTAAAGTGATTTTGAAGGATGCGAAATTCCAGACATGGCGAGGTGTTAATTGTTTTAAAGTAGACAAATTGCATAAGAAGAAGGGCATTTGAATTTTTATTGAGAGATACTTATATTTAGTATATAATAATGTTTTTTTGCCTTTAGTAAAAGAATGTCTGTGCTTTGAAAAGAAAAAGAGAGACTAAAAGGGTGTTTGGATGGAAACCAAATCATGGTTTCAGAAGTGATTTTACGGTCTACGAGGTAAATATGTGAAAGAGTTTATCTTGATTTACGAAAAAGTACTATTGAGAAGTATTTTTCAGGATATCCAAACACCTTCTAAGTGCTCGTCCGCATTCTAACCTGATGCTTTCAGACCCGCTTGTAAGAATTCAGGCCCAAAAAAAAACAAGAATGACAAGAAGGAGGAGGGGGTGGTTTTGCAGCTGAGGGTCCAGAATAGAGGGCGGGAACATGTTTAAAGGGCTCCATATGCGGCCCATATTAAGTAAGGACGTAATTCGTTTATGGCCCAATTTAAAAGATACTCAAAGACAAGAGACCAGAATCATTTCTTTTTTTTTGCTCTGACTTTTTCTTTGTTTTTTTTTTTGGGAGGGTTTAACAAAGGGAAGAATTTTTTGTTCGGCATCTTGAATGGGCACTTTCCATTTTAATGGGTACCACTACTTTGTTATTCCGAGGTTACTGCTTGCCATTCCAGCAGGGTAGCTGCAACATGCTTTCTCTCTAATCCAATCATCATTATGAGACATGTGGTACCTGGAACTTGAATTTACTCAGCCACAATGTCTCTTTATTTGCTGGTTTGGCACTTTGGTTCAACCATTTGGCTATTCTTCAGCAATTATTTGCTTGAACTTGAAATTCAGTGCTGATCGCTGCCTTTCTTCTTCTTCATAATATCAGCTCTCCCAAAAAAGTACAGTGCTTATGAAAAACAGGTCCCTTTGCCAAGAATTCTTTCCCCCCCACACACGCAGACACCCATACTTTGGGAATGTCTCCTTTTATATATTTTATTTCCCATTTGCAATGTAAAATTTATATTATTTATAGTTCATAAACTACTCCTTCGGTCCTTAATATAGGACCTAATTATTGAGTTAGTTTTAGTCCTAAATATAAGACCTACTTCTCATATTTATCAATTTTCTCTAAATTACCCTTATGGATACTCCCTCAACTATAATCAAGTAGAAGAGGGAGAGTAGGTATTAAGAAAGATGATTATGGTGTTTTAGGAAAAACGTGTCACATTTTTTATGATTAACTAACTTACCTAACTTCCTTAATCTAATCAAATTAGTTAAATGAGTCTTATATTAAGGACCGGAAGAGTATATCACAGATTTCTATGTAAAATATAAACCCATCCAAAAATATAAGCTATAGATAATATGCTTAAATTCTGCATATCCCAAACCAGGAATTAGAAATTTTGTATGGCATTCTCTTTTGGGCATGTTTTTAGGTTGGAGTCAGAACTCTAAAATTACGGAACTTAGATTTTTCAAAAAGTAAGAAGACACGTGGGACGAAGCTAGATGCATTTTCTTTTCTTTCTTTGTTTTTGGGAAAAAGAAACGTGAAAAGCACGGCCCAAAATATACAATGGCGGCATCGGCAAAATCAGGTGTTGACTGTTGAACAGCAAGTCCAACCTCCATTCAAAACCCAGATTGACCGTCAGATTAAAAGATCTTTGGGATAAAAGGCTATTAGACAAACACCTGAAAAATTTGCTACCAAAAAAAATCATATGAAATTATTCTTATCTACTAAGTTAGCCCTATGGTCAATTACATCCGACCCTTTTTTCCCCCACGTCATTCAAGTCTCAGGGTAAGTCCATTTACGTAGAGAATTGGTTGCTTGTTGCCCTTGAGCTGACTGGTAGGCTTGGTCAAGACTTGGGCGTTCAATTGCTCCCTTTATAATGCAACACAAAGACCCTCTGGTTCACCAACATTTGCTTGTAACCCAGAGGAGATAATGAGTTCAAAGAAACTTCAGGCCTCTCTTGTCTTCTTCATCTGGGGTTCGTTGGTTTGTCTCTCTCATGGTGTTCCCAGTAAGTACTCCATCTTAGGCTATGAACTTGACAAGTATCCTTCCGACGAGGAACAAGTGCTCGAGCTGTTCCAACGTTGGAAGAGGGAGCATGGAAGGTTTTACAGACACCCAGAAGAAGCAGCCATGAGGTTGGAGAACTTCAAGAGGAATCTCAAATATGTTGTAGAGAAGAATGCAATGATGACTTCTCCCAATGCGCACCGTTTGGGTCTGAACAGGTTTGCTGATATGACCAATGAAGAGTTCAGGACAAAATATTTTTCAAAGATGAAGAAGCCTATCAAGACAAGGGACAATAGCGTCATGAATGGAGGCTTCCATTTAAAGGACGGGTCTTGTGAAGATGCGCCTTCCTCCTTAGATTGGAGAACGAAGGGGGTTGTTACTGGTGTTAAGAACCAAGAAGATTGTGGTAAGCTTCTTTTTTTAACTATTGAAATTTAAGCTTAATGCGGTTATTATCTTTTATATAATCACTTTCCCTCCTTCTGATGGTGGAATGACACTTCATCACTTTTTATGTTCTTCACCTAATCCCATTTCATAGTACTACTTTCTGGTGCATCTAACAATCTAAGTAATAATCATTGAGACACTTTGCTCACATGTAGCTGCGGGTCTACTTTAATTTTCATAATTATGTGGCGCACCACAATTTAGCAGTCCTTGATATAAATGGTCCAACCAAGTTTCTTCTCACTGACAACTATTGTTGACACGTTTTCTTGGAGCTGGTTCCTTCTACTGAATTTATTTACTGAAATAGTTTTGTTCTTTTATACTTCTTATATTGCCCCTTGTATTAATTTATTAGAACGAGCAATTATGAGACTTTTTATCCATGCATTCATGACTCGTAATATTTAACATACCTCTGATTGACCTTCTCATCAGGAAGCTGCTGGGCCTTCTCTTCCACGGGAGCCATGGAAGGAATAAATGCAATAGTCACAGGGAAACTCATTAGTCTCTCAGAACAAGAGCTTGTGGACTGTGACACCACTAATGATGGATGTGACGGAGGGAACATGGATTACGCTTTCGAATGGGTTATAAGCAATGGTGGGATTGACACAGAAACTAATTATCCATATACTGGAGCAGATGGAACCTGCAACATCACTAAGGTATTGTTCTGCTCATAGAGGAAATGGATAGATATGTTTCTTTCTGCGTAATTTTATAGAGCCTTTTGGTGAATCAGGAGGAGAGAAAAGTGGTTGGCATTGATGGATATAAGGATGTGGCACGAACAGAGAGTGCTCTTCTGTGTGCAACAGTGAAGCAGCCTATCAGCGTGGGCATGGATGGCTCTGCAATTGATTTCCAACTCTATACTGGTGTAAGTTGAACTAGTCATACTGATATAAATCAGTCAATAAAAAGCAGGGGATGACTACGAGTTTGAGGAACTAGAATTTGTTTTGTGATTGTTTGAACAGGGGATTTATGATGGGAGTTGCTCAAGTGATCCAGAAGATATTGATCATGCGGTTTTGATTGTGGGGTATGGTTCAGAGGATGGTGAGGATTACTGGATTGTGAAGAATTCCTGGGGAACAAGCTGGGGACTAGACGGCTATTTCTTACTTAAAAGGAACGGTGCTGAGAAATATGGGAAATGTGGAGTAGCTTACATGGCTTCATACCCAACCAAAGAGTCCTCCGCACCATCCCCAGCTGGTCCTCCCCCACCAGTAACGCCACCGCCTCCTCCTCCTCCTCCGTCGCCTTCACCAAGGAAATGCGGAGACTTCTTCTTTTGTGCTGCAGATCAAACATGTTGTTGCATTTTGGATTCACTCGATTTCTGCCTGATCTATGGTTGCTGTGATTATGAGAATGCTGTTTGCTGCTGCGGAACAAATTATTGTTGCCCCAGTGACTACCCCATTTGTGACGTTCAAGAGGGATTGTGTCTCAAAGTAAGAAACTGTGTTTATATGAAAGTCGTATTTCGAATGCTCATTTGAAAATGACAAGCTCTGATAAAATTTTAACGCAGAAATCGGGAGACGTGATGGGGGTGGCTGCCAAGAAGAAGAAGATGGCAAAGCACAAGTTTCCATGGAGTAAGGTTGAAAGAGAAGCTGGGGAGAGAAAGACGTACCGTCTCCTGGAGCTGAAGAGGAACCCATTCGCAGCAGCAATGCGCTGAACATGAAGACTGATGCGAAGTGATTCCTTGTCAGTAGTAATTTGATCTTTTTCTGTAGAATCAGAAGCAGAATCACTTGGCTGCTTCCATTTCCATGTAGGCGTTAATGGGCACAGAACAGGTAGTGTGAACCAAATCAGGAACACATTGAAGGTGATAAAGACGAGGCTTTGTGTTTCTGCAGATTCTGTATCATCCACACAGTAATAATGTGCTCTATTTATACTGGAATGTTGGTTTCAGTTTGTTGCTGAAACTCATGGGCGTCCTATATTATTCTAAACCCTTGGATTAGAGTGCTCGGTGGCGTATCATCCATGAAGTACTTTTAAACCGGTAAAATAATAATAATCGTTATTACTTTTTACACGAGAATTGTTCACTTCTTTTTTTATTTTTTCGCTTTTGAATATCAAGGGAAGCCGTGGCATTACTCATTAGCAATAAGGTCTTACAAAATTCATCCTATCATCTTCAACCATATAGCCGCAGAAGGGGCCTTCGGCTCTCGCTCTCATTCACACACTTGGGAGAGAGATTCTCTATTGTTTTAAAGAAAATAAAAAATAATGCCCGGGAGGGCGGGTCCGACTGGTCGCAAACGGAAAGGCAAGGCGTCACGTCCCTACCATGTTATGGGCTCGAATCCTGGGAAGTCCTCTTCTGGGGGGCGCTTCGGATTAGTCTGCATCCAATGTGGTGTGGGATACCGGAGGAGTTAGCGATACCATCCTATTCAAAAAAGAAAATAAAAAATAATAGAAAAGTACAGGAAGTTCACTGGAAACAAAATCCAGAATCAGAGAAGGGTGTATCGGGCTAAAATTGACTCCAAATTGGCAATAGTCTATTATGAAAGAAGTCAATAACACAGGTGAACACAATAATAAATGTCCAGAGCCAATGAGTGGACTTTTAAATTTGATCTGTAATATATTTTGGGCTTGTCTTTGGGAAAAAAAAAGAAGAAAAAAAGCAGAAAGATTTGGAGAGAGTGGGGCGTTTCAATTATTGGCTTGAGCCGTAGTGGAATTTTGCTTTATGAGGCTGTCTGTCTTTAGGCACGTCCTCTTGGCTCTTTGCCCCTGGAGAGTGGGTGTAATTATTTGGGTTTTGTCCCCAACCCAAATGATTCATAGGCAAGGACGCATGGTCATGGCGGAGGGCGGAGGAGGAGGACTCACCCTTTAATGTCAACTAAATTTAGTGGGCCGCACCTCTTCCCTCCTCCCTCTCCCCACCCACTTTGTCTTCTCTGAACTGTCTATCTCTACGTTACGTATTCACAATTCACATCATGTGATTCAACCCCTTGTATTTTTGTGATTTATTTCTTCCTTTTTATACCCCACACTTCCCGTCTTTAATCTATAATTAGCTCACATTCTTAGCACGGTCTATACTTAATGTCATCAGTAAGCACATGAAATGGAGTATGGTAGATAGATAAATAAGTTATACCAATATATAAAGGGAGTAAAGTCCAGTGAAGCCGGGGATACTGTCGTTTGGATATTCGAGGACGGTTTTGATTTGAGAATGTACCGTCACTGTGTTGGCAACCTCTACTTTCCATCTGCGCACAGCTAGAACGAACCGTGAAACATGCTTTGAAAGCAAAAGATGCATATTAAAGCTTCTGTCTCCATCCCTAAACCCTCTGCTTTTCTTTCCCCTTACTCATTCCCTCTCCTCCCATCGCCCGGCAACCTACCGTTGTCTTCTGATCCATCTTCATCTGAATCTTTCCTTCTCCAGGTAACCCTCTTCTTTTATTTACTCCTCATTCAATGTCTTACTCCACTTTCTGGATTTCTCCGCTTAAGCTTGTTTCTTTACAGCCATGTCAAATACTTTGGTCAAGGAACCCGAAACCTTTCGCTTCTGTAGCTGTGCGCGTCATTTCATATCCTTTTTGTTATAGAGATGGTTTTGTTTTTTTCTTCTCTACAGCATGTTCTTTTATTTTATTATTTTTTCTGTTGGTGTTCATGGTTTGGTGGTTCTGAGTCTGAGCCTGTGATACTGATAACAAAGCATATAGTCTTTCCTCTGTTCAGTGTAATACTGAGAGAGATGTAAGGCGTTGTCATGTTCAATTGTTTTTCACCTTTCTGTACAAATGGGGAATCACGGCTCTTTACCCAGCCTTCCGATACAGAATTATGACATATTTCTCTGTTTCTCTGCTCAGTGTCATGGTGGGGGTAAACTCTGCTCAATATTTGCGTCTTTGGATCTGTTTTTGCGTTCTCCCAATATAGAACCTGTTAATGGCTTCTGCTGTACTGAGTGCTTACAGCCAGGAGGTCTCCTGCTGCTAATAATCTTATTCTTCTTTCTTTGTCTTTATCCAGATTTTAATTTCATGGTAGGAGGACTAGTGATTCTTACCCGACATTTTCTGCCTCGCTGCTGACATTGTTCATAACCTTTTCCTGAATTGTGAGGGGCCGCGTGATACAGTTCAATTGTTGACCAAGATGGACGAAAAAAGATTGAATATTGAAGCCCCTCTTCTGTCTGTGAGACGTTCTGCTGCATCGCAGAAAACACTGGACAAAAAGCACATTCTTCTATACCCTAAATCAGATTCGACTATGCAACAACTAGCAGAACCTGTTACTGTTCCCCTCAATTGGGAAAACATCCTCGGAAGATCCAAGCCGAAGGAGCCTCCTGTTGCTCAATCTCCCACGTGGAGCAAAGAAACAGAAGATGAGAGAAGAAGGACCAATGGGAATGATGATGATGATGACAACGTTTATTCTGATGCCGTTGATACAATTTCGCCTCCAGAATCCGTCTTAATGAACTGTAGAGTAAGTGGGATGAGTGGGTTAGAATTAAATAGTTACAATGCGAACAAGTCTGGAACATTTCACACGGATCAGAAAATCAGGGACTTCATGATGAACCGATTCTTGCCCGCAGCTAAAGCAATGACTTTACAGGTTCCAGAATATGCTTCAAGAAAGCAATCTGTGGTGGTAGAACAGGCTAGAGAAATTAACAGATCATTTCGTGAGGAAAAGAAGCTTCTGCTCAAGAACTACATCTCTGACATTATACAAAGTTCTAACCAATGTGAAACTGAAGAAGAAAGTGAAGACGATAAATATGACTCTGCAAATGGCTCGGCAAAAGGTTGTGGGCTGCTTCCCCAACTACGCCTTAAGAATTCGCTGTGCTTGCTAAATTCTGTGCCTGGCATGAAAATGAGGAACATAGTTCCCATGTCTACTGCTGCTTACGAGGTTTCTAAACAAAACAAAAAATCTCATGTTCGATCTTATAGCCCAGCTCCTATGGTAAAAAAGGTAACAACACACACACACACACACACAAAATTTGAAACATTCATGTCTGAATTAAAATGTTGTATTGTGTCTGATAAAAGTATTGTCTGACGCAGACACTTCTTTTTCCCCCTTAGTGTTTTGTGTGCCAATACATTTACCCACAAGGATGCATGATTCCTGCAGGCCATTGATGCTATTTATAAGAACAAGTCGAGCTCTGAAACCGTATCAATGGACACGAGGGAGGCGAGGAAGAAGTGGATGAGTCAATCATGTAGGTTTACTTATGATGCAGGTGAGTCGCAGCAACAAGATAGGTTGTCTCCATTCAGGCGTTCAAGAACTGCTGCTGCTGGAGTTTCTCCTTGTCGAAGTAGACCTCAATATCCACTTCGAGGAGCAAAGTTGCTTTGTGATTCTAGAGAGGCTGAGAATATTAGTCAATCTAGCAGATATTTGAACTTCCAGAGCAGAAGCCATGGAAACAATGAAGAAAGTAATTCAACAGTGGAGAAGACATTGTACATAGATTCTGCAAGCACGGTAAAACTATTATCTTCTTCACATTCATTTTCTCCAGAAGCTTCTCAAGATGGAAAAGAACTACAAGCCTTGGAAGAGAAGAAGGCGATGGATTCAGATACCAACAACAGGGAAATTGTAATAGCTGATAGTAATTCAAGTGAATCTGTTCTGTGTCCTGTTCCCCCACCATTACCGAGATCGCCCTCTGAGTCATGGCTCTGGCGTGCCCTGCCTTTGGTTTCAGGAAGGAATCCATTGCAGCAATCAAATTTAAGCAATCATTCCCAATCTATATACCAGGACTCTCATACAACATCCAGCAATAATACCAAGTGGGAAACAATAGTAAAAACCTCGAATTTGCACAATGATCATGCGCGCTATTCTCAGGTGTAGCCTCATTTTTCATGTTTGTATCTTCCTTGGTGTTCAGGTAGTGAGAAAGATGAAAGCTCACATGTAATTTTTCCGCGCAGGAAATAATAGCCTCCAACAAATCTCATCGTTTAAAATCATAAGAGATGGAACTCTGGCTTGTTCATCATGTTTGGTGCGAGCTCATGTGGATTGTTTCCCATGATATTGCAGGTGAGTACATCAGTTGGAGCGAATTGATTCTTACCGTCTAAGTATAAATTTGGTCTTTCTTTCCTATCTGTTTTTTATCATCTTCATTTGTGCGTTTTGCACAGAAAGCAGTCGAAGTCCTTTGGTGATCAATAAAAGTAAAGCTTCTGTTATGCTGCCAATTGACAAGCGCGAGCTAGCTTGTGAAATCTCGTGTTTTACGTCTTCTCTTATTGTCTGTGCTGACTCTCCAGGCATCAGGAATTTGTATGTGACGAACACAACAAGTGGTTGTCAATGTTCATGCGAGATTGCTTATTTTCATTTTTTTTCTCAAGACAAAGTTTCTCAGTGAAATTTCGAAATATATAACCAGCTATGTAAATACGATTATCAATTAGTGCGTGAAGATAGTTCAGAATATTAGTGTATGAACCATCTCCTTTTAATTTTTAGTCTTTCTATCAAGGTGCTTTCAGTGCTAGATGCTCTGACAAAACCTGAATCCCTCCATTATAAATATAAGAAAGTCAAGTACTTCCCTGACGAAGAGGAAAACGATCAGAGAAATTGGGTTTGTGGGCAAAAAAATGGCAGAGGGAGAGCCATTCTTTTAAATATTGCTCGAAGCTACTTCTAATGTAGTAGAAGCGCGGTGGATTATTTGGAGGGTTTGGGTGGGACGAAATATGAACATTGTATTCGGGGGTGTTTGGCAAAACCAAAACCTAGGTTTCAGAATCACTTTTCCACAAAACGAGGTAACCTCCTCCACATATTTACTTCGTAATCCGTAAAAGCACTTCTGAAACCATGGTTTGGTTTCTATCCAAACACCCCCGAAATATACTGAATTGTTGCAATTATGGGGGTCGTGGAAAGTGAAAAGGAGAGCGAAAGTGAAGTGTCGGAAGCCAAGAAAAACAGATGACAAATGGCGACGGGGAGACGATGACAGGAGGGGGAGAGGAAATAATTATGAAGGGATGGCAAATGGCGGTGACAGGCATAAGTTGACGGCGACTGTGATCCCAATAACCATAAACCATATGCAATTTGGTGAGACGTTGCCCGTTGCTACTCATAAATGAGCTGCAAAATTCTGGTACATAAATAAATCTCCCATCCTTATCTTAACTCATCTTAAGCGAAAAAGACAGAAAAATGCACATTTAACTTCAGAAGTCCAAAAACGTCTGCTGAATTCAAGAAATCCCATTTTGGTACCATGAGACCAAATTGGGATTAATATGTGAAAGGAAAAGATCAAATTACCCTTCATTTTAAATATTATTTTTAAAATATCACAGCCCTTACTGGCCGGCCGGTCACCGGAGCTCCGGCGACCAGCCGACAATTGGTCGCCGGAGCTTCGTCAGTCGGATTTTTTTTTTTGAAAATTTTTACAACTTCAATATAATGGTTAACAACTTTTGTAATGCTATTAACAACTTCAATATAGCAATTAACAATAGCTTTTCTGAGAAATTCAACAAACTCCGGCGACTGGAAACAATTTTTTTGAAAATTTTTACAACTTCAATATAACGTTTAACAACTTTTGTAATGCTATTAACAACTTCAGTATAGCAATTAACAACAACTTTTCTGGGAAATTCAACAAACTCCGGCGATCGGAAACAATTTTTTTGAAAATTTTTACAACTTCAATATAACCGTTAACAACTTTTGTAATGCCATTAACAACTTCAATATAACAATTAACAACAGGTTTTCTAGGAAATTCAACAAACTCCGGCGACCGGAAACAATTTTTTGAAAATTTTTACAACTTCAATATAATGGTTAACAACTTTTGTAATGCTATTAACAATTTCAATATAGCAATTAACAACAGTTTTCTAGGAAATTCAACAAGCTCCGGTGACTGGAAATAATTTTTTTTTGAAAATTTTTACAATTTCAGTATAACGGTTAACAACTTTTGTAACCCTATTAACAATTTCAGTATAGCGGTTAACAACAGGTTTTTGAGTTATATAATTTTTCAAAAAAATCTGTTGTTAACTGATATACTAAAGTTATTAATAGCGTTACAAAAGTTGTTAACCGTTATACTGAAGTTGTAAAAATTTTCAAAAAAAAATTATTTCCAGTCACCGGAGCTTGTTGAATTTCCTAGAAAATTTGTTGTTAATTGCTATATTGAAATTGTTAATATAATTATAAAAGTTGTTAACCGTTATATTGAAGTTGTAAAAATTTTCAACTTCAGTATAACGTTAACAATTACGTTTTTTTAAAAATTTTTACAACTCCAATATAACGGTTAACAACTTTGATATAGCAGTTAACAACAAGTTTTTAAATTCAAAAAGTGGCATTTTTATAACTTCAGTAATGCCTTTAACAAACTCAAAAACCTGTTGTTAACCGCTATACTGAAGTTGTTAATAGAGTTACAAAAGTTGTTAACCGCTATATTGAAGTTGTAAAAATTTTCAAAAAAATTATTTCCGGTCGCCGGAGTTTGTTGAATTTCCCAGAAAAGCTGTTGTTAATTGCTATACTGAAGTTGTTAATCGCATTACAAAAGTTGTTAATCGTTATATTGAAGTTGTCAAAATTTTCAACTTCAGTATAATGTTAACAATTACGTTTTTTTGAAAATTTTTACAACATCAATATAACGGTTAACAACTTTGATATAGCAGTTAACAACAAGTTTTTCGAAAAATTCAAAAAGTGGCATTTTTATAACTTCAGTAATGCTTTTAACAAACTCAAAAACCTGTTGTTAACCGCTATACTGAAGTTATTAATAGGGTTACAAAAGTTGTTAATCGTTATATTGAAGTTGTAAAAATTTTCAAAAAATTGTTTCCGGTCGCCGGAGTTTGTTGAATTTCCCAGAAAAGCTGTTGTTAATTGCTATACTAAAGTTGTTAATCGCATTAAAAAAGTTGTTAATCGTCATAGTAAAATTGTAAAAATTTTCAAAAAAATTGTTTCCGGTCGCCGGAATTTGTTGAATTTATCAGAAAACCTATTGTTAATTACTATATTGAAGTTGTTAATGGCGTTACAAAAGTTGTTAACGGTTATATTGAAGTTGTAAAAATTTTCAAAAAAATTGTTTCCGGTCGCCGGAATTTGTTGAATTTCTCAGAAAACCTGTTGTTAATTGCTATATTGAAGTTGTTAATGGCATTACAAAAGTTGTTAACGGTTATATTGAAGTTGTAAAAATTTTCGAAAAAATTGTTTCCGGTCACCGGAGTTTGTTGAATTTTCTATAAAAGCTGTTGTTAATTGCTATATTGAAGTTGTTAATAGCATTACAAAAGTTGTTAATCGTTATATTGAAGTTGTAAAAATTTTCAAAAAAAAAAAATCCGACCGATGGAGCTCCGGTGACTGCCACCGCCAAAGGTCCGGTGACCGGCCGGCCAGTAGGGGCTGTGATATTTTAAAAATAATATTTAAAATGAAGGGCAATTTGGTATTTTCCTTTTACATATTAATCCCAATTTGGTCTCATGGTACCAAAATGGGATTTCTTGAATTCAGCAGACGTTTCTGAGCTTCTGAAATTAAAGGTGCATTTTTCTGTCTTTTTCCCTTATCTTAATTATCGGAAGGCATTACTTCGCCACATGACATCCAAAATTTGAATTCTCGTTTATGTTCACAATAAGGTGATTATGTTAAGTATCTCTAACAGTCCTGATAAAAAAAAAATCTCTATATAATTTTTTTTAGAAACAATAATTTATGAATATTATGCCTCAATTCAGATATATAATACTCAGTTGATATCTATTCACACCGTAAATGAAAGTTATAACGTGGGAGAAAAAGAATTGTTGAGAATTGAGATATGAAATAGGGAAAATTTTAAAGAAAGAATGTTGAATTTCAAAATTTCCAATCAGGCTACTATACTCATAAAAAGAAAATGACTACACTCAAAAAACAAATGATAACATATTTTTTTAATAATTTCTATTTTAAAATTTTAAAATTTAACAGCTATTTTTTTAAGATTTTCTTTTGAAATATCTAATATTGATGTGATATGATGGGTAACGGTTGGGAGTGCGAGTGGGGGCGGAGGGAAAAATTCCAAAAGCCGAAAATTAAACGAGAAAGGAGGGAAGAGAAATGCGGAGAAAAATAAGAGAAATTTAACTATAACTACCAATTTAGAGAATTAATTTTTTTGTTACCAATTTAATTTAGAGAATTAATTACTCAATCATTCCTGAATTTGATATTGTATGTATTCATATATCGGGATCCCTTGCAACATTTTTCAAATTTAAGAGATTATTGGGCAACTAATTCTCCAAACAAATATTTATGAGAAATTTTCCTAAAAATAATGTGCCATCACATAATATATAGAAATATGAATACATACATAGACATGGTGCTTAGGGACAGGGCGTAATTATAATTATAATTATGAATAGAGGCATTGTTTATAATTATGAATTTTATATGTTATATTTTTATATAATACTAGAACCTTCTCCACGCTATGCGATGTGCACAGGATGACACATGTTAAAATAGTTGATACTACTGAAAAATAATTTATGAAAATTCATCTTTTGTTATTAATTTTTGAAAATATGATTTTTCTTATATATGATTTGGACAATAAAATATAAGATTTAAGTATCTAATGTCAACGGCTTTACTAAATATTGATTTCACATAAATTTTTTTTAGTAAAACTACCCATAATGTTATTCTTCTTGATAAAATATCAATGTTTAGTTCGAAAGAAATGTGAAAGGTGCAGTCACAATTATTGTGTCATTAAAATAATTAAATTCACAAAGGTACAAAACAAAGAGGTTGAGTGTCGGTCTCAAGAGAACATATATTACATAAATCAGATGGTAAGAAATTCTATGAATAATTTGTTTCTCGAACTCCATTTGCATTTTTTCCTAATAGCATTTGTAGTGCCCCTCTACTATCAATTTCATTGTATTAAGGGGGTGTTTGGCAACCCTAAAAAATGCTTCTAAAAAGCTTTTTCAGTAAAACGAGACAAACTCGTTCATATATTTACTTCGTAAATCGTAAAAGTATTTTTAAAACCAGTGTTTGATTTCCATCTAAACACTCCCTAAGCATCAATTAGATAGCCATTTAATTGCCTAACCCGACCCATCTTGACATCATCAGGTATTACAAAATTTCATAGTTAAAGTAGATGATCTTGATGGGCAATTGCAATTTAAAAAGGGCGGTTTTCATCTTGTCTTTGAACTTATTGGGTTATTTTGGCATCATATTATAACAGACTTGCTGTATCTTAGAATTTTTTTTTTTTAACCAACATCTTTGATTCTTATTTGCAATATTTAGTTTTACTTTATTATTTTTGCTCATAAGATTATATTAAAAATTCGCACCCCAAATAATCAGATTTATGAACTTAAATTAAGAAATTTATGCCCCAGCTTACAATTAAGAGAATTAGGTCGCGCGTCCAACTTTTAAATTTTAGGAGAATATATATATATAAATATATATACACCTCGTATTTTGATTAAAGAAAAACGGATTGGTCTAACTCTTCTCAAAATTTGCTTAAACATCATTTTGTTTCAAGTAGTGCATTTATCATACTCCAGCAATTTGGTCGTTGTAATAGATATACATATATTATTTTTAATTTAGATATTTGAAATTAAAAGTATAAACCACCTAATTAATTATGAGATTGATCCACCTTTCCTTCAAAAATTCATTTATTTTGGCTTTTTGGCCATTGCCAACTTAATTCCTTCAATATATATGGTAAAATAAATAGTTATGAGAAAATGGCACTACCGGCAGCTGCTAGCTAGCGCTCAGGGGAAGTCACTCTTAACCATTGTTCCATTTCATTTACAGTAAAAAATCCCACTTAACAACAATATAACTGAAACAAATTAAAAGTCCTATATGCTCTACCAAGCGCATACTTTGATCTTGTGGCTGACACGTGGGCCCGGGTTTATGATTTTGATTTCCATGTAGGGGGTATTTGCAAGTGTTAAAAATAAATAAATAATAGAGAGAAGTTCTAAGAAAGTGAAAGCTCAGTGCTAATTTCTTGGATGTCGTCTTTGCCACCTCCCAGACTCAGCTCCAACTGCAAATCATCAGGCACCCATTGTTTTTCTTCCCGCAGCATCGCTTCGTTAAGCTTCACACACATATCATAAAATCAATAATGCTCCAGTTTTCCAAAAACAAGAAGAAGATAGAGATCTCAATATATATATACTCCTCCGGTCCTTATTATAAGACCCAATTTGACTTTTATTTGGTCCTAATTATAAGACCCAATCCATTTTCTCTCTTATATTTATACATTTTTTCCAAGATAATCCTTCTAATAATGATAGTTTTAGCCAATATACTTAATTAGCAAGGATATTTAGAAATAACAACACTTATTTATTATAAATAACCAACTTAACTTACTTCCTTAATCTCCTCAAATAAGTCAATTGGGTCTTATAATTAGGACCGGAGGAGTATATATTTATATTATTGTTACCTGGATCCGAAACGGGGTTTCAAAGTTATTGCAATGGTTACTGTGATTGTGAGAGTAGTGGTTGAAGTTTGAATGATGTGGAGGATCTGGTTTTGAGCTGGCATTACTCCAAGCAGCGTGATGATTGGTGGGTAACCTTCTGAACTTCCATTGATGAGCGTTCATCATCTCTAATGGAGGCCACCTTTTTTCTTGCAGATTCATAGGTTGATGATCCAAGTGCCATTGATGTGATTGCTGCCTGCCACATCTCAAGACAACAACAAGAGCTAATTAACGTGCGTAGAACTGATGGATCAATAGACTAAAAATCCTTTATATATGAACCAATGTTTAAGTTACTTTACTATACGTACCAGGAATCATCAGGAGGCTTTGTGTGTGGACGTGAAGATAGGGCGAAGGAGGGCAGATAGAGACCTGGGCCGACGACACTAGTTTGGTCATTACAATTATTACTGGCCAGGATGATTCCCCCGTTTCCCATCTTCAAATATTGGTGATGAGCGTTTCGAGACTGATGATAATGCGATATCTGAGACATAAGACCTTCCATTTGGGTTGATGGTGATCTGTATCTTCGTCCAACAACTGCATAATGCAATATATTCCTAGTTTATGTAATATAATTTTACTTGCTTTCTCTCGTAAGATGAGAAAACATAACGCGGTCTTCCTTTTAACTAATAACTTTATAATTGGAATATTGGTATGTTTTTTAACCAATCAGATAGTCTGACAACTTTTCTTAATATATATATATGAAAAATGTCAATAACATCTTGTATAAAGGACAGACGGAGTAGTTCATCAAAAAGCTTAATGTAGGTGAACTCGGTAATTTGGAAATAATAAGAAGCAGGAAACTCCTGCACGGGATATTTCTGTTAAAATGTACGTAAAAATAAAAAGCAATAGAAAGGAAACTTTGATTTGTTTGGCCTAAAATGGAAAAGGATATGTACACGACAATCTCACCTTGCCCGGCCTCATCAAGTTTCTTGCTTCGATACATCTGAAACAAATTAAATTTCATAAACATAGAATCACTACGACGAAAAGAATTAACCAAAAAAAAAAAACAAGAAGAAAATTTTCAAATTAAGGCAAAGCTGATTCAAAAAGATAGATAGCTCTTTCTTAATTATGTATTTTGGACGAAACTAGCTCAAATCATCTAAAGGAAAACTTTTGTAATTTGTGTTATATACCTGCAAGTGACTCTTGACATGAGCAATGCTAAGCCCTCTCACATTCATTAGCTGAAGCACCAACTTTGGTGTGGCTCCTGCACAAATTTATGCAGAAACGTAATAAGTTTCATAAACAATTTACAATTACGACGAAGGTTGCTTTTTCACGTACACTGTATAGAGATAGCTGCAAGATTTAATTAGAATATACAAATCCTTAATTAAGTATTTATCTGTTATCAGATTCGATGGAAGACGACGAGGATGTCATATATATACAGTCAATAAAAAACTACACACGCACCTATTTTCTTTGTCTTAAAATGAATTGATGAGATCGTACTTACTCTCTTGACCACCAAGCCTTTCAACAGCTTGAACAAACGAGAGATGAAGTTCAGGAGTCCATCGAAGGCGAGGCATCTTTGATCTAACATACTGTCTCACCGTTCTTCTTTTTCCGTTCCCTTCCCTCGATGTGCTTCTATAATTAGTTGAAGCACCTTCTTCATTACTATCCTTTGCTTTCTCATCATCATCATCATCATTCTCCTCAGCCATGATGATATCACAGTCGTCTGTTTCGTTGTTGTCTTCTATGCTCGCTCCTTCATTCAAATCAAAGGACGAGCCTGTCTGAGAAGATCCCAATGATGTGTCCTGGGCTTCCTGTTCCTCATCAGTACACCTGCTGTTCTTCTTGTCTTGGATCTGGAATCCTTCTGATGACATTCTTATTATTCTGTAATAATTCTCAACAGATCACCCTCGGGGCTTCCCTCCTCTTAGCATATCACTGGGAGACACAGAAGATTATATTTATAAGAACATAAATCTCTGCATTGAAAGTTGGCAAAGTGTAGGACAGAGTAGAGACGCACAGGCTGTAGTTTTTACGTTTAGCATGAAGAATTATTAGTATTGTAGCTCTGATGACAATCGTGAACTTGAATACTTTTTAAGTGCATTCAATATTCTTGTATGCGAAATGCTACAAGTAGATGGGGGACATTTACTGAATATCCCTATTACATATACGTGTGCAATTATATCATTTAACCTCACAAAAAGCAGTGGTTGAGCCATTTAAAGATTAAGAATTCTAGTATATAAAGAAGGCAAACCAACTTCTGTAACCCTAGCTGGAAGCTTCTGCTAAAATTTGGAATCGGGTGCAATATATGTGTGGCAGATTCTGATTTCTCTCAGCGGCCACACACACACACACACACATGTAGACGTATGCATTCAAGCTAAGGTTTGTTGACCATACACAATAATGATTCATAATTCGAAGAAAATACCATAATTAAGCAATCGGGAGAGAGATAGTCATTCATCAACATAAAAGATCTTTTATATATGTGGACTGAAAATAGCAAATAGGGAAGGAATCAAGGGTCTATGATTTTATTCACCGTTTCAGTGGAAAATCTGCACAACGCACCTGGGGTAAGCAATGCAATCCAGACCAGAAAGAAATCGGAGGAAAAAGTTTACTTTGTTAGGAAAGATAAATATGTGGGACTTGAATCACAAATTCAAAAAGTGGCTATCTGAGACAAGTTAATTATATATCAAGTAGCTTGGTAGCTAATTAATTTCAGTATTCCATTAAGTAGTAGTGTTGCAGAAGAACCATCTAGCTAGAACGAGAAAGAAAAGAAATTTCACGGACCTATATGGTCGGGAACACACCTAAAAGGAAGATGAGGAGAGGAAGATGAGGAAGAAAACCACAAACAGGCGGAGGAACATGATCTAATCGCAGCATGAGCAGGCTTTTCCCAAAAGAGTGCGAAGAAATCAAATAACAAAAAGCCAGCGAATGGACTTTGGTATCATTTATGGTGTTGGTTCTCCTTCATTCTTCGCTTCCAACACTATTGAACGCATGTGCAACACGTATCTAAGCCCACAAAACAAAAGTAGGAACGAAGGAGACAGAGAATTAGTAGAGGAAGGAGAAAATATAATATATACCTGGTTTTACGAGTCGAAATGATTCAGAACATCTGGAGTATTCGTCAAGTTTAAAGTTATTAGAAAGACTTTGTATGGTTCCAAAGGAGAAAAAGAAAAATTAGAGAATTATCAACAATGTTGCTATTGACAGGCTACTTGTCTCTGTGAGTTGAAATAAAATCACATAATGTGTACAGATGCCAAATGGTCCCTGGATTGTACGGTCGGAGATCATGTGAGAACTCCTAATTGACAGTTGTAAAAATCTCTCGCTTCCTCGTGATTATTTTAATTGCTCTTGACCCTCGCCAAGCTAGAGATTTCTCTCTTCGTTGTCAAAGCGATGTATGTATATTTTTTTCAATTTGTCAATTTCACCAAAGTAGCTAGTTATAATTAATTTCAACGCTGTATGTGTATGTATATTGTAGGGTCCATTCCCCTCATCAATCTTTCAATTTCTTCTCACCTAAACTACGACTTTCTTTCCATTTCAAAACTACTATTTTCTTGTCCCCACGTGAAATTTCGCAGCATATAGCCTTTCTTTTTCCCTTCTTTTAATGTGTTTTATTTGCCTCTCTTATGCATATATGTGTAACCCTGACGTGTGATTTTTTTTTTTCTGGGGTCAGTCTTGAAGAATATTAACGATTGAACAACCTTTTTTTTTTTTTTTTTCTGGTCAGAAACGATTGAACAACCTTAATAGTGGAGTAATCTGTGGGGAGCTAAGGGGGTTGCATCCGAATAGTCAATCTTGGTGGGATCAATATGTGCATTAAAAAACGACATAATTAATTAGCTTTTGCAGCACTTTCAAAAAGCAGCTTGTGCCTTTATGTGTAAATGATTGGTGTAAGAAAATAAGTTCGAGTCCGACCAATGCATGTTGCAGTCAACATAATCTAGGATTATATATATATTACTGACCTTTGCAAAAGAACCAGTTATCCGCAGGCAATATTATTTCCCCTTTTAACGCAGAAAGTCTCAAAAGTTAAATATTATTGCTGAAAAGAGAATGAATTGAGACTATATACATCACCTACTTGTTTGACATTTGAACTTTTTCCACGAGAGGGAAGAGCTAAAAGAAGAAAGGGGAATGGAGGAGGTGAAATTTTTATCAACTTTGTTGACTTGCGATGATCCATGTACCCAACTTTTAATTTTCTCGAATATCTCACCATATATATGCGGTGTTCAGCTTAACGACGTCTTTGTCATATTCCGCAGATAGTATTAACACGAGTGATATCTCTTCAGGCTTAATTAGTTTGTTACAGAAATTATAATATTTGCCCTGGCTAGTGTTAGTTTCTTCTTACAAATACAGCCGGTTTTGTTCTATCCTGTAACATGCAATTAATATATAAGCTATCAGACTGGCGTTTGAATACAAAGATTCCGTTTTTGGGGTGTATTGTGTTGGATGTCGATCCCCATCTGTTATGCTTTTTTTTTTTTGTGGGTGACATCTGTTATGCTTTGCACATACATATACATACATACTGACACACACGCGCACATATATATATATTCAAAAAGCCGGAATTCAAGGAGAATTAATTATTATAGCGAGTTTGCTGATAGAAGTTGGGAAAGGTGGATGAGCCATACCAGAAATTAAGTAGGAAATCAAACAAGAAGAACTTGTTTGCTCAATTTAGTATCCTGAATCTGATCTCAGGGAACAGCATAAATTAAGGAATCGGTTCTCGAATTAGGTTTGGCTAAAACACACCAAACTCCAAAGAATTTGATCATTCTGCATGACATTTGTCGATCCTAAGGGGTTTCGGAGGTGTGGAATGGGAGGGAGATAAGAGGACCTATCAATGAGATTAAGAAATTGATTACACTCCCAGTCCCTAATGTAAAACCTATTCAACTAATATAATTAGATTAACAAAATTAGATAAGTTAGTCGATTATAAAAAATATGATATGTTTTTTCTAAAACATACTATAATTATTTTCCTTATGGGGTGTTTGGATTGCTCAATAATCACTTTTAAAAAGCACTTTTCGGTAAATCGAGGCAAACTCTTTTACATATTTATTTTCTATGTCGTAAAAGCACTTTTAAAACCATGGTTTTGTTATTATCCAAACACCCTTTTAATATCCTCCTCCTCTCCTACTTAATTATAGTTGAAGGAGTATGCATAAGAATAATTAAGAAAAAATTAATAAATGTAAAAAATAATTCTAACATTTAAAACCAAATTCAATTCAACAATTAGATCCTATATTAAAAATTGGAAGAGTATAGTATATAGATAGCTTGAGAATATATATATATATATGTAATGTCGGTTTTGTCTCCTTATGTGTGCAAGAGTTGACATTATTTCTCAATTATATTAGGAATCTATGAAAGAACTAGACGTCTTAATCTTCTAGTATTTTAATTTGTTGATGAAGACTTGCAACCTACCATTCCATATGGATACTTCAGCCATCTACAAATAGAAAACGTATCACTCACTAATTAACTATTTCGCATGGACCCCAGGAATCTGATATTATCGTCAATAAAACATATAAAATTATTTACTTATACTAAGGGAGTGTTTGGATAGAAACTAAACCATGGTTTCAGAAGTACTTTTACGGATTACGAAGTAAATATGTGGAGGAGATTATCTCGTTTTGCGGAAAAGTGCTTCTGAAACCACGGTTTTGAGACACCCAAACAGGCACTAAAATGTGGCTCCCTTTCCCATTTCGTGTTTGTTGTTGACGTCATGCTTGGATAAATAAGATCAAGGGAAAACTATGTTGACTTATAATTGATTTAAAGACCAGTATATCATTAATATCACAAAGGGATTATTTTCTACTCTCTTGACTTCGATATATACATATGTAAGATGTTGGCGTCGGAATGTATGTGCTTTGTTAATCTACACACACACACACACACACGCACACACACACACACACACACACACATATATATATCCCTGTGGAGAAGAAATTAAATTGATGAATGAATATGAACTGACCAAATAAGATGGGCTTATTTTTCCTAATCTGATTTTTTCATTGCGGTTCCAAATATTTCCTCTTTCCTTCCCATCTTCCTCTTCTTTTTTTAACCATTCGATTAATATTTTAATGGTTAAGATTTAAATCTTTTTAAAACTATTATTAAAATATTAAATTATAAAAATAAATAAATGATAAATCGCAAACTCTAATAGAATTGAATTATAACGTTTTGCAAATGCATTGAATATTTTTAATTTTTTTATAAATAGTTTATAAAAATTAAAATCTGAATCGTTAAAATATGTTAATCCAATTATTAGAACAAGAAAAAAAGAGGAAAAAAGACAGGAAGAGAAAAGGAAAGGTTTTGAACCGTGAAGATGCATTTATTTGGTTTTCTTTCAAAAAAATAAAATAAAATATTAAATGTATTTATTTTGATGCAAATGATAATCTCAATTTAAAATTTATACTTACAAGATTTGATGATAAAAAAATTATAATTTCAGATATAATAATAAATTTTTTTATCATAATAAAAAAATTATTCTTAAAAATTTTAGGGAGAATTACAATAAGGTTTGAAAAAAGAAAAATAATTACAAAACAAATTTTACAGGTTTTCATTTTCTATTCTGAAATTTGTCATTACAGGCTGCTTAGACTGTTATTAAAATTTTTTAGTAATTATTTTTCTTATTTGAGACCTCATTATAATTCTCTCAAAATTTTAAACATTCCAAATAGCGAAATTTTTCAAGTGTAATTTTTTTTTTCCGCAACTGAATTTTCCATCAGCCTTGTAAGGCACGAGTTAACTCCCCGTGCAAGGGCAAATAGACAGGCTATCGAAACAATTTGTTTTGGTTTTTATCGGACAACTTGTTTCGGACGTGGACTGACAATTAGTGGGCTTATGATCCCAAAGTCATGGGCTAACATGGCCCATTTTGATGAACAAGCCTACAATTAGTTGTTTCCCTATTCCGGCCCGCCACTCATTAGAGACAAATAGACACATGCTAGTGTATGTATAGTCAGAGCCCAGAGCTTCTATTGTAGTTCCAGTTCCAAAAGACAATTCCCTTCAATTAGGATCTAAGGGGTGTTTGGATGAGGCAAAACCATGGTTTGGAGAATAGATTTTAGAGAGAATAGATTCTGAAAGAATAGATTTTCTGAAAGAGTGATTCTGATAAAGTGAGAGTGTTTGAATAATTGTTGTCAGAAGTGCTTTTTGATATGTAGAAATTACTAAAAAGGACATAAGTTTAAATGATAATTACATGTAAGATATATTTCATAATATATGTTTATTTGAAGTAATAAATTTTTAATAATATATATTTTGGCAACATAATAAATAAGACATAAATAATATAATTAATAAAAAATTAAAGTGTATATATATTAATAAAATAATTAAATATGTTTTTAGGAAAATGATTTATTTTGCCAAAAAAATATTATTATTTCTTAAAAATTTTAAAGATGAAATCCCATATTTTTTTTTTCACAAAATTAAATAACCACACAAAAAAATTTCATATTAATTGTCTTAATAATAGAGGTTGCAACGAAATATATTTGTACAAATAATTTTTTTTAACAACACATTACATTATCTGAAAAGAAAAAAGAAAATAAAAGGGACATGATTATTCTTGTATATAGTGAATAATTTGATCTCTTATGGAGTCACAAAGCCGAGCCATGTGAAACGAAGATTCTATTGATGAAGGTATTAAGACCTTGTCTATATATTAACTCTTTAATTAGGTTTTACATTAATGACCGGAACAATAATCTTACATTTAAGACCAATATTAAATCTCCAATTAGGTCCTACATTAAAAACTGAAATAATAAATTTATTAATTTTTTCTGCCAACATAATAAACAATGTATAAAAACATATATTAATTACTATATCCAGTTGTAAATGTAAGAATTAGTTGACTAATTTGAGTAAATTAAAAAAATAAGTTAAGTTAGTTATTTATAATAAACAGGTATTGCCTTTCCTACAATATCCCTATTAATCAAGTTTATTGGTTATAACTTAAAAAACGATAGACAAATATGAGAAATAAAATAGATTGAGGTTTTATATTTAGGACCAAATACAAATCAAATGAGGTCTTATATTAAAAACAAAATGTGGTAATTGTTGATATGTGTATATATAATTATAAAATATAAGATTATGTTTTTAGAAAACTAAATAATTATTTTCAACAAAAAAAAAACCATACGTAGGGGGTGGGGGGAGAACCACTCAAAAAGCAAAAATTTTTAGCTTATTACAAAACCTTGGTTTTGATAGGCAAACCATGGTTTTATCATAAAACCATGGTTTTGAAAAATTGATAGGTGTTTGGGTAATTTTTTCCCAAACTATGGTTTGAGCAATCACCCAAACACCCCCCCTAGCCCAAAAAAAAAACTAATTCCCCATAAAAGAACAAAAGTTCAAATTCCAACCGAAAGATATGTCTACGTTTAGTATCCAACAGCATCTCAAAAAAGATTGACTCTAATAAGAAAATATTTGTGCTTAATAAAAAAAAATTAAAAATAATTTTTCTTGACTAAAAGGAGTGTTTTGGTGAAAACAAACTGTGATTTTAAAAATAATTTTACAGTATACAAAATAAATATGTAAAAAGAATTTTATTTCAATTTGCTCAATTTGTATGAAAGTATTTTTTTAAAAGTGCTTTTAAAATCAACTAAATACCCTCTAAACCATTAGTTTGGATATTGGATTATAGAACAGTTTACATTTTTCTCAATCGGATTCTCCTCTCTAGAAATTGCTTTAAATGAAGAATTAGAAAGTAGTCAATTAATTTAGAGTTCTTGAAATGAATGATTTTTTGTTTTCAGTTGCTAAACCCACTGTGGGATGTTACCAGTTCACCAGTTGGAGCTACATTTTATTCTCCATCTCTTTTGCTTGTTAGTGAGTACTACTCATCACATCGTCTTCAAAAGGATATTATTAATATTTTTTCATGAAAACTCTCGCAAATTACTTTTTTATCCTTAATATATAACCCAATTGAAGAATTAATAAAAATGATTTAATTTCTGCAGCAACATTTATATCAAACGCGAAGATAATTTACTTAAATATTTCAGATCAAATGATGCCATCTTACTCTTAAAAAAAATCATCATTTTCCTATTTCGTTGCTGTATCATTAAAAATATTAAATATAAAAAATTTAGTTTATCATATCAAATCATCATCGTCATCCTATTGTTTATTTGCAAAGTTTACTTAAATATTTTGATATTTTCTTCACTATGTATTTTTTTTTTTGGAATGAACATTTTTTACTTGACCAAAGGGATTAGCATCTTTTCATTCCCTTCTTTTTTTTTTAAGGAAAAAAAATCCTCATATGAAAGCGATCAGTTAAGATGGTACGTGTGGGCGCTCAACCAACGGTTAATTCCCAACGACCGACGCTGGCATTTTATGTTGGCAGCGAAGCCTAAAGAGGGACGCACGCAAGCACAGAGACGTATACGCGCGCGCGCGCGAAATGTGGGCCCCCGTCAACGGTTTCACGCTCGACAAAAGCGCGTCCGACTCTCCGACTTCTTCGGATGTGGGCCCATCTCTACCACTCTTTCTGATCATCCTCTCCTGGCCGCCGATCAGATTCTTCCTGTGGGGTCCCTCTCACTCAATCGCTTCTCCTGCGGTTGATTCTTTGGGACCCATCACTTACTAAAAGAAAATTTCCAAAAATTTCTAAAAGAAGGAAAAAAATGGAAATGAGATGGAAAATTTACACACATCTTCTGGGGTGGCTGGTGGGGGTGATGAGAGAGAAACGAGAGGGGGTAAGGGAGAGAGACGGAAGCTCAGAAACCCAGAGAGAGAACGCCCAGATGATGGTCTAAGAGAGGGTCCTCTCAGATCATCGTGAAAAAGGCAGCAATTAGAAAAAGATTCTTTTTTTTTGGGACCTCTTGCTGCCTTTTTGTTGACTCTCAATCACCCCCAGCGTGCCGCATTGCATTATCTTCTTCTGTTTATTCATCATCGTCCTCCATTGTTAACGTCCCGTCACACGAAGTCATCTTCCTGCATGGTATTTTCACTTTCTTAATCAATGGTTTCCTGCTGTGCCCGCCTTTTTCCCCCTTTTTCTTTTGTTTTCTTTTTTATTCTGATAACCAGAGACTTTGCTTGGTGATGAGGTTATTCCTTCTTTCTTCTTTGTTATGGTATTGGTTGGTATCTGACTCATCCTTCTTCATTATTGTTTTTCCTTCTCTGGTACAAGTTCATTTCATCTGGCTAATTTCTTATTGTGGGTGAAATTTTCTTTCAGCTCCAGCCATACTGTGGAGGGCCATTGAAAGGAAGATTTTGAGCCGGGTTATGCCTTTGTTGAACAAGCTTTAGACGAAGAAGATAATTATAATCATGAGGGACCCTGATGTGATCTTCGGAACCAGTTGCCTACATTTCTTTTGCTTTTCGTAAAATAGTTTGTAGTTAGTGAATTGTTTTATTGGTTGCGAAGTACGGGTAGATTGAAGGGGTATTTGTGTAGGAAAAAACCTCGCGATTCTATATACTTAACGTCTAGCAAATTGGCTCTTACAAAGCAATGGGTTCTAGATGTGGCTCATATGTATTATGGAGCAGAATTTACTCTGCTTTAATTTGTCTGTGGGGTATTCATGCATGTTGGTCGCTTAATGACGAAGGTGATTTTTAGATACGGTCCCTTTTTATTCCTTTTCGAAGCAACATGTAATGTATTTCCTTTTGACGTATGATTTTCGTCTTATCTGGAATGAAAATGCAGTAATGGCTTTGTTAAAGTTCCGGGCTAGAATAGATTCTGATCCTCATGGAACTTTGGCTAACTGGAAACCAGATGATCTTGATCCTTGTGACTGGGTGGGTGTTCAATGTGTTGACACTAAAGTACAAATGCTGTAAGTTCCTTTTGTTTTCGCTCAAGATTTCTGGCAAGGCACAGATATTTTTGAAGGAATAGAAATGCATGGAGCAGTGCATCCCTGTTTTTTGGGGAACTAAGACTGTGCCTCCCTGTTTCTTCTTTTAGGAACTTAAGTGGGCTATCTTTGGAAGGTACACTGGCTCCTGAGCTTGGGAAACTAAGTAACTTAAAATATCTGTAAGGATTCGACAAATATTTCCATGCCTCTGTTTCTGAAGTTTTGATGATTGGAACTGTCTCAAGACAATTTTTATACTTTCCAATTTCGTAATCATGCCTGTATTTCCTTTCACCCGAAATGAAACTTCAAGTTTGTGCTGTGTTGTAGTTTTTTATATTAGATTGCCGCAGATTGGTCCCAATAAACACTTTTCATTTTATTCTCTTCTAGCATTTTGCCACTTTGCCTTTCCTTTCCCATCTTCTAGATAATGTAGTTTTTTAAAGCTTTCATGGTGGCAGTTTTTTTCCTTCAATCATGCAAAGATTTGAGCAATTACTATTTTCGAGCGAAACAAAACTATTACTTTGCTTGTTTATTTAGTTACTGTTAGAAGGGGTGTATATGGACACTTTTGAAGTCCATCATCGTACTTATTTTGTTGGACATGAAAATATGTAGTTCGTCTGCTTTATTGGTTCAATTTTTTGATTTTTTGATATTTTTTGATGCCTTATCAGCGTATTTCCTTATTTTGTGATTGATGTCCTCAGACAAAGATTAAGTTAAAGGAATTTGATAATGATATTTCATTTGTGAACAGAGAAACCATAGATTAGTATTTTCTTTCCACTCTGTTTTTTCCTGATCGGCTTCCTCTGTTTTTCTTAAAGGGTATTATGCAAGAATAACTTTTCTGGCACCGTTCCTAAAGAGCTTGGAGACCTAACTAAGCTGGAGCTGTTAGATTTGAGGGACAATAGCCTGACTGGAAGTGTTCCGGCAGAAATTAGCAAGATGTTGTTTCTAAAAGAGTTGTAAGCTTACTCTTTTTTTGGCACGATGTTGTTCCTAAAACTAAAACATCATATTCAAAAGCATTTTTTATCTTCAATAAAACAATGTTACCCCAGGTCCCTTTTTGGCAACAACATTGAAGTCACTGTTCCTCAAGATCTTGGGAAGGTGGAATTACTCTCTAAACCACAATTGGTCGACAATCATACATCTCATCAGACAGCTGAACTTGGTTGCATGAATAGAAAACTTGGACACTGGTTAGTGTATCTTCTTCTTCTTCTTCTTCTTTTATTTTTTTATTAACTGACATAGTGACGTTTATTGTTTGCCTTGTCCTCCAAAGCCATTGAGAGATAAGGACTTTTTTCTCACAGACCCGGCGATGCATAATGTGCCTATGAAGAAAAGATGTTTAAGTTTCAGGTCGATTAAAAAGGAAAAATATTATTACACAAAAAGGGGAAGATCTTAAAGAGTCACAGGAATGAGTTTAGATGTGAAGATTATCAGTTTGAGCTAATATGTCATCATAATCGGTGTATCTATATTTTGGATAGTATTTTGGACAATTTTATAGTTATTGGGAGTTCATTGCATGTATTGGGTTAGATTAGGGGGTTAAAACGTTGAAAGTTAACGAATGGATTGTTGGGAGAAGAACTGATTAGTTGGTGGTTAAAATAGATGCTCTTAGGCATCACCTCAGCATTGATGGAGTTTATTAATTGAGTAAGGAACTTAAGAAATGAATACTTTGAGTTCTCGAAGCAATGATCTACTACCCTTGCATGTATATTTCTTCTCTAGCATCCTTGATAAATGGCCTGTTGTCCCATCGAAGCTTCCCCCACAAGATGTTCTATAGAGAACAAAATTCAAGCGGGCAATGTTTGATGGAAAATCAAAATATTAATTAACATTTAATATGTTAATAATTGATAAAAATCCAAACCATTAATCACATGGCTATTGAAAATCCATGATGTACTAGATCCATCTAAAGTTGGACATGGAAAAATATGGGCTCAAGGTTTTGCCATTTCCTTTGAAGAACAGCAACCTCAACTGTGACAATAATTTGATTCATTGTCATATGAGGAGTTGCAAGTTGATAACTGAGACATGGCTATATTGAGCAGTCAAAACAAAATTTTTGAGTGATATTATTCTTTTATGGAGTTTCATCTACTGGAATTTATGATTACACCTAGTTTGTTCATTCCTATGTAGTTAGCCAAGTTTACATATGGTTTTGAATTTGCATTGTTTGAAGCTTATGATGCATGGCTTTGGCAGCGTGTGGCAGAGCAATTTCAAAGAATGGAACATGAGACAATCGCTTGTCATTCCAATTAAAGGAGCAATTACAAAATGCCTCAATTCCTTGACGCTGCCATTGTGTGTACATATCTCTGTTCCCATTAAGTATCTCAAGAAGTATACATATGTTTTGTTCTTTCATTGTTCTCTAACTACTAAAACTGTCCACTCTACTTTCAAGGTTCAAGCTACAAAACTACCATAACTATGAAGAGAACTGCTTTGACAATCAGCCTAGTGAGTGGAATACTCATATCTGAATTTTGGACTATTGAGTGATAGAAATTTATGATTCATATTGAGAATAAACATATTCTTCGTAATATGTATGTTCAGGTGAGTCAGCAGTTGCTCAAATACGTCGTAAATTACTTGATCAGTCCAGCAACCTTGCAGCGGCACCTTTTAGTGGTGGGTCTGCAAAACAGATCATTAGTCTCCCAACTACACTGAGTAGTGGAGCTTTTCCAGCCATATTAAATACCAGCAAGAATCAAAATCAGTCATCTGCGCCATTACCTTCTCCTGCTTCTTCTGGAAATGAAACAAATCAACAACCTTCAGCTGAAGATAAGGCATCTGGAGATGCTTGGAAATACATAATTATTATATCAGGTGTGCTTGTGTTGGTCATTGTTGCTGTTGCCATATTTTGCCTGTGGAATAAGAGAGCAGTAAAAGCAATTAGGCCATGGAAGACAGGATTAAGTGGACAGTTACAGAAGGCTTTTGTGACAGGTAAGTTTTGTTACAGAAGGCAATTGAACCCTTTTGTTTTATATTTTGAGCTTTTCACCTGGTTCAACTGTTCACTAAATTATAAAGAAAATGACAATGTCATTTTGCATTGTAGCTCTTGGTTTCAACCACATCTTTTGAAGCTGTTTGAGGGTGTCCAGGGAATCTAAAATAAAAAGTTCTCAAGGGAATCTTGTCAAGGGAATTTACTTATCTTGAAAATTGACTAAAGAAACTAATTAATTTTGATAAAAAATTAAAACATCTTTGCATGATGTACATCAATTTTCAAACTACCCCTATAAAGCTCCTTGATCTGTAATGATGGCCTATTGCAAAAGTATCATATGTCCGAAACCTCTAATGTGTATACTGTCTTACCCGTTCAATTTATACAAATCAAACATAATGAATAGAATTTGACTCTCTGCATTTTATGATAGTGAGTTTGCGTCTTCTGTTATAATATTTAATCCCCAATTTTAGTTATGAGCTCAGTCAATGGCTTTCAATAATGTGTGGGTTTTCTCATGTTAGAAAGCAGACATCACTGTTCACCATGGTGACGAGTGATAACTTTATCAATTGTTTCATATCAAATCCAGGTGTCCCTAAGTTAAATCGAGCAGAGTTGGAGGTGGCTTGTGAGGATTTCAGCAATATTGTTACAAGCTTGCCTAATTGCACCGTATACAAGGGAACCCTATCCAGTGGAGTCGAGATTGCTGTTTCTTCAGCTCTGATATCTTCTGCCCAAGACTGGTCAAAGAATATGGAGATTTCCTATCGAAAAAAGGTTTGTGCCTTTTAAAGTCCATGGAAAGGAAGTTCGATAATGACTCCTAATTTAATTGAGAAGATGGATCTCAATCCTCAATCCCTTCTGCTGCTAATTTTCTCTTTAAATGACGTAGATTGATACCTTGTCTCGGGTAAACCATAAGAACTTTATCAATCTTATCGGCTACTGTGAGGAAGAAGAGCCATTTACTAGGATGATGGTAACTGAGTATGCTCCAAATGGATCCCTGTTTGAGCATTTGCATGGTAATATTCTTTCTTTTAGTGATTTTTTTGTTGGGTATAGGGCAAGTCTGAGTATATTTATTATTTATATCCTTTTTGCTGAATGACCAAATTCTGTGGACTATTGAAAAAATAAAAAAACCTTAGTTGAGGGGCTTGAACACCTTGATTGGAACGCGAGGATGAGGGTTATTATGGGCGTGGCTTATTGTCTTCAGTACATGCACCATGACCTGAATCCACCAATAGCTCATAGCAACCTCGATTCACAATCAGTCTTGTTAACAGATGATTTTGCTGCAAAGGTACACCCGTTTGTGTCTCCCATGTACTGTTTTTAGGGACGTACTCTTTCTTTCTTTGAGAAGTTAGATTTTATAACTCTTCTCTCTATTTTAAGAATGAGCGCTTGTTTCCTTAAAATCAAAAGATACTACATTTATCTATCCTATATAATTAGTAATTACACTTATTTTGACCAAGACAATTTTATATATATATATTTTATACGATATAACAAGTATTAAATATATATTGGACCACTATAAAAGATTCAGTTTTCTCAACTTGACTGATAATACAATTGTTCTTCAAAAGTATTTTGGTCCAATTTCAGTTTCAAGGGATAATTGTATACCCCAATACAAAGGAGAAGATAGGGTAATACAGGAACTTTGCGATTTACCCTTTTCTTGATTACTTTCATTAGTTGTTGAATCCTAAGCAATTGTGCATTTTATATTCTATTGTTCGCTTAGGTTGCCCAGGTCATGTTTACCCCATCAACTGAGGATAAATCAAATTCAAAGAATTCTGAATTGTCATTCAACTCTGATCCTGAAACGAACGTTTATTGCTTCGGAAAATTGCTATTCGAAATCATTTCTGGGAAATTACCAGACTGTGAAGAACAAGGACAACTCGAGAAGTTGGTAAGCTTCAAATGCATCAACTGATCCTTTTCTTCTGCTTCCCATTGTTACTCCTTTCATTTTTAAGATCTACTGTTTAAATCTGAACCTACATTTATTATTGTCTATATAATAAAACAATTCGCGTTAACTTCATAGGCTGGTGAATTTTCAAATGGTAAGAGAAGCATCAGTTACATGATCGATCCTTCCCTTGAATCCTTCAAAGAGAAAGAACTTGATGTGGTTTGCGAGGTGATCCATCAATGCACCCAACCTAATCCAAGTTTGAGACCCACAATCAAGGATATAACCTCCAAATTAAGGGATGTTATTGGAATATCACCTGACCAAGCAGCCCCAAGACTTTCGCCGCTTTGGTGGGCCGAGCTAGAGATCTTGTCAGAGGAGGCAACATAACTTCTGTTTGACTCAATGTAGTAAAGTCAAGTGACCAGAGCCCAATACATCTTCCAGTATATATGTACATCAATATATATATTTGCGACCGAAATTTTATATTGTCCTTGTTGCTTTGTAAGTCCTTATGGTTCATAACATGGCTATTCATGCTGTAATGAAAGTGTGTTATGATGTTTTCATAGCGGGGGTGGTTTAAAATGCTTTTTTTTTTTTTTGTTATTTAAGTTGGAAATGTAAAAAAGTGTCTAACAATTTTTAAATAGGTCTGTCAGTGAAACGGGTACTTGGTTTATGATTATCAAGCTCCTTGTCCCATCTCCAAAACGCGCACCAGAAAAGACCGACATAAATTAATGAAAATCCTGCATAGTGTTATAGATACAGGGTTAGATTATTTGATTAAAAAAATGCATCCTTTTGACAATAAATAAGATGAAATTAGAGTTTTAATCCATTTAAGATAGACGTGTGTATCAGAATTATTCAATATCAGACGTCCCAGAGAAAGAGAGTTGCCCCCCCTCCCCCCCCAAAAAAAAAAAAAAAGAGGAACTAAATTTTATTTTCTTACGTGTTTGTACCCTACAGAGATAAAATTAGAACGACAGCATGTCTCCTCAGGGATGTCAACAAGAATGCAATCGTCATTTTTTTTTTTTTGAGAAAATCCTTTAAACGTCATATGGTTTCGAATCTTATGGTGCGCCAGCTGGATTGAGACTTTCATGCTGGTCAATGTTAATATTCAATCCACCTGCCTCTGTTCTATAACGTCACAGGGCCGGCATTTGATTTGGATAGGGAACATGGGAACGTAGCTCGGAGATTTTTTTCCCCTTTTCTTAGCTGACAAAAATTGTACTCTTAGCCAATCACCCATTATCATATCTAGGGCGGCCCATCCCAGTTTTGGTTTCGTTGAAAAATTATATTACAGAACTACGATATTCCAAGCTTTTTCAAACCCATTACTCTGTATATAGTATTCACTGTTTCACTGATGTTTGCGATATGCTAACTGCAACAAAAGCAGCAAAATTAATTAGCTGAAACAAGCTAAAGCCTAAGGATTTACAATTGTATGGCGATCACTACTTGTCCTGGATATTCAGTTCGGAAGCAGCCAGGTGGACGTTCATTCCCCATTGCCTGAGACGCAGATACAGAGAAAGAGTTGCAGCCAAGAACTGCACGCGCTGCAGTGGAGTCAGAACATCCAGCGTCCCCTTCAGTGTCTTGAGCCTCACGCAATCCGCCGCCTTCATCACCTTCTCTAGCCCACCCATGACCCCCTTCAACGCAACTTCCACCAGCCCGTCCGCCACACCGTGGCCGTGGCGGCTCGACAGTTTGGCCAGCTCCGCCATTTTCCGGTCAGCCATGGCCACCTGCAGTCTCTCCATCTCTCTCTCCACCTTCTCCTCCTCCACCCTCACCTTCATCCTCAGCTCCTCTATCTTCCTCCGCTGCTCCTCCGTCATGGCGGCCAAGGCGGTGCCGGGCTTCCTGACCAAAGCACTGAGGAGGCGGAAGGCGGCGGAGGGCTTCCATCCGGTGAGCCAGGAGGAGTAAGCATTCTCCAGAGGAGTGAGCCACGCAGGGGAGAAGAAAGGGAGAACGTCGTCGCGAGCCGAAGCCCATTTCACAGTGTAGTATTCCTTGAGGTGGGTTGTAACTGTAGAGACCAAAACCTGCAGGTGTTGGTCGTCCTTCACCACGTGGTTGCTCTGTTTAGAGACTTGCACCTCCATGAGATGATGAAGGATGTCTTCAAGTTTCAGAAGCCAGTCACGGTAGAAGTCAGAGAATCCATGGTGGAGCTGCGTTTTCATATTGTGACAGAAATGTTGTGTAGAGTGTGTGGCGAGGGTGATTTGGAGAAGAGATTTAAGGGAGAAGCTAGAGCTAGTGTGTGTGAAGAGGCGAGAGATGATGACGAAGAGAGACCAGATGGAGAGAGGAGGAGAGGCCACGCCTATAAATGGGTGTGACTGAGTAATTGGTGCATGGATTCCGCGCAGCAATTGCCTTTCTGCTCTTCACTTACGAACTAAAAACAGCATGCTTATATAGTTCCAATTTCAACACTCATGCATATATATTTATTTTTTTAACCATCATGCATATATATATACATAGTTGTACTATTTTGTTATGCGAAGTGGAATGCATATATATTGAGCATGAAAAGGTGGTAAGGCCGGGTAGCTTGCCCCTGAATTCTGGGATAAACTTCTATTTACTTCAATTCTATCCCCTTGCTTCATCGACTACGCACATTGATGTCCGTGTCGAGTGTGAAACATAGATTCTATTCTATGGAATTATGCTGAGGTGAATGTGGGACGAAAAAATAGAATCATTCTATATATATATATATGTATGTATGTATATGTATATGTATGCATATAGAAACACAGAGAGAGTGCGTAGGTAGTGTTAGAGAGGATGGCCTTTGCTTTTAGCGTAGAGGCAGAACTGAGAAGGAACATATGTGCAGAGTGCTATTCTAAGTGCCTACACCACTCACCTGAACTCGGAGACGTGTCTCTTTACCACTAACTTCATCTTCAACGTGGAATATCGGCCTTGCCTGCCTCTGTCTGGGTTCCTTCTTACTTGAAGGAGAGTAAACCTAGCAAAAAGGTGCAGAATATTCAATTCAACATATCCATCTGCTTTGACACCCAAAAAAAAAGAAAGGAAAGAAGTTCAAGGCGCCATTTATCAACAAACTCAGTTAATTATATATATACACCAAATTATGTACTTATCAATTAAGTGCACATATGTAGTGACATCCACATAAGTATATATATTCGAAAGAATTTAATCCGTAATTTGATTTGAAATTTCAGTATATTATATATAACCGATATACGCTTGCATTTTCGTCCCAGAAGAAGAAAAAAAGGTTCTGCGCCAGATTCGGATTGCGTCTTCAAAGGCAAGTAGTCATCTATCATTTATATGCGAGGATGCCTTTTCCCTCCCTACTAAACCAAAAAAAAAAAAAAAAAAATCGGCGTTACCTTGTAAATATTTCATGCGAAGAAGGATCTGGATTTTTAGTTCTACTGCTTATCAACGTCCTTAAGACTTGAGAAAACCCAATAATAAGTTACTATTCTTATTTACCCAATAATAAGTTACTATTCTTATTTAGTTAAACTTGGGTTTTTAGCCATTAATTGGTAGTGTGGCGCCACCGCCAATATGAACCTGAACAATACATAGATTTCCTTTCCAAATTAAAGCGATGGATTTTCAATGACGCGGATGCAAATGTCACTCCCTTTGTCAAGGATCATTGAGGAGACAAACCACATACGTCAGTGCGTGTGTGCGTACGTGGAGTTGTGTGTATCACATTCAACCTCCATGAAATTCTGTTGACGTGTGGATGAAATTGCACCAACCTATGTAGACATCATATTTTGACACATTGTTGTGCATGCAACACTTCGCTCCCGCCAACTGACACGTCGCCCTCTCATATATGTACTCTTCTTTCTTGGATTTGGAGGATGAAAAACAAGTTTAGGTTATTTTAATCTGTTATGTTATACTACTCCTCCGATCCAAAATATGGAAGCCTTCTTATAATCTAATTTACACTACAAAATAGGTCTTATATTTAGGACAGGAGGAGTATCTTTTATCTTAATTATAAGACCTTATTTGTAATCTATAAACAAAGTTTTATAATTAGAACCGAAAGGTAGTATATAGTTTTATTTCCTTCTAGCAGAATTTCGTTATTACAGTTGGTTGACGTTTGGTCTCTTAAATCTGTACTAATATCAGTCTAATGTTCGTCTCTTCCCCATATTACGATATCGGTCTGCCATACGTCCAGTGTATATACTATCTCAGAACTAAAATCGGTTCCAGGAAAGCGACTGATCACTGATTTGTTTCTTAGAATGAAGAGGACGTGAGCTGATACCGATGACAATTGTGAATCAGATATTAACAATGCTTCCTATTCAACTTGCTGAATGTACACTTGTTGGCCATACCCACCAGATGGCCTCCTGATTATTGGGTCACTGAACAGCTTGTTATCATTATTATTAACAGATCCAAACCTGCTCACAATTACCCCATATATATGTGTGTGTGTGTGTGCTTACTAGGCGTTTCATATGTTTCATTCTCTGTATAATGCAACTTGAGACTTTGACCTTCCATGTGTGTGTTGAACTCTAGCCCACGTGGGATCCACATGGCCACTTGATGTCCAGCTGCTTTCACTCCATTGGTGGATTATATTCCTCTGTTTTCATTTGTGGTCTCAAGCCCTATCTATTTGGTCATATGGCAATTCCTTTGTTGTGTGATTCCAATTTATCTTGCTACTTGTTTCTCTCCTTCTCATTCATTTGCACAGCATCACAATTCAAATTGAATTAGATGGCACATTTGCACTTGCCAACTGGATCAATATCTGCATGCGTATCTGTTACTTTCAGGTGTAAAATTTTCCAAGTAGTTTTATTCCGTACAAGCACCGGTTATACGATTATCGTTACTGGGCTGAGAAACATTTGGGTATATAATTATTTAAAGCAATTATTAGACTTTTATTATTTGCTTCAATTGACAAAGCAGCTAATCTACAAGTTCCAATGTGGAAAGTGATGAATCCTGAAAAAGAAACTGTCATCTGAATCGCCCAATTCTACTTCAACCCCGCTATTCAACATTTAATTAAAGCACTAGTTTTTTGTTTTGTTCAAAACTTAAAACACCAGTTGAAAAGGCAAATTATTTACTAGATTTAAACACATAACAACCATATTACCAGAGGGATGAATGTATGGGAACTCATCAGTTAGGCTCAGAATTATTGGGAAGAATAAAGACCAACTCAAAGATGAGAAGTTTAATTATTCTCGTAACAGCCACCGGAAAATCTGAATTGTGTCAATCTCTCCTTCACTTCTTTCGCAATATCCATAGAAAAAGAAATCCAAGAGAAATTTAGTAAATTCCGCAGAATAAATGAATCCAACTATTGTAACAGCCTCCGATTATTTACCATATTTAGAAGGGGGAAATAAGAATTTCTGAACCTGCTTAAATTTCCATATTAGGATTTCTTTTTCGGGCCTTGACTTTTTTGGCAGGATATGTAGGAAGTCGTATATCAGACTAGAAAGAGAACAGCCAACGCTTTGATCTTTCATAGCACAAGAAATGGAATAATCGCTTCTGATGGGGATGTGGTTCCAGAAAGTAGCTTCCGAGGGCTTTGAGATGGAATAACCCCTCCAATTCGTTTCTTCTGCTGCCACATACTCAGGAAGGAAATGCAGATCTGCAGAATATGGCTTAGCTTTTTTTTTTTGCCCCCTAAAGCTTGAAACCCATTTCGCTGTTCTTGCATAGCTTTTATATATGGAAGCGGGAAGAATGGAGAAGCAGGGCAAAATTCTGATGCAGAAATATGAGCTTGGCCGTTTGGTAGGCCAAGGCTCATTCGCTAAGGTATACCGTGCCAGAAACCTGAAAACTGGGAAAATTGTTGCTATGAAGGTCATTGATAAAGAGAAGGTTGCGAAAATTGGCTTGAACGACCAAATCGAGAGAGAGATCTCTGTGATGAGAATGGTGAAGCACCCCAACATTGTGCAGCTTTATGAAGTGTTGGCAAGCAAGACCAAGATTTATTTCGCCATGGAGTACGTGAAAGGTGGAGAGCTTTTTGCCAAAGTTGTCAAAGGGAAGCTCAAGGAAGACTTGGCCAGAAGGTACTTTCAGCAGCTCATTGGAGCTGTGGATTTCTGCCATAGTAGAGGGGTGTACCACCGTGACCTGAAACTAGAGAATCTTCTTCTAGACGAAAATGGGGATCTTAAAGTTTCAGACTTTGGACTGAGTGCGTTGTGGGAATCCAGAAAGACTGATGGGCTTCTACACACCATGTGCGGGACTCCATCTTATGTAGCCCCTGAAGTGATCAATAACAGAGGCTATGATGGAGCAAAGGCAGATATTTGGTCGTGTGGGGTGATTCTTTTTGTTCTTCTTGCCGGCTTTCTTCCTTTCCAAGACAAGAATTTAATCGCAATGTACATGAAGATTAGTAAAGCAGAGTTTGCGTGTCCACTGTGGTTCCCACCTGAGGTAAGGCAGCTTCTCTCCAGAATCCTTGATCCAGACCCAAGAAGAAGAGTAACTATCTCTAAGATAAAGCAAACACCATGGTTCAGAAAGGGATATAATCAGATTGAAGCTCCTCTGTTACTACAATCGCCTTCTTGGAATAATGAGTTAAAGGCCAAAAACGAAGCAGAAAGATCCATGAAACCGCCTAGTCTCAATGCATTTGACATCATATCTCTGTCTTCAGGATTTGACCTTTCTCCTATGTTTGAGAAAGACAAGATTCCAAGACACGAGGCTAGATTCATCACCACAAAAGAAGCCTCCACGATCGTGTCAAAACTGGAGGAGATAGCTCAGGCGGATAGTAAATTCAAGGTTTTGAAGAAAAATGGTATAGTGTCATTGCACGGGAACAAGGTAGGGAGGAAGGGGCAGCTTGGTATAGATGCAGAGATTTTTGAAGTAACGTCGTCGTTTCACATTGTGGAGGTGAAGAAAACCGCAGGAGACACATTGGAATATGTAGAGTTCAGAGACCGCAACTTAAAACCTTGTCTAAAGGATATAGGGTGTGAATGGCGAGGAAGCGAGCATGATGGATAGGGTTTATCTAAATGCATGCCTTTCAAGTTTCTGCAAAAGTTGCTAACTTAACTGGCTCCTAATTTGAATAGTGAAGAGAGATCTCTGTAATGAGGAACATAGAGGATTGAAAAAAAAAAATCTGGGATGATCACACTCTTTTTGGTCAATGGGTTTGGTTTGGTCAATTTTTTCAGGAGATTTTTGCAGGTTTTCTTCGATTTGAAGCTATTCAGAACCCACTGTATAGGTGATCAATGCTTCAGCTACAGTTTTGTTAAGGTTGAAGTTTTGTTGATTCCTGGAGGCCCTGGAGAGAGACTGTAATCTTTGCTCCATTTAGACACTTCAGTCTTTACTTCCTGTTCATGATAATTTCTCGTTTGCATTTAAATAATAATAATAATTAAAAAGGAGCCTTCTCTTTTATATCCTGTTTTTTGTTTTATTTTCCTTGCTACATTTTTCTGTCCCCTGAGTATAGTTAGGCCCTACTGCGTGTTGTTAAATTTCTTGGTTCACAAAGACGAGTTAAGCCTTCTTTGAATAATATGGAATATCTGAAGTCTTCTTTTTTTTTTTTGGTGATATACAAAAATGAACCAAAATTTGAAATTGAGGGGTTGGGGTGGGACAAAAGGACACGGATTCCTAAAACGGCATCAAGTATGTTTTCAGCACAAGCACAAGCATTTGTCTTCTAGTTATCTCTTCGACGAGGTGTTTGGATCACTAGTAATTACACGTTGATAAATCTGATTTTGAAAGAAGTGATAAGAAATCTTCTTTATTAAAAAAGAATAATCTATTTCAATTGTCAAATTCTTGATAGTATAAAAAATAACAAGCAGTTTCATTTCAAATTGAATGAACTAGGATCATCTCTTGTCTAAAAGTGAATCCAATGTGAGAGAACAAAAAGTACAAACTTATATAAGAGATGATACGTATATGTGTTGATGCCTCTTAACCTTTTTTGAAAAGGTAAAAATTAAAAGGACAATTATCAATACATAGAAGGATATAACTAACCATAAAGGCATACCTCTTGCCTCTTAGGGTCTTCCCATTAATGTCAATGTGTTTTGCTTTTGTTCCGTTGCCATAGACCGCCGTAAGGCATATGGAGTGTGAACAATGGTTTTGTGACCTGCACGTCTTTGTGCAAAATGGTTGCTCTCTCTCTTCTCTCTAATGAAAGTTTCTGTTCTAATTATCTGCAAAATGAAAACACAGCATCTTAATTCTTAATTTACTTTATATATATGTCAAAACTATTGGCTGATGTTATCAATGACTTAAATTGGAAGTAACAGAATTCATATTTACATTAATAATTAACCTTTTATATTCTACAATCCAAATTTCTCCTTTGACCAAACAACTTGAGAAAATAATAGAAATTCCTCAAGTCCACGCCCAGAATTCTGCATTGCACAGGTCAATTATGCTCAGTACATCTGTGAATTTGGACATATACACTCGTCTTGCATGAAAATATCAAGATAAAAAATCTGTGATTAGGATATACATACATATATATATAGAGAGAGAGAGAGTCTTTCCTCTTTGTTTGGTAAATCTATAAAAACACAGCTCAGACTCATCACCGTATCTATGAATAAATCAAAACTTGAGCTTTTCAATTCTAAGAGCGTGGTTCTACCTAATCTGAGGAAATTAATACTCTGCTTTTCCTTTGCTGTCATTCCATCACGAAACTACATCAGCAATTATCATTTGAGGGATTGAATTAATACGATATGCCCGACCAAGAAATTAACAAGCAGCAGAAGTTGAAGAATGCACGCAAGAGTCTTTGTCAAGATATATTACTAATTTATCTTGTGATTCACATTAGTGACAGAGCATTAGTAGAAAAACATGGGGATAATGTAAGACTTTGACGACACATGTTGTTTGACCAGCTAGCTGGCTCAAAGCGAGTAAGCCAACACTGATCTGTTCCTTTTCTTGTAAGCACAACTTATCCCTTCATTTTCTACCCTCATTTTTCCTCACAACCAGACTGGTTTGTTTCTCCTGGGGTAATCTCCGTGCAATTTTGGACGGTGGATTTGATAGTGATTGATGGTTGTTAAATTAAACTTAAAGTTCATGAATGGAGACTTAATCAGGCACCAAGCAGGTGTGCCTTGTTTGCATATACCCATAGGGCTTAACTCAACTAATCCAATGAAATTGAAGATATTAATATTATCTTATATGCCAAATTTGTCCTTTCCACTCTTATCGTGATCACTTTTGCCATGACTATGAACACTTTCCTTTCTTCTGTCACGTAATGATATACTAGAAGTATCCATAATCTGCGTCGTTTAGCGACTGAACAGTCAGTCAAGCAGAATGATCAGAGGACAAACCTAAATAATATTAAGATAGAAAAGATTTTTGTTGTGATTAGTGATGGCATTTTCGCTTTTCATAGTGATGATATGTAAAATGACAGAACATGATCATTTACTCATCGTTTATTCCTATATAGTTGGTCATAATGATCATACTTTCTTTTTTTTTAAGTTTAAATGAGTTGAGTCCCGGTATATAACGATCACAATTTACCAGTCTATTAAATTCCTCTTGCTTTGGTTATCCAACTGTAAATGCCTATAAAAGAAATGGAGAAATATACCCCTTTTTAGCTATCTGCACTCCAGTTCAATCAGAGCCAGACCGTTCATCAATCCATTTTTTGGTTTGTATTTTTATAGAAAGGCCAAAAAAAAAAAAGTGACTCCCATCTGTTAATAACATGTTAAACGCCGCTCATTTCACTGGTTTCAGATTGCAACCCCACGTCGAGAAGGAAAATTGATTCCCACAAACTAAAATCAAGTATCGAAGCCTCCCTGTCCCAAATACACTACCTGCAGTGTAATCTCATTCATCCATTCCTATGAATTGGACATTGCACAGCAAGTTTGCCATTTCTAAGATAAGTCCCAAGTGGTCCTCAATGCAACTCTCTGTTATCTGTTTTGGTGCATATTACCAGATAAATCAATCAAGTCTTTCTTGAATTGGCGGCGTGCACGAGCTCTCTCGCCCCCTTTTGACCTACAATCTCTCCATCACATGCCCAAGGATAATCACATTCTGAGGCTTCGTAATATTATGCAGCTCGTGTTTGCCAGAAGAACCTAAAATTGGACAAGACTTCTAGTATTTACCATAGTCTCTGTATTGTTCTTTGCATCCTGATTCACATATTTAAAGGTGAACTGGAAAGGCAGGCATGTTCTGAGTGGACGAATATTTTATTGACCTTGTAATCTTTCCTCGTTGTCAAATTTATTTGGTTGAATCACCTGCAGTGGTTATCATCATGAAGGTTTGAAGATGGCCATGATCTAGCTGTAAAGTCTGAATATCCTTTTCGCATATTGAAATTAGGAATGAACTCATGTGCCTCGTATATCAGATTGAAGAAATGAGGCTACAAAATCAAAATTCACTGTTTTAGAAATGCATTTTGTTCTCAGATGGAAACTCAGCCAAATACTTACCCTCAGCATGTTCTGTTGTTCTAATAGTAGTTCGGTGGTGATTTTAATGGGTCACCAAAATGGAATGCTTGTGTTAGTTAGGGCATCACCAACGAATATTATTGCCAAGCAGTGGCCAAACAGTTTAACATACTCATATTAAAAAACAAAAAGATCTTTAAGACAGCTTCTCCAAAAGCAATGATCTTCCAAATACACTTATTGCCTAGGCATTATACCTAATCAGGTTCAAATGTCTTTGTTCCATTCGCCCAACATTCCCACCTTTCGTGTAGAAATTAATTAAATAGAGAATTTAAAGCGGGTAGCATCCTTCGGTATTAATGTCTTATTTCCTCTAACAATGGAGCTGGGAGTTTGTTCTCCGATTTTCAATTTCAAAGTAAGATTATATGAAGCATTCAAGCAGAACCCATAGATAAACCTCATGGACCAGCAGGAAAGATCATTGTTATCTCGTAATTATATGGAATGAGTGACGGAAATAAATTATGAAAGCAGACAAAGAGCAGTACGCCCAGACGTTTGGAAAGCAGTCCATGCTCTATAAGAAATTAGCTTTTGTGCGTACAATTATAAGACATATAGTAGCGGCATCTAATGCTCCACTTTAGGGGCACGCCTAGAAGAAGAAAATCTTGGGGGAAAATTTAGCATACACAATCTACCAAGCACAGAGTGAAAAAAAATAAAAGAAAGCATACCCCCCATTGTCTTCTGTTCTACCACTCTTTACAACCTATTCGGTATCCGAAGGTATGTAATGTGGAGGATCAATATCCATAGGTAGTTGAGGCGGTTCAGTATCTGTACCAGGCGTTTGGGAAGAAGTAGCAGGTTGCTCAGTCATCAAGTTCTGCAACCCCGGTCTCAATTCAGTGTCACAGAATTGGTCATACTCTGCTTTATCCCCTGCTTTTTTCTTGACCTCCAACACCACCAAAGAAGGTGTTAATTCAAATATCTCTGCAGCAATTGTCAATGGCCCTTTTGCGCCTTCTCTCGAACCCTCCAAGTTTACTCTGCAATCTTTCTTCCTCACAGTGAAGCTGACCAGTCTGGCAATTTCCTCCAATTTTGATATAATCTTTGACACTGGTGCACCAGACACAAACCTCGCCTCATCGCCCTTCTCCTCAAACAACCCAGAAAGATCAAAACCCGGAGAAAATGATATTATGTCAAATGCATTCAAGCTCGCGGGTCTTGGAAGTGAAGCATTTCTTCTTCTAGTCTCTATCTCGGAATCAGATTCTGATACGGAGTAGTCCGACATTGATTCTATATCATCAAACTTGTCCATCTTATCATCAATATTACAAAGCTTATCATCCTCCACATAGAACTTTATCTGTTTAAACCCTTTTTTGAACCACCGGTTCTCCATGATCTCCGGAATTGAAATTCGGGTTTGCGGGTTGGTATCAAGAAGACGCGTGACCAGCCGAGTGAGATCGGGTGTAAACCACTTGGGACATCTGAACTCACCCCTGTAAATCTTCTTGTACATTGCCATGATATTCTGATCATGGAAAGGCAAGTAACCAGCCATCAAAACAAACAGAACAACCCCACAAGCCCAAACATCAACCTTTGCCCCATCATAACCTTTTCTAGCCAACACCTCAGGGGCAACGTAAGCAGGAGTCCCACAAAATGTGTGGAACAACCCATCTTGCCGAATTTGATCAGAGACAGCACTCAATCCAAAATCAGACACCTTGAGATCCCCATTCTCGTCGAGCAACAAGTTTTCAGGCTTGAGATCCCGATGATATACCCCTCTCGCGTGGCAGAAACCGACAGCGGAGATCAATTGCTGAAAGTACTTCCTGGCACTTTCCTCTCTCAATCGCCCTTTAGCTACTTTATTGAATAGCTCACCCCCACGAACATATTCCATCACGAAATAGATTTTGGCCTTGGTGGCCATGACCTCGAACAGCTGAACGATGTTGGGGTGTCGGACTCGTCGGAGGATGGAGATCTCGCGCTTGATGTGAGCGACGAGGCCGCTCTTGAGGATTTTCTCCTTGTCAATAACCTTGATGGCGACCCCTTCGCCGGTTTTTACATTGCGAGCATGGTAGACCTTGGCGAACGTGCCATGACCAAGAAGCTTGCCGACTTCGAAGCGACCCAACAGGAGGCTATTACCGCCGACCTTCTTGTTGGCGCCGCTGGTGGAGGGCTTGCTGGAAACAGCGTCGGCCATTGATGGCGAAGGATGCGGAGTTCAAACTCGAAAGTTTGAATGTTTGTTCAGATAAAAAAGGAGAGAAATGAATGAAAGGAGGCGTTTTCTAGTGATAGGCCCGCACCATTGGAGCTGTCATTTGGGTGTGTGGTTTTTATTTGTGGGGGGCCTTTTGTTATGGAAAAACATATTGAAGGTACCTATATTTTTTCTCAATTTTTAATTTAGTACCTATGTATTTTTTTCATTTTAATTAAACATTTAATTTTATCTTTTTAGTAACATTAGCTCTTATAACTTTGTTCTATTGATATTTTTAGTCTCTACATAAGGATTAATGATGTTAATAGAGCAAAATTAAAGATTTAGTTAAGAACAAAAAACACATAAATACCAAATTGAAAATTGAAAAAAGTATAAGTACCTCCAATATGGTTTTCCCTTTTGTTATTAAAGGAAGAAACATTTGGCCTCTTAGAGAGAGGAAGGAAGAGATGCGCTTGTGAGAGAGAATATACCGCCGTATTATTGCTTCCTTCTGTTCCTCTTCTACTTTTTTCGAATTTTATGATTGCGCATCATTATTTTTCCTTATTTACCTTTCTCTCCCTTCTCGCTATTGTTCCGACAAATGGAAAATTTTTATGACAATTTCTTTTAAATTTGCCTCGAACATTCCCTTGCATTTGAGTTCTTCTTTAACTTAACCCAATGGCAATTAGTCATATGATTAAACATGATTGCTCTTATAAGACTAAATTATATATAATCCCTGTAAACTTTTTATTGGATATAAATAAGTTCTTGATTTTTAATATTTAATAAAAAAATCTTAAACTTTTAAATTTATACAAAGAAACCCTACTATTAATTTACCCATGTTTTACAAAGTCTTAAAATTTAAGGAGCTAATTACATATAAGTTAAAATTTGAGGGGACTGTCTCGCTGAAAAATAAAATGTAAATAGGTGTATCGTCGATAATATATTATCTTTAGTCCATTAAATAATGAATAAATTAATAACAAGAAAAAGCAGTGCTTCAGTTTTTAATTTTTTATAATTTCACTTGATTTTCATTTAAGTTTCTGTAAATTCATATGACGGGTAGAAAAGGAAAAAATTACAACAATCAAATTAAAAACAAAACAAAATCATAAGGAGTTGATGAAAAGAAAAATAAAACTCCAAAGGTCTTATTAAAAATAGCTGAAATTACCAGCACAAATAATGAGAAAACTACACTGACCTAATTAAAAATTAAATGAAATTATGAGAACTTGTGGATTAATGTTCCATTAATAAAAAGAAAGGTTATTTGATCAAGCTTGAATGTAGAGAAGGGTTTCTTGTCAAATTTTAAGACATATAAAGGCTCTCTCAAACTACTACTCCTCTGGTCCTTAATATAGGACCCAATTGTTAAGTTAGTTTTGGTCCTAAATATAAGACCCATTTCTTATATTTATCAGTTTTCTCTAAATTACCCTTATGAATACTCCTTCAATCATAATCAAATAGAAGAGGAAGAAAAGATATTGAGAAAGATGATTATGGTATTTTAGAAAAAACGTGTCACATTTATTATAATTAACTAACTTACCTAACTTCCTTAATCTAATCAAATTAGTTAAATGGGTCTTATATTAGGGACCGGAGGAGTATTAAGCTGTTAGCAGTAAACTTGCGTGAATTGCAGGCCATTATTTTGTCTCATATCGGGCTTCATAATTTAGGCAAAGTCAGCATACAAATCCCCGACACTCAAAAAGTTAGAAACTTTTCATATATTTCGTCGGAAAAATAAAGAAGCTTTGGAGGGGTGGATGATCTGATTTTATTAATTAGGTAAGAGTTAATTAACAGCTGAGGCCGTCCTCTCCTGGTTTGTTTCGTTTCATACCAGGCTTAGCCTAATTAGTAATTAGTGTCCACATTTCTGATTCAGTACTGTCAAATGTAGTGATTATGTTGACCTTCTCAAGCACCCCACCTATTTTTCACCCTCTGAAGATAAAACGTCATTCAGTTCCCGTCGTCTTGCTTTCAAATTCTGTATATATGACGAAATTAATGGCTATGAATTCTATTGTGACCTCCAAGCCTCCAATAATAGAACACTGGTAGGGCCGTAAGGGCATGTTCTCCGGGCGAATGCCGTAGGCTCATTGGTGGTTCCTGTCCAAAAATCCAATCGATGTACGACTTATATGTACTATATACTTCATCTACTCGTAGTACAATATCTACTGGTATGCAGGTTGCACAAGACATTTGAAGCAACGACCATTTGGTAAGTACTTATGCATTGATTCCGTTTTTAAGTTGGTTACCTTTTTTTTTTTTCATCTTGGATCATTTAATTTTATTGGGTTAGCACTATTGGCTCTTATATAAGGGTTAATGGTGCCAACATCGACTAACCATATTAACAAAGCAAAATTAAATAATTTAATTAAGAGTGAAAAACAAGCAAGTACCAAATTAAACATTGAGAGAAAAAAATATAGGTGCGTGTAAAATGATTGTCCCACCATCTGAGTAAAACAAGTTTGAGCTTAGTTGCCAACTATAGCATAACGATCCTCTTAAAATTTTAAATTACTTTTAACATATTAATTTACACAATCAATGAAAACTAATCAAAGTCATAAAGAAATGCGTTATTTTCGTGTTTACCTCATCTAATACCGAAAATACGAGAATGATTGGTTATTAATTTTTAATACTCATTGGAGATATTTTTAGAAAACATTTTATTAATCACACCTTGAAAACCAAAGATGTTTTATATTTTTAAACATGATGCTTCAGTGCTTCACAAAAAAAAAATGTCTTGTAACCTTAAAAGGAGTGACTAACTTCTAAAAATGTTAAGATTGAGATTTTTTTTTCAAAAAAAAAAATTATAATAACATGAGGTATGTACGTTCCTTGTTTGACAAAAGAAGTCGGCTCCCATGACTAAGAGTTTGATAGCACAAATGAGGTGTTAACTGTCCTAAAAATCTAGGGCTATCTGCAACATTCGCCGAAATCTTAAATCGTCAAATTCCACAGCACATACTGTTGATATGATATTTGTAGAAACAGATAAATGAGCTGGACCTTGCTTGGACGCCGGAGTCCTACATAACGGCTCCTTTTCCTGTTTTCCCGCACAACCAGAGACTCCAAGAACAAGCCAGAACAAGCTTACGCCCACGTCATCATCAGCACTCGTTGTAGCTTGTGACGCGCTTCCCTCCTTCACTTTTACTCCACACATCTGTTTCGCGTCCACGCGTACTCCACCTGCTGACGTGTAACCCGGACCGACATGAAATCTAGTTTTACCGTACTGTGATCTGCTGCATCGCCACCGTTGACGCTGTCATGATGCAATATTATAAGTGTGATCACACGGTTTTGGTAGCTGGAACTCCCAATATGCCGAGTCGGCTGGCTTATTGTAGTAACCACCACTGGGCAGGAGATGGCCGCCGCCACACCCTGCGGTTCCACGCAAAGCAGAAAGGAAGTCACGTTGATGCTCGGTCATGATTCCATCACACGCTTCCGTTTAATTATTATTATTTGTTTTTTTTTGCCAGATTGGTGGAGAAATAGGATGGATTGGACATGCGGGTTCTTGAACACGGAGAGGATCAGAGGAGGCTTCTTATCTTGTTCATTCTCTCCTCAGCGAGGGATTTTGATTTTCAATATACGTAGTGTTGTGTTAGGGAGGTTGTTGAGCAACTCTGGCATGGAAAAGTTTCCAAATTATTTATTTAATTATGAAAATAATCAGGTGTTTTGTAAGCAATATTCAAAAGCCTCCATCATCCTGAAGATGATGACTTTTTATTTAATTTATTTTAATTTAACTGAAGCACGAACTCTTTCATGGTTGATGCCAGTTGCAAGAATCCAGCTTATATGTTGGGGGAGGGGGACCAAAGCTCCTCGTACATCTTTTTTTTTTATTATTCCTTTTTTAACTGCAAGTGGTGATGTTTTGATTGAAAAGAGTCCAGATACAAATGACACGTGTCCAGGGGCACAACCAGCATGTATTGTTTACGGGGGAGGGATCGCCGGCTGCATGATTGAACCCAAGTTGCATAGTTTAGACTCGTTTAAAATACTACCTCTTTTAATTATAAAACTTTGTTTATAATCTACAAATCCACAAATAAAGTTTTATAAATAAGATTAAAAGTAGTGGCTTATAAATAGTTTTTAATCATAATTTACAGAAAAAAAAAATTATCTTGATTTACGTACGTGTCTCGTGCATCAAATTATTTGTAATTACAATTAAAGGCTTTGGAGGTAAAAACAAAACACCACACCCTGAGAGTCTGAGAGATCAGATTCAGAATCTCCCTCGCCTGTGTCCTTATCTTGTCATTTCCTCTAGTTTTTGTGCACTTGCGATATACAACATTGCCCCGTACATGTACTTGACTAGGTAATAAAGTAGTGCGGTAATCAACAAATTATTGTATTTAGTAAAGTGAAAATATTAAAAGGCAGATCTCCCCGGGATTTGGGGATTCACTTTCTCATTCAGACTTAATTAATTTTGAGTGCCAAATAAATTCACATTTAGATTTAAGGTTATTTCTTTATATTTTTAATTTAAACATGTGTGAATGTAAGAGTCATATTTGAAAGAGCTGCTGCATTTAATCTATGTATATAAAATAATATTCAAATCTAATTCAATAATACCAGATATTAAATACTCCTCCGGTCCTTATTATAAGACCCAATTTGACTTTTTATTTGGTCATAATTATAAGACCCAATCCATTTTGTCTCTTATATTTATGCATTTTTTTCCAAGATAATCCTTCTAATAATGATAGTTTTAGCCAATATACTTAATTAGCAAGGATATTTTAGGAATGACAACACTTATTTATTATAAATAACCAATTTAACTTACTTCCTTAATCTCCTCAAATAAGTCAATTGGGTCTTATAATTAGGACCGGAGGAGTACTTCATTAAAAATATAAAATCTAAAAGAAGAATAATATTTCAAATAAACTTTGATTAAAAACAATTTATTATTATTTAAAAAATGAATAATTATTTTTTTTGTTGCCCACCCAATTCATCAGAGCTTTACTCTGACTACATCTGGATCCAACCTGCGTTGCGCACCTGGCTGTGGTGGGTGAGTCTCCCAACGGGAATTTCTGCATAGGCTGAGGCTCAAACTCTAAACCTCACTTAAATGATATCAAGCTACTTACCATTTGGACCAACCCCGTTGGTAATTATTGTATTTGATTATATAAATCTCAACACAATGATTTTCAATAGCTTAACAAACACTCATGAGAAGGTAGGCCCAAACATTTGGAAGCCCAAATTTGCACCAACTGGGAGAAAATGACTTTGCGATGGTCTTTCAATGGGCCCACTAGGTTGATTAAGTATGGGCCCATAATAAATGCACCCATACCAACGCAAACCTTAGGACTTGGTGGGCGGCGCCGCGGAGGACACCGCATTGCTGCTAATGCAAAAATATTAGCAGCTCAGAGGCGGACACCGGGACTTATGAACCAACGTTTTGCTTTCGAGATAAAATTATATATATTATTATAAAACCAAATCCAATCCTTAGAACATCCAAATCAATTGGAGCTCAGTATCAAACGATGTCGGGCCCGCATGTCATCCCATCATCTCCCTATTTGGGTAATCCTACTTTCTGTGCTAAACACAATGTAGATTAATCAATGGGAATTGGTCTAGCAAAGAAAACTAGTTTTTCACAACTTGTTGAACTAAAATTTGAATTCCTACTGAGAAATATATCTATATTTAGCTGTTGACAGTGTTTCAAATAGAATTGCTTCTAACGAGAGTATACCTATGTATGATAAAAAAAAATTACAAAGTAGATCTTATATTTAGGATCAAAGATTACGCAATAATAATCCTTTGACCATGATGGATTGGTAAGAAAAGTGAGAAACTGAAATAGTCTAATCTTCTAATAAAATTATGGAATTTGTAATAATTACATGTATTGTTAAAAACATTCATTACATATTAATGCCCACTAATTAGAGGATAGTAAATGGCATGAGAAAACTATTTTTCTTATTTTCATTAATAATTCATCACCAACGAGGAAAAAAACTACTGTATTACTCAGCACCTTTTGGTCCTATGATGATATGAAAACTAAAATGAGAGTACAGAGCTTGCAGATACAGAACATGTTTGAACAAAATTCAGCCGATGTGCTCCAAACTTGAACTTAAAGACATGCTTATTAGAATTTCGAAAATGAAAACGAGTGATAAATATGGATATATAACCAATCCACTAATCCCTCTTGGCTCCCTAAATTTTTGTGAGGGAGGAAGCTCAGGAGTTACGTGATTATTAATTCATAGCCGTTACCACATGCCACAAATAAATGTGCGTAAATCCATGTGGCTCATTATGGGGCTTGGAATTAGCTTCTTTGTCCACCTTCTCATTATGCCAGACCTCGTCCATACAAACTTACTCCCTCCTCTTCCTTAGACATCAAAATCCAATGTATCGATCAGTCCCACCTTTGACAGCCATCGACAGATTCCTGTGGGGCCAGCAGGCACAGAATCACAAGACTAGTACTATGTGGCGTAACACTGGAGGATCAAGTTTCATCGATGGATTTGTGTTACCAAATGAGCAGGCTTTGAACTGGACACACGCTCAGGTCCCTGCATTGTGCTTCACAAACAGAGTTTCAGGGAAGCACGACGACGACGATACTGTGGGAAGGAGAATTAGTAGGAAACGATCTCGCGTATCTTTGATCAAAGGACAGTGGACGGATGAAGAAGACAGGTATGTAGAACTTTAAACACATGACTTGTTTGTGTTTGTAAGTTAGCATGTGTTTTAGTGGTATATGTGTTGTTTTCTTATTATACATTCATTTCTCTGTAAACTCTTGAGATGATCGTGGATTGGTGAACAGGAAATTGGTGAGACTGGTGAATCAGTATGGTGTGAAAAAATGGGCTGAAATAGCAGAGAAATTGGATGGAAGAGCGGGTAAGCAGTGTCGAGAGAGATGGCATAATCATTTGCGCCCTGATATTAAGGTCTTTTCTTCCTCAATCCTTGTCTCTGGGTTCGAATTTTTTAATGTTAAATTGCAAATTCCCTTGCCTTTGATTCTGCTACTTTTTAGTAGGGTTGCATGACTAATTGGGTGTCTTGTTAATTTTTATAAGTTTAATCCCAATAATATATTTAGAGTTAGAGTGTGCTTGGGGTGGAGTTTTGCCGTCTTCAATCACATGTGAAAACGTGGTTTACAATGATGAAACGTTCTCAATATATATATATATATATATATATATAACTTTTTTTTTTTGTCTTTTTGAATACTATGTATAAGACTTTTTCAACTAATTATCATGTGTTTGACTTTAATCAACGGGTTAGCAAATATTCCTAAGATTACCTATTTTGTATCATTTCCCGCCAACGAGTATTTGACCTTTCATTAATTAAAGAGCATCTGGATATAGATATGCCAAGGATTCGGATTATTTGCTACCTGATACGATTTATTAGGTGGCGCCTATTGCCTTCAAGGCTGAATGTTGTATAAATGTTCGGCTATAGAGAAAATTAAAACACGTACATGAACAATCCTCTTCATGGTTCATCTGGTTTCAGAAAGACAGTTGGAGCGAAGAAGAAGAGAAGATATTGGTGGAAACACATGCCAAGTTGGGGAATCGTTGGGCAGAAATAGCAAAGAGCATTCCGGGAAGAACAGAGAATGCGATCAAGAACCACTGGAATGCTACTAAAAGAAGGCAGAATTCAAAGAGAAAGAAGAAAATCACACACACAACACACAAAAAGCCACGTTCCTCTATACTTGAGGACTATATCAGAAGCAAGACCCTGATAAGTAATAACACTGTCCAGAACAACATTGAAGAAAACCAATCTGAACCCCCTTCTGATCAGTCTGCTGTTGTTAATGGCGACTCTATAATATCTGAACCGTATGATGAGGAATTGCTCTTCTTGCAAGGTTTTCTTGCCGACAATCAGAATCAGAAACAGTATCTTGCTGATGTTGAGCACTCTCAGAATTCTTCTTCAACTTCCTACTTGTTGGACTTTTGTCAAGCTGATGGTGAACAGCGTCTTATCACTGATGTGACTGCTGGGCCTGGATTTGTGTATTCCATTTCAAACCCATATAGCAAAACAAGCTTCTATGAGAATGTCCTCGCTGAGGAGGCTGTCACTCCCATGAAACACTCCCAATCAGATCTTTATCTCTCTTACTTGCTCAATGGACCACCCTCCTCACCACTTCTGTGCGGGCATGGAAATCAAAACCTGAACATGAATTTGCTTGTGGGGTATCAGCCGGAGATGGATTTATTGGAATTGGTTTCTTCTAAGTTTTCTACAATCACCAACAGTGGCATTTGAGTTCGAGCTAGCGTTTCAGTCTATTGTTGTTTAGGTTGGCATTATTACTTCCTCGATCAGTTTAATGACATTCCCCAAATGCTTTTTGACCACGAGCTTGTCATTTTCACTAGCCTCGTACTATTAAAAAGAAACACTAATGTTGCTTAGTGTCAAATATAAAAGACGAGTTTGAATCAAACAGTGATACATTGAATCACTAGTGAGGGCCACATGGGAGATTCATTTGGAGTTGTAAGCGTGGGTTTGGTGACAGTTATATAATAATCCCACATCTCAGTGTCTGAGTTTGATATTACAATGCAAAGTTCGAGGTGTGAATGGAAATGGAATTTTGGGTTTGGATGCTAATGGATTAGGTGATCCGACCCACTTAAACATATTTTATAATCACAAACCAACACAACAACAGCAAGAGGGAGAAACCAGTGAGATAGCCTCTAGCAATTTGGAACTAGTGGAGGAATCTTACCTGCCAACCTCCAAAATCCATCATCCTAATATGCAGTTTTTGAACCACTCTGCCCGTGTCTATTCTTGTCCAGCTTGTCCCCTAAATTTGAAATTGATGTTACTTTTCTTTGGCGCTTGATTTGTCATTACATGAAACAGGGGATGTGTTTGGCTGATTCATACCAAGTAAATTATAATATCATTAGAATTTAGTAATCATTCTTTGAAATATCCCATAACATGATTTGTTTAAAAATCCAATCTTGACTAGCGAAGACTTGAAAAGTTGAGGTGGAAAGACTGGGCATTATAAGGTCAAGGTAGGGCGTAGGCACATGATCTGTTCGCGTCAGAGAAACTATGGACGATACAAGGGACTGTCCCTATTCGTGAATGACACTTCCACGCACTTACCTTTTCTCATTTCAGTATTGATTCGTTAGAACTACCGATCAGTCAATTTGTTTGTTTGGTTTCTCGCGTAGCAATCCCAACCAATCAACGAAGGCGTAGTTCATTAAAACCCATTTAAGCCCCTTCAAAATATCAGATCAGAGGATCCATTGTTCTGGAATTTACCATTCATTACTGTCAAACTGTTACTTCTGGTTTGGTATGAGAAGAAAGCTGAGCTATTTTTTATGACAAAGATGCACGTGTTGATGGGATCATTTGTCTCCGTTTATTTAATAAATATAGTTTTCTAATTCTGGACACAGTTGCAGAGAAAGAAACCTCAGTCAGAAAAAAAATTAAATTATTATTGAGCCTCGAGCAGCTGCTGGAGAGCATTTAAAAAAATTCAGTGTGAACCAAGGGAATGTGTTGCCCATTTTATATGACACTTGACATTATTATATCATATATCCAATTTGAACTGAGTGACTTTCTCGGAGTGAATGGAAACAGCTAGAAGTTACTTGAAACAAATATACAGGTATTAATACAATTAGGTGAAGTTGTTCTTCCCCATTAAATTCCTGGAGAGAGTTAAAAAAATGATAAATCTTGTTTCTGGTTTTGTTCATGCTCCAGTTTGAACTAGTAAATACGATCTCTCTCCTCTATAAAAGAGAAATGGAAATATATGTGTGTAATAAACTAGTAGTTTATGTAATAAATCCATGTGACTTTAATCAAAGCGAATCAAAGGCAAGCTTGAACAACTTCCCTTTTTTTTTTTTTGGGTAAATATACTTGAACTTTATTCGCTTGTAATGAAGCTCCTTTTTATAAGAAAAGATAGTAAAAACTTTCGCAAAGAACCTACCAACCCATGACAAAAACAAACATGTACCAATCTTCTTGAATGGACGATAAACTCCTCCCTCCTAAAATTTATTCATTGTTCTCTGGGCATAATACCAATCTCTATGAATCTCCCCTCTGTTCTATCCATGCATTCAATAAGAATTTTAAAGCATGTCGTTACTCATCAATATCAACAACAAAAAATATCAATGTCAAGTATAGAGCGAGTATATAACTCATTGTTCGGATCCGTATATCGATCCATACAGTCACTTAATTATGATAAATATCAGCATAGTGCGAGGAAAAGTCTTATTTATTTATTTATTTTTATTAGAGCTGGTACTCATTTTGACAGGCTTTGAAGGCATTTGGTGCAATCTTATTAGGGAAGAAATGGGAAAAATCGCAATCACCGCATGAGCCAGCGCGATGATATTAAACGCCCACTGTCATATGAGATCAGGGGCGTCGTCAGGCGGAGCATGTTGCTCAGGTTTAGCAGTCAACCCCCTTCTCTGCAAATCCAACTTCCATTAACTTCCCTCTCTTTTCTCCCTCCAACATGATGCCCTTGTTTCCCGCTGTAACCTTCAAGCAGCACCAACTCTAATAATCCTTCCTCTTAGCTTTCTTAAACCTGCTCCATACGATCTCTCACAAACAGGGGCTATGGGAGGTAAGGTTATGAGCTCCAATTTTTGTAGATTTTGGATTCTTCTGGCGTTGTTTGCTGTGGTGGATTCTTCCTGCAACAGCACCGACTACGAGTTGGTCTCCAAAGCCTTTCAATCTGTCGCTGGCTTTAATGTTTCCTGGTTCCATACGCAAGGTTTAAACTGTTCAAAAGCTTCTCAGATTACTTCCATACAGCTTGCTTCCAAGAATCTGAGGGGGGTTATTTCTTGGGCTTTCATCAGGAATATGTCTGACTTGCACGTTCTCGATCTTTCTGGGAATTTTCTCCAAGGCCATGTACCTCGCTGGTTTTGGACATCTCCCAACTTATCAAAAGTTGATCTTTCTAATAACAAGTTTGGAGGGAGCATTGAGCTCGAATCCCCCGCAGGAAACTCCCCGTTTTCATCGGTTCAGAGTCTCAATCTCTCTCACAACAGCTTCACCAATCTGCCTCAACTCTCTGGTTTCTCAAACCTCAGAATTCTCGACCTCTCGCATAACAATTTGAGGACTCTGCCCACTGGGTTTCGAAACCTCACCGGGCTACACCATCTCGACCTCTCAAGCTGCAATATCAAAGCAAACGTAAAAACCATTTCTGTTCTGCGCTCGCTGAATCACTTGGACTTGTCGAACAACACTTTCAATGGCAATTTCCCTTCTGATTTCCCTCCTCTGGAGGAGCTCAAGTTCTTAAACATTTCTTACAACAACTTCACGGCACTGGTTCACTTGGACAAGTACAAGAAATTTGGCAACTCAGCTTTCATTGACGCCGGAAACAACTTCGCTCACAATACATCTAGTACCCCCAGTCTTGATCCGCCTTCTCATCATGCTTTAAAAGCCTCGACGAACCACCACAAACACAAAACTCTGGTGGCGGCTGTATGCTCTGCTTCAGCATTTGTGCTGGTTCTATTTAGTATATGGGCGTTTTGCATTTACAGAAAGAAGAGGCGACTGGCGAAGAAGAGGAAATGGGCAATCTCGAAGCCAGTGCCTCAGGGAATAAAGGTGGACAAATCGGGGCCTTTCGCATTCGAAACCGAGTCAGGAAGCTCGTGGGTAGCGGATTTGAAGGAGCCATCGTCGGCACCCGTGGTGATGTTCGAAAAGCCGTTGATGAACCTTAGCTTCAAGGACCTGATAGCTGCCACGTCACACTTCGGCAAAGAGTCGATGCTGGCGGAGGGAAGGTGCGGGCCCGTGTACAGAGCCGTCGTCATTCCCGGCGACATCCACGTGGCGATCAAAGTTCTGGAGAATGCAAGAGACGTCCATAGCGATGACGCCATCGCGCTGTTCGTTGACCTGTCTAAGCTCAAACACCCCAATTTATTGCCACCATCCGGATACTGCATTGCAGGTAATTGCCGTACCAATTTCTCAGACGTTTCAACTTTCAAATTTGTTAGTATTTTTCTGCTGCCAGCAGCAGAATCCTTTGAAAATTTTTAACTTTCTCGCATTAAATGCTTTTCTTTAGCGTTCCGTTCCTAGTGAAATGTCAAACTCGGTAACCCCCTTGCGTAACCAATCTCAAGGGTAACCAATCTCACCTAAATCCTGCACTCGCAATTTATTACCTTTAGGCATAAATTTTGTATAGTCTATTAAAAAAGTTGCATTATTAGTCTGATTTATTTTGGCAATAATTCTGACAAGGCCACCAAATTCACCATGAATAGTCATTCATTGGTTTTACATTGTGTTGGTGATGCTGGTTCTTTTTCGTTTTTTCCATATCAAATGGTTGATCCAGGACATTTCTCATGTGTTAGACGGCACGCAAATAATAATAATAATGGAAGTGTAATGTCAAATGTTTATATTTCTTTGTGGAATTTTAGGTAGTGAGAAGCTGATTTTGTACGCGTTTATGTCCAACGGCAATTTGGGTAGTGAGAAGTGTAATGTCAAATGTTTATGTTTCTTTGTGGAATCATAGGTAGCGAGAAGCTGATTTTGTACGAGTTTATGTCAAACGGCGATTTGGGTAGGTGGCTGCATGAGCTGCCAACGGGGCAAACCGACGTGGAGGATTGGACCGGTGACACGTGGGAGATTCAGAACGGCTCCGGATCGCAGGTCTCATCCCCACCGGAGAAGATGAACTGGCTGACACGACACCGTATTTCCGTCGGGATTGCTCGGGGGCTAGCGTATCTTCACCACGCGGGGTCAAAGCCCGTCGTCCACGGCCACCTAGTGACTTCAAACATCTTGCTCGGCGACGACTTGGAGCCCCGGATCGCCGATTTTGGGATCCAAAGCATCGGGAAGGAGCAGCAGAGCCCGACCTGCAGCACAGAGACGGACGTTTACTGCTTCGGGGTGGTGCTGATGGAGCTGTTAACAGGGAAGCCCGGCACGGCGGAGACGGTGGTCCGGGTGAGAAAGGCGGTGAGGGAGGGGCAGGGGGAGCGCGCGTTGGATGAGAGGCTGAGACTGAGCTGCGAGCGGGAAAACGAGATGCTGGAGAGCCTGCGAGTCGCGTACTTGTGTACGGCCGAGTCGCCCGGCAAAAGGCCCACCATGCAACAGGTTCTGGGTTTGCTCAAAGACGTTCACCCACACGCCCCGAGTTGACTCGCTCCCCAACCCGTTCCTCTTTTTCGAGTTCCAACACAGTAGCAATCATGAACCACGCTCTTTGGGAGCGCCTGGAACGCCGCCTCGTTAAAGTGACGAATTCCTGATTCCACGTTGAGCGGGAGTTGTTTGTACGGGCAGGGAGTTCGCGTGGTGTTGGCTATGGAGTTTTGGATCATCCTGGTTTGTTTCCTAATGTATTATAATATTTTTTGAAAAGAAAAGGAGAGGGAAAAAAAGACGGGAAAAAAAAAGTGGGGTAGGAAGGATAGCTTTTGCGAAGGATTCTGATAAACCAAAAGGTTGAGAGAGGCGTTACGCAGCATATATATATTTTTTTCTTTTTGCTTTGAGGAGCATAAGACAGGGAGGGTTGCTTCATTGTTTAATATTGCTTCTCTCTTTCACTTTGGGTCTTTATGCCTTTTTTTTGTTTTGGTTTAAATTGAGTGGTGGGTTTGTGATTTCATGTGGCAAGAGAATATCCTACCTTTGCCTTTAGTCCCAAAAAGAAACAAAGAGGAGGGAGGATAGATAGTTACACCTAAACTTGGCCATATTTGCGGGTTATGCTTTGTTTTCTATATTCACACCCGAAGGGACCATTTACTTACATTGCCGTGTGCTACCGGAAGTGCCGCTGGTTTCGTGTCGTTTTTTGGGGTAAATTCTTGTGATTTGTCAATACTGGAGGCTGATCCTGATTTGTTGTTTCATTGGTCAATGAGTCAACTATTTACAATTGTTGAAGCTACCTTGGAATTTCTTTCTTCGGGGTATTAAAAAATTGATTGGGGTCTTTAAGACGCCTAGAATTTGAGTGATGCAGTGTCTCCCAGCATGGAAATTTCCATATACTTTTATATTCTCTCATCATTTCAGGTGTACCTTTTGGATGGGATTAAGTATTGTTTAATTCATATAGTATAGTCCCGTTGGTTCAACTATAGAATGTACTGGTCGGCTCTGTGAGTCTATATTTTGCACCTCTAAGTCAACATTTTTTTTTTTTTTCACACACACACACACACAGCGTTGCTCTAGATGTGCGTATTAAACCACGACAATCTTTGCACCTGATCATTCCCTGGAAGGGGCACTCCTGGGTCCTAGGCTGCGTTTGAGATAATATGGTATTCCAAATTCTATGATGTTTGAAGTGCCCACACATTGAATTGTTATGATTCAGCTTAACAATTTAAAATCTTTGTTTGACTAGTAAAGCCGTTAGAAATTCTAATTATAATAATCATATACTGGCACACATGTATAATTGTATATGAACAAGCATATGAACATGTATAACGACGAAGACGCTGTTGGGAGTAGTGTAAATATAACTTTAGGAGATGAGGAGGATAATCTCTGGGAGGTATCTATTGTTTTTTCAAATAGAAGTTGAGTTTTTATTATGAGATTGAATATACTGTGATTTCTTGTGAGGGATTCAGTAATCGACTCAAGCAAGATCCGATGATTGGAAGTTTGGAACATTGGATACTCAGAGAAAAGTTCTCAGCCCAGAAAAAGGGAAAACGAGCAAGAGATATGCTTTGTTTAGTTTTTCTTTAAATTTTTGGCCTCTCTCTGATGTGACGTGCCCCTGTTGGGCTTTTCCACTTTTCTTTATATCTCATCAAATTATTGATGAGAAATATTAATCAGCATTAATATTTCAAATACGACTATACGAGCATGGCATTTGGATGATTGGTATATATATCATTCACAAGCCAGCAACCAATAAACCACTTACTCGTAGGCTAAAATAGATTTTATTTTTATTTCCTGAAAACCAGATACAAATAACCAAGTTGAATAACAGGCTAAGGGGGTATTTGGGTGACTTCAGAATTACTTCTCAGAAATACTTTTCTGTAAACCGAGACAAATTTCTCTATATATTTACTTCGTATACCGTAAAAATACTTTTAAAATCAAGGTTTTATTCTTACCAAAATACCCCGTAATACTCGTAGCATTTCTTCTTCTTGTTTTTTCCTTTTAAAGATGGAGGGATGAAATATCTATATGGCATGAACTTTGTAAAGGCTCACTATTTGATGCCGACAGTGCAACTTTAATTTGTCACGTGTTCTTTTCCTTTGATACTGGCAGTAGGAGGGAGGAGCATTTTATTCTGTGTGGGGGCAAAATGGGATGCCTGAATCTTTAATTCTCTTTTCCAGAGCTGAATGCAGCTGAGCCTGTCTCAATGTTGATTCTCCAAATAAAGTACCCCCTCGCGCCTACCCCTCACTCGCATTTTTAATTTTTTGTTCCTCCCCACTCCATCCCACCCCATTAAAATTATTTTTCACTTGCCTTCTATCTATTCTTAATATAAAAGTTATATAATTAGTTTAAAAGGACCAATAACCGTGGAGAGAGCACTAACCAAATAGATTACATGGACCAATAGAACCTCATTGTAGATGCTGAAATGACCCGATCACCAAGGCACTGTGAGATTTTAAAGGATAGAATTGATTGATTAGTTAAGTTGATTGTTTATAATAAATGTATATTGACTTTTCTAATCTATTTTCATTAATAATGTGTATCAGAGTTGTTTTTTTGGTGGGAATTCTTAGAGTTAATAAGGGTATTTTAGAGAAAAAAATCATAATTTTGAAAAGAAAAATAGATTAAAGTCTTATAGTTAAGACTAAATTTAATGCCTAATTAACTTTCATGCTAAAGAAGGTAGTGTGTGTTTTTCCCCCCTTATATTATTGACAATCAATTGGATTATGACAGCCCATTAAAAATCATATTACCCTGGGTCAGTATCAATTTCGAACTGTTTATCAAAAAAAATAAAAAGAATTCCTAACTCCTAAGGTAAGATTTGATGATTAGAGACATTTTCATCCTCCTGATCTGTCTAGTTTCGGACTTTAATGCTTTCAAAAAAATTTCGGAAATTTTAGATCCTGAACTATAACGATGGCTCTAAAGGTCTTAAGTTTTTTATTCATTTTATTCTATAACATTTCAACTTGTTTTTCTTAAAAGTCTTTTAGTTTCCTTTCCATTTTGTTTTTATTCTGGCTATTCCTTTTTATTTATGAAATAAAAATATTTGAAAAAATATTTTCTTCACTCTCGCCAGGAGATTCAAAATTATTCTACTACACGTTGAATAAAAGTTCATCTCTTTTGATTACCAATAAAAGGTTGCTAAAGCTTAATCATGGGCAACTTTATTGCAGCATCTTCGATGGGCGTGGCGGATGCTAAAAATGAATACATGTCTGGCCAATAAGTATTGAATTTAGTAAACAGTGTTATGAAATACTCGGGTTCAAAATATAAGGTAAATTTGGTTAGAGATGTTTTTTTTTAATAAAATAACATTCATTTTTATCTAAGTATTTAATAATTTTTTTTTCAATTTTATCATTATATATCCTCTTTTATCTTTGATTCATTTATTGTATTTTTTGTTTATTTTCTTCATGATAAGGGCATATTTGTAAAAAATATATACCTTACATATTTCTTGTTTTAAATTGATTTTAACTAATTTATTGATAAAGGTAAATGGATAAAATTTATCTTATACTTTGAATCAGATGGAGTAAGCAAATAAAGAAAGTTGAGTAGAGAAGAAATAGAAACAATAAAAATATTGTGCCAAATTTGAACAAAATAGAACTAAACCTTAATAGTAATTTTTTAGTTCTTGAAATTTTATTTTTTTATATTTTTATCTCTAAAATTTGAAACTAGTAATTTTGGTTCCTGAAATCTTGCTATGGGAAAAAAGCTACTGGAAAAAGTAAAAATTTTTTAGGCAGGTGAATATTTAAAAGCAAAAAATAAAAATTTTAGAAATCAAAACTATGTCAAATTTTAGGGACTATGATATTATTTTTATAAAAAATTTATTAAAAATATACTGGCTTTTGCTTTATGCATTGTTTCCATATTTGTTACAAATCTGAGTCACCCTTATCGCTTCACTTTTTTTTTTTTTTTTTTTTTTGTGAAAGCTCATCATTAACCCTTTTTGACGTAGGTCCGCTTTAGAGCTTGACCCACAAACCCAGTCTTCTTTTAACTAAATAAATAGAAATCATACAAAGCTCAAAATAGTTTTTTTTTTTATAGTCAGATTTCAAGTTTCCGTAAAATTATAAAAACTTCGAAGAATCATCACATATTGATGTTCTTATTTAAAAAACATATTATTTATTCATTTATTAATAGCTTAAATTGATATATTTCTCGCTTTTGCCTGGTTTATAATAGAGGAATCTTTCAGTCAAAAAAAGAAAAGGGCAAAAAAAAAGATCCAGAGATCATTGTGGCGTTTGACGTACGTTTTGACAAGCTCATCGTTGAGATTCTTCTGGCTAGATATTACCTCTTTTTTTTTAATATAAGAGTTAATTAGCTTTTTTTATATTAAAACTAGTTAATTTTTTTTATTAAAACTAATTAACTAATTTAATTATATTAAAAAAAATAGTTAAGTTGATTATTTATAATAAATAGATGTTTTTCCTAAAACACCTTTCACTAATCATGTATTTTAACTATTAACTTGAACTATTATTTGATTAAACATTTAATATATACAACAACTACAAAATCTATTTTTTTAAAAAATAAATAATTATGAGAGATAAAATAAATTAAAAAATTATATTTAGAATCAAATTGAATGTCAAACTAGATTTTATATTAAGCACAGAAAGTAATATATCACTTTGGAGTTTTTGTTTTGTTTTTTGTTTTCAAATCAGGAAAAACTACAACTAAATACCCACTAGGATCAAACTGATGACTCCTCCTCTCCGAGAAGGATTTCAGAACAACGCAAATTTTTATAATTCATACTACCACTTGTCCTAATTATAAGAGCTAATTAACTAATTTGATGAGATTAAAGAAATAAGTTAAGTTATTTATTTGTATTAAATAGGTGTTGTCTTTCCTAAAATATTCTTACTAATCAAGTATATTGGCCAAAACTATCATTATTAGAATGATTACTTTAGAAAAAAATACATAAATATAAGAGAAAGTAGATTGGGCTCTTATATTTAGAACCAAAATAAAAATCAAATAAGATTTTATATTGAGATGAGAGGTAATGGTTTTCTTTATTGAAATTAACTTTTGAGCGAGAAACAGCTTTAGGCACCGTTTGGATGCACTTGCAAACCATGGTTTGGAAGCCCAAACCATGGTTTGCACAAAATGCTATCCAAACACCCCCCTCAAAAATCAAAACCATGGTTTTGGAAAAAGCAAAAAATTTTTGCTTTTGGAGAAAAAAGAGAGAGTGTGAGAGCCTATAGGATATGTATCTTGTTATTTTTTTTATAAATATATTTTTTATAAACATATTTAATCTTATATTTTATAAATATATATACATATTAATTATTTATTAATTATATTATCTTATGTATGTTAATAAAAAATATATTATTAACAATTTTATTCCTCTAAATTAAAATATATCATAAAATCTATTTTTTCTGTAATTATCATATTAACTTATTTCTTTTTTTTAATAATTTGTATATATAAAAAGTGCTTCTGATAACAACTATCCAAACACTCTTACTTCTCAAAATCACTTTTTCATAAAATCTATTCTTTCCAGAATCTATTCTCCAGAATTACTTTTCCAAACCACGATTTGGTTTCATCCAAACATACCCTTAATCCAAATGAGATTTTTTGCTTCTTCGGTCTCTTTTATTTTCTTTTTCTCAAAATAAAAAACCAACTTAGCACTAGCTGGCCTGCTGGCCTGGCTAGAGGGAGTTGAGCCTCACTTTTCAATTCACAAGGTCCAGCCCATGCCAGCCCACATCGAAGTCGTGCCACTTCATTGCGGCCCTTAATTGTTTTGGGCTTTTGGCCTTAAAACCCATGAGCTTATGTAGGCCCAGCAAACCTTTGAGTTGAAAAGTAACGAAAGAGCGAACCAGACGACAAGTTCAATGAGGTTCTTCTGGGAGCCCACGCATCAATCCTTCGTTCGTCTTCCCTCTTCCTGTTCTGTTTCTCGCACCGCTCCCGCGCCCTCCCATGCTCCTTCTCAATCTGCTCTAAATTCCTCTTTCCTCTGTTTTCCCATTTCGCATCACAACTTAGTTTCTATGCTTTAATATCCTTAGTCCCTAATCTTTCTGCTCTTTTTCTCGATAACTGCGTTTGCACGCCTTCAGATTTACGCTGTAACCCTAGCTTCCGATGGCATCCAAGAAGAAGCAAGCCGAAGGGATTGCTTTGTTATCCATGTACAACGACGAGGAAGACGAAGACATGGAGGACGTGGAGGAAAATTTGGAGGCTGCTGGACAGGAGGGGGAGCCACAGGGTGATGATGGAGATGCTCGAGCTGTTGACGGTGATTTAGTGCCTGAAACTAACAGTATGATGGTCTCTGATTCTGCTGCACTTTTTACCCCGCCACTTGCCAATGATGGGATGACCCCGGAGAAGACTAAATTTCGGAGTTCAACGCCGCAGCAACCTTCTGTTAGTGCGTCGGTTTCGCCGCAGGAGCGACGGCCGGTGTCATCGGATACCAGAAGGATTAGGAGAGGGGCCCTTACGATAGTGGACTATGGTCATGATGAAGTAGCAATGTCACCTGAGCCCGAGGTGCTCCTTCGTGCTTCTGCCTACTCAAACATTTTCTGGTCTCTGCCGAAAGTTTTTGGTTATAACTTCACTAATTGCTTACTTAAGACGAATGATATAATGAAATAGATAGATTTCCTTATTCTTATATCTCTTTCTTTTATTTATGCGAAAATTATAGATGGAGCTTCCTGAAACTGGAAAATCGATCAATCATTTGATGAAAATTCGTTACAGTAAACCGATACCTTTACCAATCACAGAAGTCATTTTAAGGGTGAAAGGGGAGCCGATTGCGCTAGGTCGCTTGGTGTTATTGTTTTATTTCCAATAATAATTTTAATTGTTTCATCACAGGAAGGAGAGTTTGATGGTAGTGGCCAAGTTACTCTTGGGGAAGACCGTCAAACAGCAAATGGTAAGCAGAATTTTTGTTGATCATGGAATTATTTCACGGAGAGTTTTTATTAATGTTCATCCCACTTTTAATTCATTCCACCCATCCGTTGAGCATCATTTCATATTACTCCAGACTAAGCTCAGTGTTCAAATATAATGCGTTGAATTTAGGAATTCATAGTGTGAATAATTCCCTATGGAATGATGGGACGTAAGATTTTGAATAGTCAATTTTTCTTGTTAGTCATGTATCAGATGACAAGTGAACTAGAAGTTTTACTTTTAAGCTGTCGAACAGTTGTAAAAGTGATTGCGAATTGCATTAGTCTGCAATGGTCAAGTTTATGTACTATTGCAAACTTTTAATGTGTGAGATCTAAGTAGAATGCAGGATCACGTTTATGTATATTTATTTAAGAAATGCACTGTTGGGCTTGGACCGTATTTAGGTCTTGTGAAGGGGACAGAGGGAGTGAAACAGGGGCTAATTCTTGCTCACTATTTACCACGCTAAGAAAAAGCCTTATGTTGCTTTTGTGATTGGTTTATTCCACTGTTTTGCTCTAGCAAGAGATACATTATCGTTTTGCTTCTTGTTTTATTAAACGTTCACACAGGTGATTTACCTGGTAGAACGCCACCTGGAACAGTTCCAGTTTTGACATCTGACAATGATGCTAGCAGCCCTCAATTTTCTGAGCCATTGAAATCGGATGCCATGAACCATGATGCTATGGTTGGACCAGATAGTTCAGAACATGGAGGAACCATACAAGAAGAGCAGAAATCTGTTGATCCATTGGATAAATTTCTCCCTCCTCCCTCAAAAGCGAAATGCTCCCAGGAGTTACAAGTAAGTTCTATTGTTATTTTTTAAATAATTTTGTTTTGATCAAGAATGTAGCATTTATTGAGTATCCGGTTGATGCTTTGTGAATGATTGTGTATATGTTGAACTAAACTAGCGTGTTCTGTTCCTTTTCCCCTGTTATTGAGCGGTCGTACAGTTTTCTTTTCCCCCTTGTGTTTGTTCAAGAGCACCATTTTAGATTTTAGTAATTGCTTTTTATAATCTTAAATGGTTGGACATAAGTGATTTTTAGTTGCCTAATCGCCCCCTCCCCCAACACAGAGAGAGAGAGAGAACAAAAAGGAACAACATTTGAATGTTAGGAAACCGAGTCATGTCATTAACTCAGCAATAATTGGCATTAGTGTCGTTTTAGTTTTGGTATCTTAGCTTCTCCTGAAATAAAGAGTAAGCATATCAGCATATGGCTCGCTGAATTCATTTAAAATTAAACGTAGTTGCATTATGTTGCCATTTTTGGCTTCATTATTTTGTTCATTTTGATCATCTGGAATGAGTATGCTGGTGGCTTTGGTATCAGTTCTAAAAAGGAAATGCCCATGATTGATTAACTTATAACAATAGTAGAAGCACAAGCATATATTAAATTAAACTTATGCTGTGTTTTATGAATGTGGTATAGATATGTGTCTCCTTTGTTTTTGGAAATTAACATAAAAGTGTGCACGCGTGCGCACACAGAGAGAGTCCGTGATTGCTATATGTACAATGGGTTGATGCTTAACACAGTAATGAGATGTTAAACTAAGTTTATTATCCCTGCAAAAACGTTTTGCATGTTTTAGCTTGCTCTTTGGCAGCTAGTAATTTTTTCAAGTAAAATTTTAAATCCAACACTAGTTGTTTCTAACTGTTGGTAAATAAGAATACCATGCATTTGGCCGTTGCACATTTTTCTCATGTGCTTCTTGACTTTCATTTTATGCTATTGCAGAGGAAAATAAATAAATTTCTTCATTATAAGAAGGCTGGAAAAAGTTTTAATGCTGAAGTTCGCAACAGGAAGGACTATCGGAATCCTGACTTCTTGCTGCATGCAGTGAGGTATCAGGGTATTGATCAAATAGGATCGTGCTTCAGTAAAGACGTATTTGACCCTCACGGATATGACCCAAGTGACTTCTATGACGAAATAGGTCCTTAACATTCTTACCTCTGCATCTATCTTCTTGTGGTAATCCATACACGTGCTTTTTGTCAATCATACTTGCTCATACATACTGCTAATTTCGTCTAATGTGTCACTGTAGCTGCATTATTGGTTTTTGTTTGTGCATGTGTTGTAATCTATTTTGTCATGTTCCGTAACGAGGCTATTGTAGACTGTTTATATGGTCACAGTGAATCTGAGGCTTGTGGTATTTCAGCCCCGTATCTTTTCTTGATTCCAATGTTACATTGATAATTTATTTTATGCTTGTGATTTTCATCCTTCAAGAACTTCGATGGTGTTATCATTTTGGCAAAAATGCTTGGTTGGTTGTCCCCAAAAAAAGAAAAAAGCTTGGTTAACTTGTCTAGAAGCGTGTGGGACTACATTTGTTACTCTGCCTTGAAGCTATAACTGATTTTGGAGTTCTTTTCAACATTTTCCTAATATTACTCCATTCTCCACGCCTTTTATCTTCTACAAAACAGAGGCTGATATGAGGCGTGAAAGTGAGAGGAGAGAGCAGGAGAAGAAGAAAGCACAAAAGGTTGAATTTATTTCTGGCGGAGCACAGGGTGTAACAGCAGCTGGCGTTCCCAGGATCAACCTACCCGTTCCAGGTTCAGAAACCAGTCAACTCTAATGCTGTGATGAAGCTGCTTTTAAATGTTTTCCTTTTGTATTAGATGTATGATGATTTTATCATGGTGACTTTTTTGGTAGCTTCATCTGCTGTGACTGCTAGTGGCTCACATTTGGCGCCCTCTACAGGCGATGCTATCAATCGAGATGGAAGACAAAATAAAAAATCAAAGTGGGATAAGGTATTCACCGAAGTAAATTCATTTACAGCTTCTATGACATAATTCATCACGCTTACGAGATTTTAGTGAATTATTTTGTTTCAGGTGGACGGTGATCAAAAAAATCCTCTGCCCTCTGTGGGGCAGGATTCTGTATCTGCTGTTGGGGCTCATGCAGCAATTTTGTCTGCTGCCAATGCTGGTGGTGGATACATGCTATATGCGTAAGTTTATTTCGTTCGTGCACTCCGTTCTGTGTTTTGATTCTGATTAATTTTATATTCTCTATTTGCCTATACCTCAGCCTTTACAAGGAAACTAAACTCTAATAGTCGTGGGTGACATGTAGAGACTTAAATATTGTCTTCCTTTCCTTTACCCCTTTTGCCAAAACGCCTGCGGTTTCTCTTCTGTACCCTGTGGTGTGTTTCTTTTATTTGTATCTTGACATATCAGGCATGTGATTCACTACTTTAGTAAGTTTGGTATTGACATAAGGGACATCGAAGTATTCATTATGCTTCCAAATGATAATGCAATAATTATTTGATGATTTTACATGGTTTAAACGCATTCTTCTCCTAGAGATTTGCACACGCACTAGATCAATATTACCAGTGACTGTTTGCGTGAAATACCAAGGCTGCTTGCTTTCCTCAGGTCACATATTACCGTACAAATGTGGCGGTCAAATTGCTGAAATATCCTGTGCGCATGATAGCTTTTGAATTCTGACAGCTGATATTTTACTAATAGAATTTTTATACATGTTAAATACGATGACCTCTGTTCTTTTGTTGAACAGGCAGCAGAAACGGCGAGAGGCGGAGGGGAAAAGATCCAGTGAAAAGAAATCGGAGATCAGATCTTAGCATTCGTTCTAGTGGGTAGTAAACCTGTAACTGATAACATTTACAGAACGGGCAGAGATCCTGGGCGATTCATCTGCCAATATATTAGTTTTGTTTAATAGTTTATTCAATGATCAGATGTTTGATATTCTCTCATTTGATTTGGTTGGAGGGGAGGGAAGAGAGAATTGTTATTAATTGTATTCATCATAAGTGAATCCTGGAAAAAGAAAAGAAAAATTAACAATGCATTGCATGTGATGCTTTGTTGCATGCGTATGAGAGCGAAAATTGAACAATCGCTGCAAGGCAAAGAAAGCCAAAGGACAAGGGCGTCTGTGAAGAAGCATTCATCAGGTTGTCACATTTATCAAAAGAAGCCAAGGACATTGTTGAAATTAAATAAATGAGGTTAATATTGTTATAGTAAAATTTATGCACTGTATATGATGGTCAATGATCTTAAAGTGTATTGAAAAAAAGATCAATGATCTTAAAACTAGGCGGAAGCAATTGTTAACTGGTAAGTCTGAGCCAGAAAGGTAACAACCCCCCCTCCCAAAAGGGTGATGAGGTTGGCGAGGTTTGCGGGTAATCCCATTATTTCCTTGCATTAGTTTACGAAAGGTGATTTGCTTTGCATGAGACATTTACCTGCCCTCTGGATAATGATTATTAGTGGGACAATGTAGGGGGGAAAGTTAATGAAAGGACATGAATCAATGAACGTGTTGCCCATTTAGCTAATAAATCATGTTAATATAAAATCTTTTTTAATTTCACAGCGTAGGGCCTTCGGCCTTGGAAGGATATAAAGTAGGAGTATTGTTGTTTTATATGGAGCAGAGGCAGAGGTGTTGGGGACAGAGAGGGACAAGAGAACAAGGATGGGGTAAAGTGTGAGCGGCCAAGCGGGAATTGATGCGTCTTCCATTATATTTACTGTATGGGTGTGGCCAGAGCTATCCTTAAATCTAAAACCATTTTCTGACCCCAAAAAAAAACCTAAAACCATTCAGAAATAAATGCTAACAAAAAGTCATTTTTATCAACCAACTGCCTTTCTAGTTCTTTTCTTCGCCGCCTTCATTATCCTCTACCCCTCTCTTCTGCATAATTTGTTGGTTGATTGGATCATTCCCTATTCTTTTTTTTTTCTTTTATATTTTTTTAGTTTGGGTGCTTTTGTTTTTATAAATTATCAACAGTCTAGTTTTCCTTTTTTTTTTTTATAAATTTTATACACTACACGCAGCTCATATCTTTTTTTTTTTTTTTGTTTATCTATGGTTAAATTCTAGGCCTGTGCTTCGCCATGTAAAATTAGATGCATTACTCACACGATTCCTTAAAATTTTATTTCTGTTATGATTATAGGACAAAGTTACAACTTTAATGAATGACAAAATTGAAAAGTCGAATATTTTTCCATAAATTTAAGAATATCAACCACGGCTCCTTTGAAAAATATCACATTAGTTAAATTTAATTTACTAAATAATTGAGACACGATGTTGGGCCTATTTAAAATAGCTTATAAGTATCTTTTCAATCGTGATTTACAGAATATGAAATAAATATATAAGAGAAGTTTTGTCTCGACTTATATAAAATGTGCTTATAAGTGATTTTTACTGTTATCCCAAGCAAGCTCATTGTATATGGATATGCATGGAATATGGATATTATAAACCCGTTTGAAATAGCTTATACGTAGCTTTTCAATAATGATTTACAGAATACGAGATAAATATATAAAAAGAGTTTTATCTCTATTTATATTAAATGTATTTATAAGTGATTTCAGCAGTAATGACAAACAGGGCCTATATAGATATAGATATATATATATATTGATAGTTACTCCTTCCGTTCCTTATTATAAGAGACATTTAGTGCTTATGGCATGTTCCTATATATAAGAGACACTTAAAAGTTGTCTCTACTTTTTTGTGTTGATTTCCTATTTTATCCATATTTATTATCTCCAACTCACACTCTCTCTCCTTCCCACTTCTCTTTCTTTTAATAAATTACCATTGTTCTCTCTCATGTTCTCTCTCCTTATTAATGAGGGTATTTTTGAAAAAAGAATTATACTTTTTACATATTAATTGTTCTTAACTAATTTTAACTGTTTTTTAATCAACGTAATTCGGTTATTCGTCTCTTATAATAAGAAACGGAGGGAGTATTAAAAAGAAAAGAAAAAAGAAGAAGCGTTTTACGCAAAACGAGGTTAGTCCAAAACAAAACAGACACAATAGGAGGGTGAATTCCTTATAAATGGTGGAAAGTTGACGCGTGCAGTGTGGAGCCGTGTTGAAAAAAGTGGCACCAAGTCGCTGCTCTCCAGCTATGCCCTCCCTCCCTCCCTCCCTCCCCTGCTCGATAAGTCCCCAGCGTCATACCTTGCCCTTATTCTGTCACTTTACCTGAAACATGTTATTTCTGATATTGATAACTAATTTATGGATATTAAATAAATTAATTAGGTAATTATTTATAATAAATAAATATTATTTGTTTTAAAATATCTTTTTTAATCATATATATTAGAATTGATATTCTCTAACATGTCCAATCGAGAATTATTTTGGATAATAAATAAATAAATATAAGAGATAAATCAAATTAAATTTCCAGTTAGCTCAGATATTTAGTATGGAGGGTAGTACTGGTTAATCATAAACTAATGAAAACATGTTAGTATGTTATTACTTCTGATCTTTAATATAAAATCTCGTTTAACTTTTATTTTAGCCCTAAATATAAGACTCCAATCAACTTTGTTTCTAATATTTATGTATTTTTTTTTCTAAGATAGTCATTCTAACAATGGTAGTTCTAGCTAATACATTTGATTAATAAGAATATTTTAGAAAAAATAACACATATTTATGACAAATAATTAACTTAACTTATTTTCTTAATCTTCTCAAATTAGTCAGCTAACTCTTATAATTAGGACTAGAGGTAGTATTTATCAATTAACAACAATTGGTTACCACAGAGCAGCCGGCCAATTTCAACATTTTTATCATTCCCGTTATATCCTTCTTTCCAATCCTCGCCACATCTAGCTTTTTGTTCATCTGGGCGGAGCTTGATGTGAAGAGTCAATAACGGTTTATATCTCACATAAACCTTTTTGTTTATTTATTAAACCTTCGTGTGACTCCTAAGGTTCTATTTGGTAGGAAACATTTTAAATTAGAATAGAGGTTAGAACTATGATTGAGAAAATTTATTAAAAGAGTATTTAATATAAGAGATTGTTTGTTATATAAGATTAGGTAAATCTATATATATAGGATGGACCCACTTTCCCTGCTTAGCATTGTGATGAGTACCAAGTGCTCATCACCCCAACGCAGTGTTTTACTAAAGAATGGAAAAATCTTGGGCATTGGTTGTATGATAATCCCAACCGTCCAATTCTGAAATGTCCTTGTTGGACTGTGGGAAGACTCCAACGGATGAGGCTAGACTCCGCTTCTCTTCTCGGCAGAACCAATTTTCTGGTAGTGCCATCCATATGAGCCTCATCTGCGGTGGCTGTCCTTGGGTAGCGCATGGGGGCATTAAACTCTACGGCTTTTAAGTTCATCCAAGCTTTTGAACTCCCTTCCTATCTAGAATTTAAGTTCGTCTTCCATTAGCTGGTTCTTATATGCAATAAAACATTGTAATTTTAAAAATATTATCTTGCAATATATATATGTCTAAGCCTAAACAAGAATTCCCTTTTTTTTTATACTAATTACACATATTTCAATAAAATATGGTTATTCTTCAAATATTAATTCCAATACATATATAACTATTAAACAAATATTATATATGTAATTAAAGAAACAACTAGAAAGTATAGACAGGTTCAAAACCAACCTATGATTAGAATGTCAAGCTCCTCCTTCAATCCGAAACTTTTTTTTTGCGTTGAAAGAATAGAAACTTTCAAAAATTCCTGTAGTGCTTTCAGTTCGGAGTTCGGACACCTTTAATCTGAAAGCTTTTTTTTTTTTTATTTGATCTTTTCTCTCAACCTTCAATCGTAGAAACTCTTTTTCCTCTAAAAGTTGGCACCAAGCGTGTTAGAGACTCTTCAATTAGGTTAATGTTGAGACAATAATTTTATTTACTTAATTATACTCCATATATAATTTTTTTTCTAATCATAATTTCCTAATGAAAATAAGAGAAATATTTTTGCCATCAATAATTCGTGATTCTGTATCTGGTCAGGGATCACAATTTTTGAAAAACTACAACTGAATGAATAAAATAATGGAACCTTGCCTTCTACTAATTAAAACGCTGTGTTCGGGTGACGAGCACTTGGTGCTCATCACACTGCCTAGCAGGAAAACTGGGTCCTATATAGGATTGGGTCCATATCCTTCATTTTTAATGTTTAAAGCTTAATTTCTCACATTCCCTTTCAGCATACACACGGAGCAAACCTAAAAGATTCGGTAAACAAAAAAAAAAGAAGGTTTCAGAAGACCAAAAATAAGAAGAATCCCGTGGAAGTTGGAACTTTGCAGTCATTGTTATCCCTGTACTGTAGCGAAGTCAAAGCTTCGTGGAGCCAGACCATCAGAATCAGCAACCAGTCAGAAACGTTAAGCCGCTTAGAGCACCCCAGATGATACAGTCAGAAAAGTGAACAGGTGAATAAGTGATGAGGAAGTGGGGAAGATGGGGCCTACTAAGAGGGAAAAAAGTAAGCCCAGTGGTTCGAGTCAAAGTAAATGTTTGCTTTAACTTTACACTCATTACGACATCATCTTTTACACGTCCTAGCCGGATTAAAATATGAAAGAAAACACATAAAAAAGGGGCAAAAACCCAGCATCTCATCTCCATGCCTATCCGTTGCAACTTTGTAGTACCATTATCATGCATCTGTTCTTTTATATCAGGATTCAGAGGGCATGCTTGGCTTGGATATTCCATTCCCATACTCCTCCACAATGCCGTCATAATTCCCTTCTAGCTTTATTGCTTTAGTTCGAGGCCCAGACAAAAGTAAAGATGGGACCCTTTCTTTGCAATAACCTTAGTTATCGAGCACTACGAACCATGATTATTCTAATGGCTTGCCATTAGTAATAAAATTATTGGGGTCCTAATCGGACATACGTGGGCATTGTGCCTTTGGAGATAACTTAGGAGCATCTTTTTGTATCTTTTAAGTCTGAAAAAACAAGGCTGACTAATACATACTCTTCTTTCTTATTGAGGCCACTTTTCTGTTTTTCATCATGCGGCATGGCATGGCATCTTATACTTGCTGGCTAAGGGATAATATACATGTCTCTTGTTTAATGTGCTTTGATCAAGTTTTGTTCTGATCTCTTCACTGATATGAATATTTTTTTTCTAAAAAAGAAAAAGCAAACGTCATGTGAACACAGATTTGCTTCTCATCATGATTAGTATACTACCTCCGGTCCTTAATATAAGACCTTGTTTGATTTTTATTTTGGTTCTAAATATAAGACTCAAATCCATTTTATTTCTCATATTGACTTAATTTTTTTCAAAATAGTCCTTCTAATAATTATAGTTTTAGTCAATACATTTAATTAGTAAGGATATTTTAGGAAAGACAATATCTATTTAGGATAAATAACTAACTTAACTTACTTCCTTAATCTCTTCAAATTAGTCAACTGGTTCTTATAATTAGGATCAGAGGTAGTATCTCAAACATAAATTATCCGCGAGTGCCATTGATGAATATTCTGGTCATCGGAGTTTTGTTGATAAAAGGTTCTTTTCGATGTTATTTTTGTGGTTTTTGACTTGCTGTGTTCGACTTTGATGGCAGAGAGACTTTTGAGGCAAACAACTTTTACCGGGTTCAGTTCTTTAATCTTCTTGGCAGAGAGAAGTTTGACGAGTTCGAGGGGTTCTGGGATTATTACGGGTTGATAAGGCAATATCTTTTGAAGGTTAAGTTATAAAGTGAGAGGATGGATGAATAATTGTGATCTATTCAGACTCAGCAATAAGTTTATGCAGTGAAGAACAATACTCCCTCCATTCCTTATTATAAGAGACATTTGATACTTATATCATGTTCCTATATATAAGAGACACTTAAAAGTTGTCTCTACTTTTTTGTATTGATTTTCTATTTTACTCATATTTATTGTCTCCAACTTACACTCTCTCTCCTTCCCACTTTTCTTTCTTTTAATAATTTACCATTGTTCTCTGTTCTTATTAATGAGGGCATTTTTGAAAAAAAATTATACTTTTTACATATTGATTGTTCTTAATTAATTTTAACTATTTTTTTATCAACGTAATTCGGTTATTCGTCTCTTATAATAAGAAACGGAGGGAGTAATAATAATAATAAAGAGGTCTTCTCTCAAAAGTGATGATACCACAAAGCGTGTTTATGCTGTTAAAATCACCAATAAACATACTCAAATCCAGAAAATAATCCAGAACATAATATTCAAATGGATAAAGTGTCGGATCAATAATATGGAGCGTTTTCTTAAGTATTTTTGTAAGTATGAGATTACGAGTTGAAGATTTTTATAGAGAATACAACGATTATGCGAATTGTTTTAAAAAAAAAAAAAGTCTATAAAATCTCCACCCAATTAGGCGTTGGTTTTTTTAGTGCGATATAATGTTGGATTGATTGACTTGGAAAAAGATTATTATTGGAATCAAATCAATGGACTGGATGCCTAAATTATCATTACTGGGAGAAGTCTAAATTAATTATCTCAAGTCTCAACATAATACTAATAACAACAATAATAGTATTAATAATAATACAATCAGTCATTAGACGTGTCAGGCCAATACTCCGCACTATTACTGGTGTAAATAATAATAATAATAATAATAATAATAATAATAATAATAAGAGAGGCTCAGATATCAAAGTGGTTTGTCTGGGCATCTTAATAGAGAGACGTTGGAGATTCCTGTTCTGTGCCTTCACCCTCCGCCCAGCAACAACTTACCCACCCCCTTTATTTTCCGATCCTAACTCTTAACTACACTCAGCCACTCAGTACGACCAGTAAACTACGAACTAATACATTAACTAACTTTCCAAATGATATTAACTCCATGTTCTAATAAGGGACGAGGTAGTATTAGATAAAAAAATTAATAGAAGACTGAATATAAAAATGAAGTGATACTACGCCACTGCAAAGTAATTTTCCCTGACTTTTGAGCTTGTTGATGAAAAGGAAAAAAAAAACTGCTCCTAACGTAGAGTACATTAATTTAAAAAAAAAACAGAGAGAGATAAAAGTAAACAATAAATTTTAGAATATGCCAAATTTTTTCCAAAAATATATATAAATTAGATTCTTCTAGTGGAGTGGTTTAAAAAATTTGACGACTTTGGTGCTTCTCTAGTTCTATATATAGCGACATGACTTGTTCTTTTCAATTTTACATTGTGTGTTCTTTAACTTGAGATGGATCTAATTATAAAATATTGACAAAGGCATCCAGCGAGTAACGAAGATTTGGGGGGAAAAAAAAAAATTCATGATCACATTTATACATTTTCCGGATGCATTACCTCATTTATTCCCAGCTGAAATTGCGCAATGTTTTAACGAGGCTACATTTTTATTCTTTTTTCTGAGAGAAATAAAAATTAATTTCCTGAAGAAGTCTACGTTTTTAGAGACGATTTTAAGAGTAAAATACTAAAGTCTAGGATCAAGAAAGGAAAAAAAAAATCTAGCTTCGAGCCATTAGTACTTAAAACGAAAAGCATATTAGGAGGCGAGAAGAAAAGAAAATAAAGAAAGAAAGAAAGAAAAGCATATATCTTTAGCTACCATTACCAAACCAACTCCTCAATATATGACTGGTTCTTAATTGATGAATGCTGGGATACTTTCTTTTTCTCAAAAAATAAATGTATACAAATTGTATTTTTATTTCCAAACCAAAATGTAAAGATTGTCGAGTGAGGACGTTCTAAATTTCTAATTTTCTTTAACTACGAGTTATTTCATGCACCGGTTTATAACTAATGATAAAGGCATCCGGCCAAAAGGAAAAACTAATGATAAAAGATAAGAAAAATGTAGCGGTGCTTGCTAGACGCTACACACATACATTCAAGTACTTGTGCGTCGTTGACCCAAGAATAAGAGTTTTAACGCGTTACAAATTTTCAATTGTTTTGTGCATGAATATACATTATGAAATTATCAACGATTCCGACCATTTTCTTTCCATATCTATGTACCCTCATTTGGTAAGAATCTGAGGTGCACGAATCTTACATTTTTGGTAAAATGCACTAATAATATGTACTAAATATGCACTTTCAAATGACTTTTTTTTTTTTTTAAAGCAGAGATGGAGTTACTGGTGAAAACCAATGGGATCAGTGTCAGGGAGGCAATGCAACGGTAAGATTCAGTTCAGATTTTTGGAAGTTCCTTAAGGGGTAGTTTTGGGATTATGGAAAAGTTAACGGAACCTTTCCATGAATCCAAAAGCATAAGAGAGAGGCTGATTGAGATGAACTAAGCTACAAACAAATGCGAAGATCTCTCACTGCTCAGTAGTGGGTTCCAAGTAAAGATCTTTCATTTCAACTCTCCTCTCTCTCTCTATTTTCTCTGCCTACCTTTTCTTTCTTTTCTCTTGCTTTTTCAACGTCACTTGGCCCCTTCTTTCTTCCTTTCACTGTCAGGTTTTGTGGCCGCCTTCTTCCTCTCACTGCCATTGAATCAGCTTATTTCTTTAAAAAGACCTCAAAGCTCCTAAGAATATTTCTTCTTCCTCTTCTTCTCTCGAGCTGTTTTTGTTTCTTATGTGTCATAAACAGTAGGATTTGAAGGTAAGGGAAAACTAAAAAGACAGCGAGCTGAGGTTAGATTATTATGGCGGCCGTGAAGCCAGAAGAGATAAGCCACCCACCTATGGACCAGCTTCAAGGCTTAGAGTACTGCATTGATTCAAACCCATCTTGGGGTATGCCAAGTTTGAATCTTTTCTATGCTGCATTCTCACCTTCACCTTTTTCTTTTCTTTTCTCTCGTTGTGAATGATTTCCTGTTTGCTCTCTTCACAGGGGAGACAATAGCTCTGGGTTTTCAGCATTACATTTTGGCCTTAGGAACAGCAGTGATGATTCCTTCATTCCTTGTTCCTTTGATGGGTGGAAGTGATGTAAGTAAGCCGTTCCCAAGTTCGATTTGTTCTCCTTCATTTCATGTTCAGATATGAACCCGACTGATGATTCTGGTATAAGAAAACCTTCATTTAGCATTATGGGGTGGGTCCTCCCACGACTAAGAACATTGAAGATTCCGAGATAAATGTCCCTATGGTTTGTTTTGTTTTCCATTTAATGTCTCAGGATGATAAAGTGAGGGTGGTACAGACTCTACTTTTCGTGGAAGGGGTTAATACACTTCTGCAAACTCTGTTCGGAACCCGGTTACCCACAGTGGTGGGGGGTCCTATGCATTCATGGTTCCAATTATATCTATAATTCATGATTCTTCCCTGCAAAGGATCGAGGACCCACATTTGGTAATTTCTACATTCCTTCAATTTAAACATGCTTGTAAACGTTAATTGGTTATGGTCCTTGTCTGCGGAAACACTTCGTCACATTCAAATTGTTGTGTACGATCTTAGCTTGGAAAAGAACTTCACAACTGTGTTGCATATCATGAAGTTGTTTTCTTCGCTTGTCAACCAGAGAGAATGTGCGAGTGTCAGCTCTGGAGTTAAAACTAATGTGTTTATATACTTATGCAGAGATTTCTCAACACCATGAGAGCAGTGCAAGGTGCTGTGATAGTAGCATCAAGCATACAAATTATTTTGGGGTATAGTCAATTGTGGGCTATTTGTTCAAGGTGTGCTTCTTTGAATGTCAAAGAATAGAACTTTAAATATCACATTCTACGAGCCAAATATTTAATATCTTTCATGTTCCATGCAGATTTTTCAGCCCACTCGGGATGGTTCCAGTAATCGCATTAGTTGGTTTTGGATTATTTGATAGAGGTTTCCCTTTGGTATAACATCAATCCACATGCCACTAATTCCAATTCTCAAACTTCCAGATGTGGGAGTTTAATAGTATCTCCTTCATGTTAGTACCACTTAGCATACTGTTTTTGAAACTTCTTTCAGGTTGGACATTGCGTTGAAATTGGAATCCCCATGCTTATTTTGTTTGTAGCCTTCTCCCAGGTACAAATTAAGTTCACTCTTTTTCTTGAACTTTTTTGCATGTCAAATTGAAAGGTAGATAAGTTTTAATTTTCTGAAACTTTGATCTCTGGCTATCTAAAATTTCATCATCTTGAGGCTTGATACTTAAGTTGAAACAAACATTGTCCCTTGATGTAAAGAAAACAAGTAGGACATGCAGGCTTTTTCTGATTGTGATATGCTATTTGTTGTCTGCAGTATCTGAAAAGTTTTCAGATAAAGCAGCAACCAATACTGGAGCGATTCGCTCTGCTCATATCAACCACAGTGATATGGGCGTATGCACACCTCCTAACTGCTAGTGGAGCATACAAACACCGCCCGGAATTAACTCAAATACACTGTAGAACCGACAGAGCAAACCTCATTTCTTCTGCTCCATGGTTAGTGACAACATCTTTTAAATATACTCTCATAAGGTGGGACTTCGCTCAATAAATTTCTCTGGCAGTCACTTAATGAGTAGATTGTAACATTTTTGTTTTGACATAAACGGCTCAGACAAGTTTATACTCTCAGAGAGACTAAATCCATTTTTCAGCAAGGCAATCACTCACTTTTGATATTGTTGTGGCCAGGATAAAAATCCCATACCCTCTTCAATGGGGTGCTCCTACATTTGATGCTGGGCACGCTTTTGGGATGATGGCTGCTGTTTTAGTCTCATTGATTGAGGTATTGTCATGCCATATTTACACAATGTATCTGATTTGTATATCGAAATTCTTTGTTGGTCAGTGATGGAGAAACGTAATCTTTTTCTTGACAGTCAACTGGGGCATATAAAGCTGCATCGCGTCTAGCAAGTGCCACACCACCTCCTGCTCATGTTCTGAGTCGTGGTATTGGTTGGCAGGGAATTGGAATCTTGCTAAATGGGCTTTTTGGAACACTGACCGGTTCAACGGTCTCTGTGTAAGCTTTATTTCTATGAATCTTTGGCTTTCACTTCTCATTGGATACGAAACTGATCTTCTCAAGGCCCTTGACAGGGAAAATGTGGGGCTTCTAGGAAGCACTCGGGTTGGAAGCCGCAGGGTCATTCAAATTGCAGCTGGTTTTATGATATTCTTCTCAATGCTCGGTTAGTTTTAAAATAGGAAGTACCTTGACTTATGTAACTTAATAACAATTTTAACTCAGGCCTAATTTGCTCGTTTCTGCAGGAAAATTTGGGGCATTGTTTGCTTCAATACCGTTCCCTGTTTTCGCTGCTGCTTACTGTGTTTTGTTTGGTCTTGTGTGTGAGCACCATTACCATTTCCACCTTTAATTTTATCATAGCATCTCTTTGCTTCTTTCTCCTCACTAACATAGTCTTTCTGTGCGCTATTTTCAGCTTCTGTGGGGCTATCATTTTTGCAATTTACTAACATGAACTCAATGAGGAATCTCTTTATTACTGGGGTTGCCCTCTTCCTGGGTTTGTCAGTTCCTGAGTACTTCAGAGAGTTCTCAGCCAAGGCCCTTCACGGTCCTGCTCATTCCAAGGCTGGATGGGTGAGTTTAATGCTCTATCATCATGCAGTTTAACGAATTATTTTTTAGTATCATCTATCTAGCAAGGGGGCATACTCAAGTTAACTTTTTATTTTTGCCGTGTCTTTTGCAGTTCAACGATTTCCTCAATACTATCTTCTTCTCATCTCCAACCGTTGCATTGCTTGTTGCTGTGTTCTTGGACAACACACTTGACTATAAGGATAGTGCAAAAGACAGGGGAATGCCATGGTGGGCTAAGTTTAGGACATTTAAAGGAGATAGCAGAAATGAAGAGTTCTACACCCTGCCTTTCAACCTCAATCGGTTCTTTCCTCCATCGTGAACTTGTTTTTACTGCGAAGAATGATTTTGAAGGAAAAGCATCATTTCCAGATAAGATTTTTAATGTGATGATGATCTGTACAAGTGAAGAAGAAGAATGGGAGGAATATGTGTGTTTTTGGGTTGCAGAGGAATGGTATCCTCGGCTTTCTGTTCAATTTTTCATGTATTCAACTGAACTGAAGTATTTTCTTCTTCATATATAAATAGAGAATTTATTTGTTCCATATATCTTCAATTTTCTATCATTTTCCTTCATTCTCTCGTAAGGCTGTTACCCACCTAATGATCAATTACCAATCTTAATTTCTGACCCAAAAATACTGTTCATAGGTCTAAAATCAATTGCATGCCTTCACTGAAACAAAATCATTTCCTATTTCCTTTTGGGTAAAGATCTTCTTCTTCTTCTTCTTCTTCTTCTTCTTCTTTTTTTTTAATGTAGAGAACCGTTTATAAAATGCGAGGCTGACAAAAATGTTCAGATGAAAATATCAGACAAATGAAATTTAACCTCAGAATGCATAGGGCTGTTGGTGTTTACACATGCACCCTGGGCACCTTGGATGTCGATAAATGCTCCGACCAGATCTCCTCATGCCAGCTTTCTGACCCTCTTGAATCATCTTCTTAATTTTGTCTTCAAAGGCACTCCATCCTATGGTCTCATTCTCTGACAAGATCGCTGCCAGCCTCTTCTTGTTTGGCCTCAAGGTAGGAGCATGACCACCACCATAGTAGGTCCTAAATCCAGATACCATTGATGAAAGTTGGCTTCCAGAGTCAGTCATGGCAAATACGTCGGCAGTTGCACAAGCTATAAAGTCCAGTGCAGCCAGCTGCATATATTCACTCACATCAATCTTCTTTTCTTTATTTTTTCTCTCAAAAACAGATATTATACTCAATACTCAAAGAATGTCTCCTTACCTGAGAAGAAAAATTCCTGAAAGGTGCTAGTTCACTGGGGGATAGCAGATTTTCCTTTGTGACTAAGTTGGGAAAGAGCTTAGTGAAGGGATGCATCCTTGAGTCTCCTCCATATATATGAGAACCAGCCAAGTATATGTATGTTCCACTTTTGAAACCGAGACCGGCTAGGACAAGTGCTGCTTCTTCTGGTGTCAACGGGCATCTTCCCAACGTCCTCAAATCCATTGGAGATATGGGGCTACAAAGATCTATTACAAGTTAGAACATACATGCTTCTAGATTGATCAAAATGTAATGTAATGAATAACTTAAAATGTGTCACCAAAAAAAAAAGAAGAAGAAAATGAGTTTGAAACAAACGTTGTTTTCTTCAGTCGCTCAAGAAGAAGAGGGAAATGTGCTTCTCTGTAGGATCTAAGTTCCCTTCTTTCATCTTCACCACCTCCAAATTCACATAAGGAGTAGGCTACCATGTCAACTTCGAATCTTAAGTGCAAGGCAAGGTATTTGGTTGAGCCTCTAGCAGCATCATGATCTCCATTGTTCTGGATGAACTTCCCTAGTAAATGTTTATCTAACTTGCTTCTTGCACTACTATATTTTCTAATCCTTCTGACCAACAATGAACCAACTTCTTGAATTTTGGGCACAAACTTCAGAGCATGGAAGTTGCATTTGCACCTTAGCCTCTGCAATTTTTAAAGTCACAAGCAGAAGATATTCCTTGAGATATTGATATATGATTGAAAGTCAGGCTTCTAACAAACAAGTGAAAGTTTGAAAAACTTCATTGAAAGGGAAACTTTATGACCTGAATGCCAGAAGGAAAGGGATCAAAACCTAGTCGATTTCCATATCCAAGGAAGTGAACAACTCCATTTCTCCGAAGAATAGGAAGCACAATTTTGATGTAGTCACTGACTGTTGCTTCCTTCACAAGATCTGAATCTGTAATCTAAAATGCAAAGTATATACTTTGTTATAAAACAAGTGTAATTTGTCCTGGCATTCAATAATATACAAGATGCTGAACCTGGCTGCCTATTGCTTCTATATCCAACGATCTTAAATGAGGTGGGATTTCCTTCACAACATTAATTTCATCCTTCATCATATCCACGAAATAATCCTCCTGATATATGTCACCAAACTGGCTGCATATTGTGCATCAAACATGTGAATCAACGACTGGAAAATATTAATTTCTCATTTGAAAAACGGCACTGCTTCGCTAGCTGGGGAAAAAATAACTCTCCGATCAACTACTTAGTTACTCAAAGGAAGGATTAATAGGAAAACAAAAAAGTTACAGAGAATGCCGTTTCAGATTTTTCATTTTTATTCTAATGCTAAAAAACGATATCATACCTAGGATCATTCCATACATTGCTGTAAAGAAACTTTGGAATAACTAGGGTTGCGTTGAGGAGATATGCCACAGCTACAGCATTGCAAATCTGAAATTACTTCGGCAGCCTAGTCAATTCCATTGCTGAGGATACTGAAAATATGCCTCAATGAAAGCGGTAAAAGCACACATCATCTTTACAATGAAAATCCGCAAGCATATCGAGAAACATATATGATTATAGCATTCAGAGATCCCATCTAATGTTTAGGATCCGGACTTCATTGTATAGGAGCCCACAGTAAAGAAATACCGTATCCAGCAAAGTAGACTTTTGAAATGGACCCTGCAAAGTTAATGGATTTTGGTCTTGAAATTATGATGACAATGCTACAATTTGTTAAGCTAGTTTAGTTTCTGGCTGTAAGAGAGACAAGGCAATTAAATTTCTCGTCAAATGGGGAGCTCGATTAATGTTGAGCGTGATAAAAAACGGAAGGTTTATCTGTATATGTAATCTTTAGTAATATGCGGAGTTTATTTCTGAATATAAAAGCTAATGCATACTAACTTTCAATACTTACAGCAACTCGTTGTTGATTAAGACCTCCATTTGCACTGACTAATATATAGCCATTAGTTTTCACAGATTTCCCTGTTTCAGAATATCAACTCGTTATTGATAATATAATGAAGGTAAATTGATAACAAGTCACTGCTCAAACGTAATATCTCTGCATATAGCAGAACATCGACGACTAAATATTGTAAATATCTGAAGAAACCCGTTTGATGTTACCTTGATTGCTCAGAACTTTTCTGTCTGCACAAGGTTTCCACGAAGATGCCTGCCGATACGGTTCCACCCACAAATTTGATGATTCCTGCTTGATCTCCCTCTAAAGTATTGGAAGTTTCAGTAATTAGACTAGCTAGAGCCAGGTGGAAACGAACTAGGGAAAAAAAAGAGAATTATAACTCCATCCAAGAACCGACAGGCATAAGGTAGAAGATTTTGATACAAACCTCTGCAAGGGCACTAGAAGCCAAGTTTAGAAGCCTATCATACATCTGTATCGGTGATGGTCGCTTGTCAGTGTATGAAACTCGATCCTGATCATAGCAAAAAAAAAAAAAAAAGCGGCAGATGTCATATGTTATGACAAGGTTAAATTAGGTGTAATTACTATTTCTGACGCAAACAAGATGAACTATTTCTGACACAAACAGGATGGAGAGTGCAATCTTAAACAGTCTCAGTTATGTCACTGCGTTCGTTCTGTGATAAACATGATTAGCAGAATAAACACTAACGCAGATAGATAACCAGAGAAGGTTGTACCTGAAAGCCACTTGAGTTGTTATTGGCCATATTGTGTTGAAGATTTGCAAAATCAAAGAAGGAGACCATAAGAGAATCAGAAGGACAAGGCAACTCATGAATCCAAACATGACAAGAATGGTCCTTAAGTGCTTTTGGAGCCACAAATGTTTTTTCCCAACGTAAATGCCCCTACATGAACCGTACTTTGAAGAATCACTTCTCAACCCATGAAGCAACAACGTCTTTGAATTCCAACGGCAATCACCTCCTGCAGTCCTTCTCCAATTTCTGAGCATCTAGTGTGGTAATCCTTCATTCCTGATACTAATTCGCCTTTCTGGAACTCTGGACGAGGACTTCTCGGAGACCCTTGTTTACCCATTACACCATTATCCACATCAACAATATTCAGTTTAAAGACTCATTCTTGCTTCATCCTACAGAAATAAGTCTACTTCTGGGTTCTCTTCGTCTCTCACTTGTTCTAAAGCCAACCCACCAATCCATAAGGAAAGGAATTCTTCAAGTTTGGTGGCCAGAAAAATGAGGCCAGAGCAGAGCTTGCTCGTATGAATTCGAGTTGAAGCGAAGGAGTAGGTGCTGGGAATGAGTGAAACCGAAGCGAAAGCTGAAAACTCAACCATGCAAATTGAAGTAGCCTTATAGAAGAAGGCTGACATTTAGAACAACAACGTCCCACCAAACAGAACAGACACTGGGGCACCATTTCCTGGGTTTTCACATTCGAAGCAAAGGCTTACGCTGGGACGAGTTGGTATTTTCTGAATTATAATCGCTTTCTTCAAAGGCTTTGAATTGGTATTTCTTTAGCATTGGTTTTCGATTTGGCGGGTTTTTATTCAACTGTTGCCAGGAAAAACCGTTAGCCTTGTCAGTATATTATTTTCTGGAAGAATAATGGTGGTTGGATAAATAGACAATAATACTATTTTTCTGGTGAAAAGGATGGCGCACTGGGACGACGCCTGGGCCTCCGTAACAGATATAACTAATAATCTTTTCACATCGAATGATTCATGTGTAGAATTGGACAAAATATTAAAATGGCGTAGAATAAACATTATACTCTAGTATTTTTTTTATTATTAATTTCAATCAAATTTCATCATCCCCATTTTTCAATGCATGCAGAAAAACATATGTAGTGTGATTTAATATCTACAGTAAGTCTGAGAAGAAAAAATTATGATAAGGTAAATGATGTCATGAACAATGCAACTTTTTTAAGATTCTGTGAATTATAAAGGATTTGCCTAATTTGTATTGCAAATTATCAATTAATGATTTGATTTTTGAATATGCAAAATAACGCTTATCCATCTATTCATCCGATCTTTAATATAAGATCTAATTGTAAAGTTGATTTTGGTCTTAAATATAAGACCTATTTTTTATATTTATCAATTTTTTTCCAAATCATCCATATTGAAACTCTCTCAACCATAATCAAGTATGAGAGGAAGAGGATATAATAAATATGATTAAGGTATTTTGAAAAAATATGTCATATTTATTATAGTTAACTAATTTACTAACTTTCTTAATCTAATAAAAAAATAATTTTATATTAAGAATCAAAGGAATATTACTTTTGTAGGCATTAGGTATTCATTAGTTCTCTGTGTTTGGTATTGTTTTTAGTCAACTTCCTTAATATGTAAAACCAAAGTAAGAATGTTTGGCTTAATGTGAGGAAAATCACTAGAACCATAGTTTGTATATGGAAGTAGTTAGTTACATGTTTTAATATAAAACCAAACACATATTAATGCGTACATATATGTTAGGGTTTTAATTGAACGAACTTTATATGATTTTTAGGATTTAAATTCTAGATAATAAAAGCAAACATCAATCCAACTCCAATCCAGCACCAAAACCTAAATTTCCTTTGAATCGAATTTTAACTAATGCTAACATAGAAGTTGAAATTTGGGGGGTATTGGCAAGCTATGTTTAGGGTTTACGTGGGATGTTACATGAAAATAGTACTCTCTTTTCTCCGATTTTTAATATAAAAACTAGATAATTGATTTATAGATATTAAAAAATAATTAAATTAATTATTTGTAATAAATGTAGATTAACTTCTCTAAAATACAATCAACAAAAATGCTTTAGAGAAAAAATTATAAATTTAAAAATAAAATAAATCAAAATTTTACATTTAGGATAAAAAAAACTTTTTAACTTATTCTTATATTTATATTTAGTACAGAAGTTAGTATTATTTATCCAAGATATAATTACAACTTTTAAGAGAGAGAGTGGTGAAAGGCATTTACGGGAATCCAACGTTCTCAAAAGCACCACTATTTTTCATTCCCATTTGGAGGCGGGAATGGTGGGCTTCCAAGGGTAAATGAGGTAAGAAAAACAGGACATTGGGACTGCCCTTTTGACAATGTTAAAAGACCATTCTCCCCACATAGACAAAAGCGGAAAAAAAAAAAACTCACTTGTAATTCAGTATTTTATTGTTATGGTCAGGGAATTGAATTATAAATGAGTCAAAACTTAAAAAAATAAAAAATTAATTTTTTCAAATAAAATTAATTAATAATACACCAAATGAATATCAAATTACACATCTATATATACATTTTCAAAATTATACTATCATTCTATATTTTAAAATTTTTAGCTGTTAAAATTTCACGCTTTAGTTTAAATTTATTTTTTGTGCTTAATATTTTTCATAGAAGTTTACATAAATATTTTTTTAAAAGGAAATAAAAGTCCAAATAAATTAGTTCTGGGGAATTTTCCCCGGTCATACAAGTCTTATAGTTCAAACTAATCCACAAAATTCTTGCCAGTTATATCTATTAGCAAAACTATTAAGGGGAATTATGCCTAATGAACAAATTTACAAATTTTTTATTTCTAAGGCCACTAATAGTAAATACTTATCGTTTCATATGTAGCTGTGTATTGTTTGAATGGTAAGTAGTGTTAGTATATTTTCTGTTATAAATTTATATTATATAAATGATAAATATTCATAATTTAATATAGTAAATTTAAGATCTTTCACAATGCCCTCAAAAGTCAAAACTGATGATAGTGTTTGGATCCCAATATTCTATATAGATTGTAGGCAGACATGCTAATTAAAAATGCATTCAATTTTATAAGTATATTTTAATAAAAATAACATAAAAGAAATTTTTTATACAAATATATATTCATTTTAAAATAAAAATATATATAATTGTATAACTTGAATAAAGCCTAGAAATTCAGGTAATATAGAAACAAGTTAACGAGAAACTGTTATTAACAAAAAAATATATAATTATATTATATTGATATAAAGTAAAACAAAAAAAATTTATGAATAAAAAATTATATTTTTTGCAAATAAAAATAGATATTTATAATATGATGTAATAAAGATTCCTTTGGCGGTAACGGCCATTTTTATGTTGGAGTGAGAGGGAGAGAATGTCTTTGGAAAAGTTACCCAACGGAATGTAGGTTTATGTTTGGGTAAGTTAGGTATCTGGTTCCAAGGCATTGTCTTCTCTTCTCCTTCTGGGTATTTGGCGTAATTGTGAGCAACAGTGGAGGCCTTTTCCGACAATGCAAAATTGTAGTAAAAAGGGTCTCAGACTCGGCCATGATTGGGGAGAAGACCGAAACTCAAATGCCGTAAAAGAAAGAAAATTTGGTTTAATAAAAATAAACAAGAAAACGGAAAGGAAAAGGGAGAGCTGGAATCACATGGACTTGTCTTCTCCTGCTGGGACCTCCATTTCCTTCCTGGTCCTCTTTCACACCATGATCTCCTCCTCCTCCTCCTCCTCCTCCTTCCCCCTTCCTTAGATTCCTTTTTCTCTTCTCCCTCCTCCATGGCCGATGATAAGGTACTCTTCTGGGTTCTTTTCAGCTTCTTCAAATGCTGATGGTTGCCTTGTTTTCTTGGAAAGCTTGAGTGACCGTGAGGAAACGAAGTGGAAAGTCTTGTCTTTTAATTGCTCAGGAGGATGAATCTGGACCATTTTCAGAATTAGGATTTTTATGTTTATTCTTTGTTTCTTCATTTTCTTCTCTCCGCGCAGCAAAAGAGACATTAGGGCTTTTTTGGGCGGTGGGTTGTTGGGAACTCAGCTGCCTTCTTCACATGTTTGGTTTTTGAGCTTAAAGGAAGGATGAATTGGATGGATAAGTCCAGTTTCTCGTTGATCTGTGGTTTTTCATGTTGTTTCGAAATTTTCACGGCTGCTTTTTTCCTTTGCGAAAGCATGGAACTGGCTTTGTTCTGTTTTCTTGTTTGATGCTGATGCTTCTATTAACTCATACTGATTTTAAACTGGGGTATAATCTGTGCCGGGTCGTTAAATGATTTGGGTTCAATTCCTTATGAGCTTTTGATAGCTTTTACCGGATCGTGCTTGCTTTTGTTGTAGCCACCATCTTATTGTCTTCAGTTAATTATACTTTTCTGATTGTTGTTGCATATGTCAAGATTTCTTCTCAACTTCAACGCGTTGTGTTTGTATAGTTCTTGCTCTGTGTTTACTCTAAGATTGTTATTTGAAGCTAGTGCCACTAAAGTTATCGATTCTGACTTCTTACTAGCTTATTTTAACCAAAGTAGTTTTATATTATCATCGTCAGCTTTCTCCTAGTCTTTTCCTAATTCCTCTTGGCATGTTCTGAATGCGACACTGTCAGCAGGAGATGTCTGCCTCTGTCAATGGGAATGAGTCACTCACCGGTCACATCATATCTACAACAATTGGAGGCAAAAATGGGGAGCCCAAACAGGTAATCTTCTTGTGAACTTCATTCTTTATAATCTAATTTATTTTGGATGTTTCCTGAACAACTAGTTAGGGATGCAACATGTATGTTAACATGTTTCTTTGGAGATGGATGATCATGCTCGTGACCCTTGCTGAAACTTGGATTGTAAGTTATAATGGTTTTCCCGTGATGTTTTTTTGTAGACTATTAGTTACATGGCAGAACGTGTTGTGGGAACTGGATCGTTTGGGATTGTTTTCCAGGTATTTTATCACTATAATTCATAGCAGTCGCTGTTTCTACCTGCTTTTCCTCTCGCTAACGTTTTTCCCTGTAGGCAAAATGCTTGGAAACTGGTGAGGCAGTGGCCATCAAGAAGGTTTTACAAGACAGAAGATACAAAAATCGTGAACTACAGTTAATGCGAGTGATGGACCATCCAAATGTGGTCTCCTTGAAGCATTGTTTCTTTTCCACTACAAGTACAAATGAGCTGTATCTGAATCTGGTGATGGAATATGTTCCCCAGAGCCTGTATCAGGTCATAATGCATTACAGCAATGCTAATCCGAGAATGCCACTTGTTTATGTAAAACTTTATATGTACCAGGTATGCTTCGAATCATCTGATGGTCGGAAAACTTCTCTGATCTTCATATTCACTTCCTGACCAATATCTGCTGTGGGCTTGCAGATTTTCAGGGGTTTGGCTTATATCCATACTGTTCCAGGAGTTTGCCACAGAGATTTGAAGCCTCAAAATATACTGGTTTGCTTAAATATGCTTACTGAATAAACATTGAATTTAGTTTTTCTTTGGGCTCTAATGTCATTTTGTGTATTCTACAGGTTGATCCTCATACGCATCAGGTTAAGCTATGTGATTTTGGAAGTGCAAAAGTGCTGGTATGTTGACCTTATTATGTAATTAATCAGCCAGAGTATTTTGAATCTTTTTGAATAATATATGTATAGTTGCATCCCTCATCCTCCTTGCTTTATTGTGACTCTCCTTTTTTTCACTCCAACCAAGCAGGCAAAGATTTATAATAATTATTGCTCCTAATACATTTTCTTCTCTTCATTTTTTTCATTGAGATGTTCCTCAACTACCTTCGATTTTTGTCTGATCAGGTCAGAGGGGAAACTAATATATCATACATATGTTCACGCTTCTATCGAGCTCCAGAACTTATATTTGGTGCTACAGAGTATACTACCTCAATTGACATTTGGTCAGCTGGCTGTGTCCTAGCTGAACTTCTCTTAGGCCAGGTTTGTTTCATTGTTTTACTTTGATTATAATTATAATAATTAAGTAAATGAACTGAAAAATTGTTGTAAATCACTCAGTATTTGTCTCCGCATATTGCCTGATTCAAAGTGGAATTTTTGTAGCCATTGTTTCCTGGCGGAAGTGCAGTAGACCAGCTTGTGGAGATCATAAAGGTGAAATTTATGCTAGAACATTTCTGCTCTCTAGATTTATGATCCCCCCCGGCCGCCCGGGGGGGGGGGGAAATAAATGAGCTTTGTTCAATTCTGTATTGCATTTCAGGTTCTTGGAACACCCACCAGGGAGGAAGTCCGTTGTATGAATCCCAATTACAATGATTTTAGGTTCCCCCAGCTAAAAGCACGCCCATGGCATAAGGTTTGCATTTTAGAATAAGAAATATATAGATATAGAAGGTTCCTACATATTCTAATGCTTCATATCCATGTAGATATTTCACAAAAGGATGCCTCCAGAAGCAATTGATCTTGTTTCCCGTCTTCTGCAGTACTCCCCAAGTCTTCGTTGTACTGCGGTGAGTGTGATCACTCCAATTGTGATTTGTCATTTAGTTTTACTTTTTGCAGACCAGCCTATTATTTCTCCTCAATCTGATTAATTTATGCATCTATTATTCAAAAGTACACCATTACAATTCACCCAAAAAAAAAAAAGAAGCACACCATTACAGTTTGTGAAGAATTTATTTTTATTTTACAGCTAGAAGCATGTGCACATCCTTTCTTTGATGAGCTTCGAGAATCCAATGCACGCCTGTCAAATGGGCGTCCATTTCCTGTATTATTCAACTTTGGACAGGAAGTAAGCTTCTTCTTCTTCTTGCTTTTTTTTTTTTTTTTTTTTTTTTTTTTTTTTTTTGTTTTAATTCGTCTCAATTTATCTAGTAAAATGTCAGCCTCAATAGTTTTAAGATCCATGGATAAAAGCAATCCAAGACATCAATTGCAAAAAATGGAGATTAAGATCGGAAATCCTTAGAATTACCAAGTCTAAACGGGGATTTATTCAACAGGCCTAATATATTGTTTTCAGAATTGTCTGATGATCTGACTTTTGTCCATTCCGCAGCACATCCTCCTCCTTTCCCCACATCATTTCATGTTACTCTGTTTATAAAAGACTCGGTTGAGCAAATGGGATAATTAATACTACCTCCGGTTCTTAATATAAGAGTTGGTTTGATTTTTTTTTTTGTCTTAATATAAGATCTTAATCTACTTTATCTCTCATATTTATTTTTTTCCCCCTAAGTTAGTCTTTGTAATAATTGTAATTCTAACTAATACACTTGATTAATAAGGATATTTTAGGCAAAACAATACCTATTTATTATAAATAACTAATTTGATTAATTTCTTTAATCTATTCAAATTAGTCAATTAGTTCTTATATTAAGGATTGAAGGTAGTATATTTACTTTTGTTCCGGATGGGATGGCTATAAGTTACATTTTTTATGACTAATAATTCAGTTCCTTACAGTTAATAAGTTCCTTACAGTGATGGAGTGGATCTCTTGTAATTACACGTTTGTGTTTTGTGCTTACAGTTATCTGGAGCATCTCCAGAACTTGTTAATAAGTTGATACCAGACCATGTGAAGCGGCAAATGGGGCTACAATTCGCCCATCTGACAGGAACATGATGATGAGTTTTGGGCAGAGCATGAGCTAGTTGATGAAGTCAACAAAGGAGTACCATCTTTTTTGTCTAAATTACCATATACTGCGGCCTGCCTAACCACTGTAATTTGGTGGGGCACCAGGACCGTGTTGCTGGATGGCTGCAATTGATCCATCAGTCTACGTATACCTTTTTGAATCCCTAATGGTTGTGGTGGATCTGTATTTCCTCAGGCATATAGCCCTGCCTTTACCTTCCTTTCCTAGTTTCTTTGTATACGTGTACGTCTCGTAGTATGGTTGGTCGGCGCCGAATTGGTCAAATAGCCTGTGTCCGGGGAAACTTGAACCCTTAGCTGGAAGGAGGGTCCCAGATGTAAAGGATCTTAATGTTAATATGTGGCTGACTTGTAATGATGCAAACTTGCCCCTTGTGAAATGTAATGCTATCTGTTTTTCTTTTATGTTGCTTCTATATTTTCTCCTCTTTTATTTATGCCGTTGCCAAATGCCAACTATTCTTGTTATGCGAATGATTTTTCTTTCATTCCTTTCCTCTGTTTATCGTTTGTGTTATTGAGAGTGATCCAGAGTCTCCATTCCTCCTTGGCTTACATTAAAAACAGTTAACTAAATTAAATCTCTCTAATTATGTTCATGTAAATAGAACAATAATAATATGATGCCAAAGGATGTCCCTCTGCATAAGATTTGTGTTTACATTTTTATTCCATTATTTTTTCCCTTTTAACATATTATACTTGATTTTATAAACAAATGTAAAAATTTAAATTATAAAGTTATTGATAAAAATTACACTGTGGAATTGATAGGACTAATTTTGGAAATCCCATGTGTTGTGTTGGTATATGGGGACATATTTCCTACTTTACCACGTAGTCAAATAGACGACGTCGTCCAAAGGCCGCCATCTTGGGCTCCGCAAGTGACAGTAACTCGAATTTTCGCGCCATGAGTGAGCATTCCCAGACGCAGACTAAAATCTCCATTAATTTATTAACTTTCGTAAAATCCAACGCTACTGGGGCCCGTTAACGACCTCTGAATCTCCATCGTCAACTTGTAATTATGACTTATACTCGATTATCAGACGGATGTAACGGATTCAACCACTTCCTGGCCAGACGTGGAAACATATAACTAACCACACACAATCATGGCCGTCGAGGTCAGCACTGTTGTTTAACCCAGAGACCAAGCGACAGTGTCTGCCATGTTCTTAAATCACGAGCTTTCTAACTGGTCTTACGATCTTTGATTTTATTTTTATAATTTTCTTAGTTGTTTCCAACTTCATTACTCCCGAGGCAGCACAGGAAATTCCAAAAGGAGTTGGTTGCTTTTTGACGCAAAGCAAAGCAAGGTAACTAGAAGCGCAGCAGTGAAGATCCCAGTAAAAAGTTTCAGACTTTTTCGGGCCTCTGCTTGATTTGATTTCTTGTTTCATGGAATATGTGAGAAGGGTTGTTTGTTTCGTCTTCTTTCTGTGGAATTGGTTGGCTGCTGCTGGTAACACTGACAGTCTTCTTTCTCCAAAGGGTGTGAACTATGAAGGTCTGGCGTTTTAATGTCTTAGTCTAGCCCATTTCTTGCTTTTCTTCCTTTCTCTCTGACCCTTCTTATTATCAGCTGTACAGTTTGATGGCAAGTATGGTTTATTTGTAACTTCGTTCCACTTTCCATTTATCAGTTGCTGCTTTGATGTCAATGAAGAATAAAATGAAAGACGAATTGCGTGTTATGGATGGTTGGGATATTAATTCGGTTGATCCTTGTACTTGGAACATGGTCGGTTGCTCTGCTGAGGGCTATGTTATTTCCCTGTAAGTGCTTACAATCTCTATTCCTTAATGTTAGTTAGTATGAGTAGAGTTCAATTTTATGTACGTATCTCTGCTTCTATCGCTTTCGATATTTGACTTTTTAATTACTGGCATCTCTTCTTCAACATAACTTGATTTTGTTTTCCTCATGTATAACTCGCGATGATTCGCCATTTTGTCAGGGACATGGCCAGTATGAGTTTATCCGGAACGCTTTCTCCAGGAATTGGAAATTTGAGCCACCTCCGAACACTGTGAGTGCTTCTTTTTTTTTTGACACATTCAACAGAAGAGAGGGCCTATGGTTACTGTTTTCAGATGTGAAAAATCATGTGATTGTTTTGATTAAGATATTTATGAATAATTAGTGTAATTTGGAAAATATGTTCTCTGATTACTCCTTTGATCAATTTTAGCCTATCAGATAACCATGGGACTTCAAGGACAGTCATCACTTTTATTCTTTTCTTTCCCTTTTTTTTTGGGGTGGGGTGTGCATTGAGGCAGTAATGCTACTGAGACAGTAGGCTTGTGGTAGTAGGCTAGTGGCTTAGCCTTCAGTAATCAGTGCTTGAGCATGGGTATGGCTAGTTTACAAGATGATCAGTAGGTTAGATTTGGTGTTTTCTCAGTTGACCTATGGGCAACCCCCCGATGGGTAAACATCGTGTGCTTTCTTGGAATTACAGTTTGTTGCTTACTTCCTAGTTCCTTCCTAATATCTTTTGGAGCTGTTAGAAATTGAAATAAGTTTGAGAGGTATATATCAAAGAAGCCTAGTTAACGAGCTTATTTGCTAACAACCATCTTTAAATTTCAATGTGGATTTTGCCTCTTCTTGTTTCCTTGGTTTATTTCTTCCTAAGATTGTCATGTTAACCTTGAGTTTGTCACCTTGTAATGGAGGAATAGAAGAGTACTCAAGAAGGACAATATGCCTTCATTAATCACTAATTTAGCTCCCCCAAATTACCGTTTTAGGTTGTTGCAGAACAATCAATTGTCTGGACCTGTTCCTGCTGAGATAGGAAAGCTTTTGGAGCTTCAGACTCTTGACCTTTCTGGTAACCAGTTTGTTGGTGAAATCCCAAGTTCTCTGGGCTTTTTGACTCGTCTTAGTTACTTGTGAGTGTTGCTTGACAATATAGACTGAATAATAATATTCTTACTATATATTTAATTCATCCACTATTCTTACTCTAACCGTGTGCTTCCTAATCTATTCATGCTAAGTTTTTCAGGCGGCTCAGTAGAAATAAACTATCTGGGCAGATTCCTCAAGACGTTGCAAATCTCACAGGCCTTTCATTCTTGTATGTGCTCTTCTAAATTTTCATTATACTTTCCCTCATCAATTCTCTCAGTAAGATTGATAAGAGAATTTTTACTTTCTAGGGACTTGTCATTCAATAATCTCAGTGGTCCCGTTCCAAAAATTTTAGCAAAAGGTTACAGGTGAGCAAATTTTACATTTCTCTTTTCTTTTTAATGGGATAAAGTTGGTAACTCATATCTCATTACACTCACAAGACACAAGTCCCAATTACTTTGCATGAATTAGTTATATTAAGCTAGACAGCTGTTAATGCTTTTGGAAATCAATTCTCTGTCATTGTTATCAAGATCTGAGACTGGAAATACTAAACTGAATCGGAACCAGTAAAGCTTACTAATATATGCAACCTACCATAGCCCATAGCAAAGACTAGAGACCAATGACTACAACATCCCTTGCTAAGGAAACCGAGAAGCCTGAAAAAAATGTTTGCTGCTAATAGTTTTGCAATTTCAACCTAGTATTGCACTAATTTATTAAAGATTAAGAGTAAGATCAATGGTAGAGCCTTGAGAGGGTCAATATTTATTTTCATGGGGAAGTAAATCAAAGAGTAATTGTTTTAACCTTTTGTTACATGCACCTAACCTGTTTTTTACATTATTTGATGTGCTTGTTCAAACATAGTATTTCAGGAAACAACTTCCTTTGTGCATCTTCATCGGCACAAACTTGTATGGGTGTTTCGAATCAACTAAACGGTAATATATATTTCACCCATGTCAGATCAAACTCAAAATATCTGTTGATTGGATTACACACATATATATATGACAGTTTAATTGCAGAAACTGGTTCGTCCCTGGAAGTTGGTAGTCATCACCATCGAGTGCTTTCTGTTGCTATTGGCATTAGTTGTACATTTCTAATTTCAGTAATGCTGCTTATCTGCTGTGTCCATTGGTACAGATCGCGCATCCTGTATACATCTTATGGTACTTCCTCGAATACACTTGCGATTATTTTTACATCTAAATATGCCCATACTTTGACCAAACGTAATGACTGAAATATGCAGTAAAGGAAGATTATGAATTTGACATTGGTCATTTGAGGAGGTTTTCCTTCCGTGAATTGCAATCTGCTACTAGCAATTTCAGTCCAAAAAATATCTTAGGACAGGGTGGATTTGGTGTTGTCTACAAAGGATGTCTTCCAAATAAAATGACAGTGGCAGTGAAGAGGCTGAAAGATCCCAATTACACTGGAGAAGTACAATTTCAAACTGAAGTTGAGATGATTGGCTTGGCAGTGCATCGGAATCTCTTACGTCTCTATGGATTTTGTATGACATCTGATGAGAGGCTGCTTGTTTACCCATACATGCCTAATGGCAGTGTTGCCGATCGCTTGAGAGGTTTGTTTCCTGTTTATCCTTGACCTCTACATGGTTGTTCTACCTCCAGTCTTTAATATAAGAGCTCATTTGACTTTTAATTCAATCTTAAATATAAGATCCCAATTCACTTTGTCTATCATATTTATCTATTTTTTCCAAGGTAGTCTTTATAATAGTTGCACATGATAGTTCTAGCTAATACACATAATTAACAAAGGTATTTTAGGGAAAAAAATACCTATTTATTACAAATAACTAACTTAACAAACTTCGTTAATTTACTCAAATCCGTCAACTAACTTTAATGAACTGTCACACTAGGTACCTGCCATCTTATAGTTTGAAGGATAAGAAAGCCTTGAGCTTCAAACTAATGGCATTCATGTTGAAGTCCGGGGACAGATTTCCATGTGTATTTTGATCAAGAAGTTAATAATTAGAAGTGAAAAATCATTTCTTGCTGACAATTTAAGTGGTGATATATTATGATCTTAAATAAATGTTTAATTGTTTATCTGGGAAACCGCTTAAAGAAAATCATCCTATTTAGACCTCCTGAATGTATGCAGGTTCTTTATTGAAAAAAACGTGTCATATCTGAAGTAAAGTTTCTATGGATTTTACAGTTTTGTTCTGTGTGTATGTTTATTTTATTTTGTTTTGTTTTGGTTGACGCAACATATTTTGCAGACACTTGCCGCGAAAAGCCATCATTGGACTGGAATAGGCGAATGCGTATTGCGCTGGGGGCAGCTCGTGGGCTTCTATATTTACATGAGCAGTGTAACCCAAAAATTATCCACAGGGACGTGAAGGCTGCAAACATTTTGCTTGATGAAAGTTTTGAAGCTGTGGTGGGGGATTTTGGTCTTGCCAAGCTCTTGGATCAAAGAGATTCGCACGTCACTACTGCAGTGCGAGGCACAGTAGGACATATTGCCCCTGAATATCTCTCCACTGGGCAGTCTTCTGAAAAAACTGATGTTTTCGGATTTGGCATATTACTTTTGGAGCTCATTACAGGGCAGAAGGCTTTAGATGCTGGAAATGGTCAAATCCAGAAGGGAATGATTCTTGATTGGGTAATTTGCTTCAGTTTTGTCTGTAAGATAATTTTTAATAAACTACTCTCTATCTTCAATACTTCTATTACATTAGCCAGTTTTTGAGCAGCAGCTTGAACTCCTACAGGTCAAAACCTTATTTGAGGAGAAGCGACTAGAAATGCTAGTTGATAGGGATCTGAGGGGACGTTTTGATCCAATAGAATTGGAACAAGCAGTGAAGTTGTCTCTACAATGTACTCAATCACATCCCAGCCTCCGGCCAAAGATGTCAGAAATCTTGAGGATCCTGGAAGGCCTAGTTGGACAGGGGCAACCGGAGGAGGAGTCACCCGGTGGAGGTACCCTTTATGACGAAAGGAATTGCAGTTTCTCCAGAAATTACAGTGACGGCCATGATGAACCTTCATTTATCATTGAGGCCATTGAGCTTTCTGGACCTCGGTGACAAGCAATGTGGTCTGTTCCTTTGTCTCAACCAAAAGTAGGTCCTCCACGAAGACTTTGGTCATGCTAATAATAGCATGCCTGGGCATTGTGAGATCCAAAGATTAACGGTGAATCAGGAGAAACGGTCAAAGCAGGCATTCGAATCTTTACACATGGAAATGCAAAGACCGCATTAGGCCCCTTTTACAAGATTAGATGAGATACTCATAGGAATCTCTTTGATTTACTTCCCCTGTCCCCACTTCCCCTGCGTCACACATTGTTGACCTACATCTAGGTTTTATCCTTGAAAGATGTATGTCCCATAGCATGTCTAAAATTTTGCACCAAAACAACTACTACTTGAGACTGCTTTACTAACTTTTAACCCCTTTCAAACAGACATGACCAAGCAGGTAACTTGTATGTAAATTATGTGGTACCAGCCGTACCTGCTCCTTAACGTGATAATGTAAGTGTCTGGATGTTCTTGAATGTTTGGGAAGTACATTTTCTGTACATGGGCATGAGAAGGACACACTTATATATCTATGGCCCATGCAAACTTAAGACTGGTGATGGAGAAACGGTTTACTAATATGACCACAAGCACAAGTAGATCTCCATTTATTGTCCTGTTCCTTATGAGAATTGTCAGCGAGTGATTTCTATCATTCCCTTCGTCTGGAGACGACAACTTTGTGATAAATGCAATTGCAGACGCCGCAAAAGACGCTTGTGGCTGCTGGCAGTTGGGTCAACTTCCAATCTCTATCCAATGGCTTTTGGGTCTCATTCACATTTGGAATCTCTGAAACGTGATAGCCTTAGTGACAGATGTCATCTTAAGGTAGGCCCTTGATGTTTCTGGTTTTTTAAATCAGCGTAGGTCCCTTCATTTTGGCTCATGCGTGTTGAATTACACAATTGTCCACTCATTGAATCTGTAACCTGAAAGGGAAGTCTTTGTCCAGCTGAACATGATGCACTGTATGACTTGCGTTAATGATTGCATGGAAAAATTTTAAAAAAATAATCATTAAAAAAATTTTCCTTGCAACTAATTTATAATAAAGACCGGATCAGTGCTTTTTTTTTTTTTTTATAAGAGACAATTGACTAAATCACATTGTTTGTTAAAATTAATTGCATATAATATATATAAAAATGTAACCTTTTTGCCAAAAATACGCTCACTTATGTGAAAGAGAGAGAATATGTGGTGAAAATAATATATGGCAATTAAATGCAATAACATGAGTAATGTGAATAATTAAATAAGAATAAAATGAAAAATCAACCAACAAAAATAAGTATTCCTCTACAGCTATTATTATAAAAAGGGAACGAGGGAGAACTTCCTAACTGTTTCAGCATAGCATGAATCAACGGCCCCATGTGATTACTCTAAAATCTAACTACTTACGGTGAAAAATATAATAATACTAAATCCAACTGAAGTCATCAGGACCTATTATTGAATACTGTTCACAGATTTGTTTCTGAGGAAAAAGCTCATTAAAATAATGCCATGTTATCTCAGCTGAAGGAAAACCAGATTTTGTCTTTGCATTCTTGTGTTGGCTAACAGAAGTTGTTAAGCTGGTCAACTGCTTTACAGTATGCCACCAAAAGAGCTTTGTTTAAGTATTAAAATGTAAAATATTTCCATATACTGTACAAAAATGTCTCTTTTTTTTCCTCCCCGTTAAAGATTCTTAGTTTTAAAATCTCTGCTATCGTATATTCCTCAGAACTCAACATAATTATTCTTAATTTAGTTTGTTTGCTTGGACAGATTTCCTAGCATTTGATTCTTCGCCTCAATTAACAAGAAATAACAAGTTGAAGTAAAATATGTTCTTGGTTGATTCTCACTCTTATTATGCATCTTGTAATCTTTGTCCATACTTTAATGTAAAGAACTTGTTTTTATTTATCACATTTATTATTTTTTTAAAAAATATTTTTTACTGATTGCACATATTACTGTGTGAAAATATTTAAGTTTATAAATTATTTTAATTCATATACATTAATTATATATCTCTGGATTGAAAAAAGTGTATGCATATGAACCTGTGCACATACAGATTACAGAGGGGATGGCAGCGGATTTTTTTTTCCCCCAACTTTTTTATTTGGGTATTTTCTTGGATTTATTATTGATCATTAATCATAGTCACATGGTTTGCTGAGCTCAAGAAATTTTTTATGCAAAACCTAGTTTCCATCTGAACAGAGGACAATGGATGATTTATTTATTTATTTTTAAATTTTTAAACAAGACAGGTGAAATGGTAAACATTCTGGATTGAATAATTCATGGTTTTTCTTGGGTGGACTTTCTCGGAAATTTGTCGTGCTTATCTTAATTTGACCCATCCGTTGACAAATTCCAACTTTTTTATACGACAAATACAAATTTGATTTGTCTGTAATCTCATTTGACACTTCCGCATTTAAATTTGCTTTAATCTCGTTAGACACTTTCCTAGTTAGTGTATGCCCAATAAAGAGAATAGATGCAGTGCGAAAATGACGTAGAGGGGTGAAGAAATATCTAATTGCCCAGCGTATTAAATGCGATGATCTAGGTTATCATTCTATTTATATCCACATTAATTGCTTAACTATTAATTACATATATTATTAATATTAATATAATTCATAGCATGCACTGAAATTAAAACACATGAAAGCCTATCAATCATTCCCACACCCAAATCATATTGCTTGACGCGGTGTTCTGGATTTTTTCCCATATAATATCTTTGTTCTTTTTTTCAATTATATAATATGGTATAACCTTTTTTTTTTGGGTTTTTCATTACTCCCTCCGTTTCTTATTATAAGAGACATTTGATACTTATGGCATGTTCCCATATATAAGAGACACTTAAAATTTGTCTCTAGTTTTTTGTATTGATTTTCTATTTTACCCCTATTTATTTTGTCTCCTACTCATATTCTCTCTCCCTCCCACTTCTCTTTCTTTTAATAATTTAATTGTTCTCTCTCATACTCTCTCTCCTTATTAATAGGGGTATTGTTGGAAAAAACATTATACTTTTTACACATTAATTGTCCTCAACTAATTTTAACTGTTTTTTTTATCAACGTAATTTAGTTATTTATCTCTTATAATAAGGAACGGAAGAAGTATATGATAATATCCTGTACTAAGAATTTTCACAGGCATCGGATCTTCTATTTATGGGAGAGTTTACATATTATTAGGGTTTACCAACTAAAATGAGGAGCTAAAAACGTTATTGAGTCCACCCACTTAACCTGTTTACGTGTAAGAAAAACATTGTGATTAGATTATAAATATGTGGATTTAGAAAGTGATAATCATATAATTTAATTGATTACAGGATTACTGACAATATTATGGCAGTTATTCGTGTATTTTTCAATTTTAACAACTTGATAGAGTCAGTGGAGGCTCCTGGGGAATCGGCTGAATCAGGATTCTGCTCCTTGTTGGCTGCTTTGCTTGTTACTGCCGTCGCGGCGGCAACAAGAAGCACATAAACACTACAGAAGTTTTGTGATTTTTTGTTTTGATTTGCAGATCTTGATTCATGAACGTGATAATTAAGTTCCTGCAAATAAATTATTCAGCTTTTGCACTTTGCATCTGAATCCTATGCTTCTGTTGCTTTAGAAGGGTTATTTTGGTATTGCCGGCCAATAAAGACAAACCCTCGATTTCTTATCCCTTGCTTTCTCTGCTCCCTGTCCCTGAACCCATTTCACTGCAAGTGATTCAATTGCACTCAATCTTCTTTTCTTACCATCCTCTCAGTTCCTTTCTTCACCTAACCTTGTTTTTTTTTTTCCCCCCTTTTATATTAAACATTCCTTCTCCCACAAACACCCATATGTTACAGTGGTTTAACGCCGTTGGGTCGGATTGAAAAACACGCCCCCGATGTTCTAATTTTCTCCATAATTTAATATTTGTAGTAAATACTTCTCTTCTGGCGGTTGATTGGGGCTTGCTTCCGTGAGATTGAGGTGATTCTTCCTTTCGGTGGGAATCCTAACTTTGGTATCTGAAGAATTGAGGGTTTTTGACAATGTTTGGAAGCTTGAAAAGGGTGTTTCAAAACTCTAGATTTGCGCCTCTCATCCTGTCACATTGTTCATTTGATATTATTTAAGGAGATAAGTTTTTGGGTTCAATATTTGCGGATGTAAGTGCTGCTGAGAGCACTTTTTCAGATTTTAAAAAAGATTCTCAGTCAGATCGTTATTGGCCTGATGGATCAGGCGAGGAAGCCAGAAAGTGATGAGGCATCGGATCTCGTTGATGAAGGGACAGGAAATAAAACAACTCATTCGGTTGAAGGGTCTGCTGATGCAGTAGCTGGTGGCAGCTTGAGTGGAGCTATCAAAAGTGGAGATGTGACTACAGAAGAGACAGGTAATGATCCGGGACTGAATAAGAAACTACATGAGGCGCCTGCAGAAGCTATGGATAAGGGCACGCGGGATCAGCAAAGTACCAGTGACACATTCCTTGTAGTTGATCAGGGAACAAGTTATAATTCAAGGAATTTGCATAATAGGGCCGTACTTGAGACCGTGGTTGTAATAGATTCTGCTGAGACAGAGTGTGTGAATGGAGGTAATGGGAAGTTCGAAGCGAAAGTCAATGAATCGGAGTTGAACAAGGCATCTATGAAATCACCAAAAGGGCCGTCTGAAGGGGATAAAAATTCATGCGTGATCAATATAAAGTCTGGTAGCTGCAGAGAATTTAGCGAGAATGTGGAGGGTGAAAGGGTTTGTAGAATTTGCCATCTGGCTTCTGGGCAACCATCAGATTCAACAGCTGCTAGCCCAACAAACAGTGCTTCTAGTGGAGAACTAATTCAGCTTGGTTGTGCGTGTAAAGATGAGCTGGGTATTGCGCACAGTCATTGTGCTGAGGCATGGTTCAAGTTAAAAGGCAACAGGTAACTTATTCTTGCTAAATGTCAGTTTGTTGTGGTTTTTAGATAAACAATAATGTTAATTTTGAGGTTTTACCATGAATTTTGCGGCATCGACCATGTGCCTGGTGTTGTTTTCTTATCACGCCTTCGTGATATCTTCCCTTTTTTAATCATCCCTCAATTATCCATTGTACCACAGTTTTTGGAACCAAAAGACTCTAGCATTTTCCTTTGTATCTTCTTCATGAGGATTTGGCACTTGTGATTTCAGCGATATGTTTATTATAACTTTACCAAAGATGAAGCCAGAAGACCTCGAAATTTGGAATATTTAAGTTTTTCAACAACCACAACAATATGTGTGTGTGTGTGTGTGTGTGGATATATGTACTCCTTCTGGTCCAAAATATGAAACACATTTTGGACAAAATATATGGTCCAAAATGGATCTTATATTTTGGACCGGAAGACTATTTCATTTTGTCGTCAGAACCATTTGAATTCCACACACATCGCATTTGATGCAATGTGGGCACGAACTAGGAATTTCTTAAGTTACAATATTGTTTATCCGTACTTAAAATTCAAGCAATGGCTATTGCTTCTGCCTACTATTCACCTTGATAGGGCCTAAAATCTGAGCCTAAGCTTTTGGGAATGACTTAAACTGCTCATTATTTGTGTATCCGTTAAAATAGCTTGTAAGTATTTTTCTTTCTACTTCTGTACATGTAGTCAGAGAATCACTGTCACTGTAATTGTACCTTAACCTTCGTGTACGCCTGGCCATCGGGATATTTGAAGTTCCCACACCTAGTTTAGTTCATTTTAGGATGAATTGGACAAGTACACTCGTAGACCTTCTGAGCTGTTAAAATAAATGTCAATTGGTTTACCCCAGAGATCACAAACTTATTCAGATTATCCATATGATGCAGAAGAATAGATGAGAAGGGAGGTCCGAGAGAGAAATGACAAAATAACTGAGTCTAAACTAGAGTCTTCTATACATTGAATAATTGCCATAGTTTCCCATCATTTCCTGTAATATTCTCTTCATACTTGCCATCATTCTCTACTGATTGAAGAAAACTCAACCTCGGGTTTTGAAGCATTGAAGCAGTAGAATAATCTATCTTGGGTCATTAGGTAGGACAATGGCTACAACTTCGGGATCTTCAATACCTTTGGAACAACAAACTCAGCCAAGTATAGTAGTTTAGTTCATTGAGTTTCTAGGGAAGATATTTTTCCATGAAAGCTTCCAATTGTCATTCATAACTTCCTTAACATGGTGGTTGATATTTTCTCTATCAACTTTGCTGCCCTTCCATATATTGTTCCATATATTGCTGCCCTTCCAATTGTCATTCATAACTTTGGGTTCTCTGTTCCATGATAAATTTCTTAAGAATGAGGAGTTGTGAAAAAGGTTCTTACCATGGCAATTTAGAGAGCCAAATGTCAGTAGAAGTACCCTCAAAATGCTCCAAATGATGATTATTTGCAACTCAGGTTGAATGGATTCAAAAACAAGATGAAAAGGCTTAAAATGGGATACTAGACCGTCCATTTGTGTGAAGCCCACACATGCAGGAGGTTTCATTTCCAGCAACGGGCTTCCATGGATGGGGTGTGTCCAGTGGTGTAGTTCTGATGGCACGGTCAGCTGGTTGGTTCTATGGCCAGAAGTGTGATTTTAGGTGTTGACAGATGCAATTTTGTAGTATTTGCAAGATTGGTGACTTTCAGTGGCAGAGGCATAATTGAAATGGTGAGAAAGAGAGAGATAGAGGGCAAAAGGAAGTTGGGAAAAAATCTGACAAAACAAACTGTTATCTCCAACCGGTCTGAAGCTTGTGCTGCTGTTGAGCTATTTTTAAGGGGCCCAAATGCTAAGAAAGAAAATGAAATAAATAAAATTCAAAAGTAAATAAACAAGTAAAAGTTAGATTACAAAAATAAAAACAAAACCAAAATATCTCTAGCTGGAATTTCCTGCTCCTGAAACAAAATTTCCATAATTTCCCATAATTTCTCTTGATATTCTACTTCTATTCTTCATTACTAAGGGTTATGGACAATTAACTATATGCTTCCATTGCCAAATTGAGTCTGTAGTTTACAAAAACATGTAAAAAAACAGTGTGAAATCATGAAAGGAAAGGGCACATGAGAAATGATTGCAAGCTAGATTTCTTTCCAACTGACATGTTGAAAGTGAGTTTGGAGGTAATTTTGAATGTTGGTACATTTCACTATTAAAATTCTGTGTTTCTGGTTGCTCAACTGGTGTGGCACTAATTTTAATTCTACCAGAGCAAAATCTTAAATGACAGCGTTTAGTTTGTTTCAAGCTTTATGCATTTTATGCTCTGCTATATATCCTAGGACATACTCACTTGTACTTGAATAAATATTTTTTAGAAGCTATCTAGGTTAGCTTTCAGTCCAGTACTCCAGTGCCTTGTCATTGTCTTAATTCTAAATAACTGTTTACAGATTTGTTTCATTTTCTTATGTAAAGACGTTTGAGTGTTGAGACAAGTATTTCATGTATAACATTTCCACTATTCATGCATCTTATGTTTCGTTTGGGATTTTGAAGTTCCTAGCGAAGTAATGAGTAGTTGTTTTTTTTTCCTTTTCCTTTTTCTTCTGGTAGTTCATGGCGTACTTAATATTTGCAAGATCCTATTTATACTGCTTAGATTTTATTCTCCTTTGTGCAAGTCCATGCTTTTGAATGAATTGGGAGAAAAGGGGTTTGAGGAACTTGTGTGTGCTATGCAATATATAACATCCTCCTTGCTCTCTTGCAATGTTTAAATCACTTGGATAACAATAAAGAAGAATGTCACTGATCACTGTCAAGCCTAATTCCCACGTCATATGTAATGTAGTTATTAGGTTCAATAAAACTGAGGGTCCTTTTTTCTTCTGTTAGTGACCTAGTTCTGTTGGTAACCCCAAAAATTTTTAAATCAGTCCCACGTCGGGAAAGTGCAGTCTTTATTACTTGTCTTAATCTTACAATCAATTATATATGAATAACTGAACTACCCTTCATAATCACAGATTGTGTGAAATATGTGGCGAAACTGCCAAAAATGTTTCGGGTGTTGCTGATCATGGATTTATGGAAGAGTGGAATGAAAGGACATTCATCGACAATCGCAGCACCTCATCTGGCATGTGCTGTGGATGCTGGCGTGGACAGCCATTTTGTAACTTCTTGATGGCATGCCTGGTAATTGCTTTTGTTCTGCCATGGTTTTTCCGTGTAAATATGTTCTGACAGGGGAGTCACTCTATACTTCATCAATTCTTCAAGCCTGTATATGCTGTGGGTGCGTGGTTGATCCCTGGGCATATTTTGTGGCATGTTAATCCTTAGCCACGTCCAAATTGATATTTCTCAGTCTCTGCTTTGAAGATGTGAAGCCTCGGTTTGAGGAAGTCACCACCTTGACAAGTTATTGGCCGATTGTTCTCCTATTGCATTCTTTGGATTGTGGGTGGTGTTCTGAGTGTATTGATTCGAGAAAAACGTGTTTTCTTTTCATTTTTACGAAGAAGATATTGCACTTATGGGGCATAGATAATAGCCTTTCTTTGTTAGATAGGAAAACAAGAAGGTTTCAGAACCATAAAAAAGAGCTTGTCCTCATTGTTCCTTTTTCTCTCTTTCATTTGTCTTGCTTTCTTTTCAATTTCATTCTTGACAGTTATAGCATTTAGTTGGCTTCTACAATTCAAAAGTTTTTGTTGTCATGTGTTGGTCATTAAAAATGTTAATTTCTTTTTGTGATGTTGGAAATTCCCAAAATTTCGTTCCCTGTGAATATTTGGTGGAAACTCGACAAGATATTAAAAGTTGACTGATACCGGAAGAGATGAGAAAATATTTTCATTCTTGTCAAGCAAAATCAAGGGGGGAAAACGATCAAGATACATAACTTTCCATTAGAATTCAAATTTTGGCAAAGCGTTGTTAATTTATGATCCTTTCCCCCTAATATGGTGACTTGTAAGGGCGGATACAAGAGTTTCTGATGATTTCATTTTAGAATCCAGACTCATTTAGTTGGAGATTCGGATATACTCTCATAGATAATGTCATTTTTCCAATTCTTTTCTTATTAAATATAAAAAAAAATGAAACATTTTTCTTCCGATATCCTTTGATTAATTTCTTTAATAAGAGTGAGTTTGAAAAATTTCATCCATTTAATGTTATTTTTAATATGCGAGGATATAATTTATGTATAGTAAAAGCATCAAAGGAAGCGTTTTTCTTTTGTCTTGGATGGCGCAATGTGATGGTTGCTGTGTAGGACTATTAAATATTATCAGTGTATTTCGAAAATAATATTATCATTTTATCGCAGAAACTAATACAATTTAGGATTACCGAAAGAAAAGCTTCCATTACCGAGTATTGGTTAAAATGAGTCATGTCTTGTTTATAATTTATAATATAACTTCAGGAAAAATAATCCTTCAGTCCCTATGGATTCAACAAATTTGGAATTAAGGCCCTATAGTTTACAAATTTTTACCATCTTTGGCTTATTGTTGGCTGTGAATAACGAACACCACCACTCATTCTTTGAAATTTAAACCACAGCAAAAGGCCAACGTACCCCCCCCCCCCAAAAAAAAAGGCTCATCTGTGAGTATTGCCCTGCAGAAATTTATGAATCCAACCCCAAAAGCCGTCGTCTTTTTAAAAGTTCAATTGGTTAATTGTATAAGCTTTCTTAAAGCTCAAGAACAGATCTCTTCTTGTTTAATGACCAAAAAAAAAACAAAAAAATCGATCAACTACAATGAATCATTGAGTGAGAGACCATGATGACATATTGAAGTCAATCAAGTCATAATTTATGAGCTGAGTGGCCCTAAAGTAGTCAACAAGAGGAGGGGACGTTCAAAGAACAAGGACAAAGCAATTATTAACACTAGTTCAGGAAATCCTACTCCGTAGGTAGAGTGAGAATGAACAATGAACCATCTTGTTGCTTCAAGTGCAGAGATAAAGTTTCCAGATGACAGGGACTTGCAATGTTTGAATTCTCTTCTAAGCCAACTTTTTTCAGCCATAAATATCCATGGTATCATGGAACCAAAAATCAATTTTTTTTTGTTTTAAAATTAAATCAACAAACCTGGCTTTTGACATGATCGCATCCAGTAGGACTACTTTCTAGGACCCTAGTACTTCGATGAGTTCACGTTTCTTAAGTTTAGAGTAACCTTTGATTTTTTTGGACTTGGCTATTTCTTTTAGCTCTGAAAGTTTCATTCTCTCCAGTGTTCCCTCAGACTGCCCTTGCTTGTCTCCCGCACCACTAACTGCGGATGCTTCATCGTTTAGCTCGAGAGCTTTTCTTCTTGGCACTGGAATTAATGGAATTGGGGATTTCCTTACAAATTTTGATGACAGTCTCGTGAACTTAAAGTTTGATTCTTGTGGATGCTCTGACACCTCTTCCTCTGTCCCAGACACGCCTCTTGTAAGAGTTTCGTTTTCTGTGGTTTCTTCGGAAACTTTGTCTGCATAATGAAAAATCATAATGAAGACAGACAACATGAAAAGTAAATGGAATTTTTTACAATCTGCATTGACGCAACCTTTGTCTTTCCATACGTGTAAAATGCGTCTGTATGCTTGGCAGAATTCTCCATAGATTAAAGATTCTTAAACTAGAACTCTGTTTTAAGGATATCGTGCTGGTTAACCATTTTTTTCAGAAATTATACTTTCCTATTCAATGATAATCTTCAACGGTCCAACCTATATAATAAACTCCAGGTGAAGAATAAAAAAAAACTACACACTAATGATTTCCATGGCCGCAAACGCCAAGAATTACCTTTCACTTGCTTTCCTGATTCTCGAAGAACATCCAGAATTGATTCAACGGAGGGCTTATCCTTGTGCGGAGAACTTGTTGGGCTGCCTTGGGACTCACCCTTTGATATGGACAACTGTATCCGTCTGAGCAGAGCAATTATCTCTTCCTGGTCAGGCGACTTGGATCTATTACCATCAAATGTTCGAGGTCTCTGGTTTTCATCTCCCTTTTTAGTTCTTCGAGAGACATGCTTTCTTCTTTGGTTCTTACCCCTTTTGTCTGCATCACATCTAATGTTTGCGAAGCTGAACTTACTTAGACCATTCAGGGGCACCAATAGTGAGATTCCTTCCGCAAACTCTGCCAAATTCAACAAGCTGCATCAAAGAATGATCCTCTCAGTCTCTCATCCGCACAGTCTTGGGTACCCAGCAACCACATATTATTAAACCCAATACATTTTTATATGGTGATTCATTTTATAAGGAACTTTGTATGATTTGCAGGATACATTTTTTTAGGTGAAAACTAAAAGTACATTCATTTCTGGTGAACAGTCGTTCTTAATTTAGAGAACTTGAATATCTTTCGGAGTGGTACTAAAAACGGAAAACACTTGAGGAATCAAACAAATTGGAAAGGAAGTTATCAATACCTTTCAGCTCAAGAGATGATTTTCCTAAGTACCACTGTTTGCTGAAGAGAGCCAACGTGGGATAGCGAAGGACAAGGTGAGAACCGAAAACTCCTGCGTACATGCTTGCCAGGAAACTTTCAGGGTCTCATATCTCCAACATACAAATGAATTACTCTCACAGACCATCGTTCCCTTTCTTATATTTTCATGCTTTGTTTCCTAATTTCCTGCCAAAATTGCTGGTCCACAATTTCTAGCGTCGCGTGTTTCCACGCGCCTAACCTGTGTGTACAATATTAAAACAGCAAAAGTGAAATATAGTCTGCTGCTTCATGTTAGTTTATATGCAGTGCAATTGTCCCTTGCTCTCTTCTCAGACCTAGGAACAGAGCAATGTTGACCATGAAGAGCTTGCCGAACTTCGGCACTTCCCTATCTAATTATCAAAGCCATAAAAATAGGGCAAGCTTCGCGGAATCTCCGAATTGTTTCATTTTATCCGGACAATCTTCACGACCATATCTGTCCTATTCAAATTCCGATGTTTCTTGTACAAGTGCTGGCCCTTCTGCCTTGCTTGTGAAGACCACAGATGCCACGAATATGGATGTAAATGCCGAAATTTGTGAATTCTGTAAAGTGGGTAATCTTAAAAGTGCCGTAGATTTACTCGTCCGGTCAGAAAAATCCGAGCTTGAATTGGAGACTTATTGTTCTATCTTGCAGCTGTGTGCTGAGCGAAAGTCTTTGCATGATGGTAAACGGGTTCATTCGATTATCACTTCCAATGGCATTGTAATTGAAGGGATTTTAGGTGCAAAACTAGTTTTCATGTATGTAAATTGTGGAGATTTAAGAGAAGGGAGACGGATCTTCGATCAGATCCTGAATGATAAGGTTTTTCTGTGGAACCTTATGATGTATGAATATGCAAAAATTGGCAAACATCGGGAGAGTATATATCTGTTCAAGAAAATGCAAAACCTGTGCATCGAAGGAAATTCTCATACATTTTCGTGTCTTATGAAGTGTTTTGCTGCTTTGGGGCAGGTAGGAAACTGTGAAACGGCGCATGGCTATGTTTATAAGTTGGGCCTTGGTTCTCATAATATTGTGGCCAACTCTCTTATTGCCGCTTACTTTAAATGCGGGGGAGTTGAGAGTGCATACAAGTTGTTTGATGAATTGGGCGATCGGGATGTTATCTCGTGGAACTCTATGATAAGTGGATATGTTCAGAATGGTTTGTCCGAAAATGGGATTGAGGTTTTCATTCAGATGCTGATTTCAAGGGTTAAAGCAGATTTGGCTACATTGGTTAACGTTCTAGTAGCTTGTGCCAATATTGGGAAACTTCCATTGGGTAGGGCACTTCATGGTTACGGAGTAAAATCATGTTATAGTAACGAAATCATGTTTAGCAATACTTTGCTTGACATGTATTCAAAATGTGGTGATTTAGATGATGCCATCCAAGTTTTCAAAAAGATAAGTGAAAAAACGGTCGTCTCTTGGACTTCAATGATAACTGCTTATGTGCGAGGAGGCTTATATGATGATGCAATTCAGATATACATGGAAATGGAAAGCGAACATGTTAAGCCAGATAGTTATACTTTGACAAGCATTCTTCATGCTTGTGCTTGTAGCAGCTCATTAGAAAAAGGTAGGGAAGTACACAATTACATCAGAAAGAACATGGGCTTGGACCTCTCTCTCTCTAATGCTCTAATGGATATGTATGCAAAATGTGGAAGCATGGAAGAAGCTCATTTGGTTTTTTCTGAAATTCCGGTTAAGGACATTGTTTCATGGAACACCATGATTGGAGGTTATTCAAAAAATAGTCTTCCCAATGAAGCTCTTAGACTTTTTGCTGAGATGCAATCAGAATCAAAACCTGATAGCATTACGATGGCTTGTGTCCTTCCAGCTTGTGGAAGCCTAGCAGCTCTAGAGAGAGGCAAAGAGATTCACGGGAACGTGTTGCGAAATGGATATTCTTCTGATCCTCATGTTTCCAATGCACTTCTCGATATGTATGCAAAGTGTGGGTCGCTGGTTCTTGCACAGTTACTCTTTGATAAGATTCCTATAAAGGATCTGATATCGTGGACTGTAATGATTGCCGGCTATGGCATGCATGGGTTTGGAAATGAAGCAATTGCCACCTTTAAAGAGATGAGGAGTTCAGGTATTGAACCTGATGAGATCTCCTTCACTTCCATATTATATGCTTGTAGTCATTCTGGATTACTAAATGAAGGGTGGAAATTTTTTAATTCCATGAAAAGTGAGTGCAATATTGAGCCCAAGTTGGAACACTATGCATGTATGGTGGATCTTCTTGCTCGTACAGGAAAACTATCCGAAGCCTACAAGTTCATTGAGAAAATGCCAATTAAACCAGACGCTACTATTTGGGGTGCTCTGCTTTGCGGATGCAGGATTCATCTTGATGTGGATCTAGCAGAAAAAGCTGCAGAGCGTGTTTTTGAGCTAGAACCAGAGAACACGGGATATTATGTTCTTCTAGCTAACATCTATGCAGAGGCCAAAAAATGGGAAAAAGTGAAAAATTTAAGGGAGAGGATTGGTAAGAAGGGGCTAAAAAAGAGCCCAGGGTGTAGTTGGATAGAGATCAAGGGCAAATTTATTATCTTTGTTGCTGGGGATGCTTCACACCCTCAAGCCAAAAGGATAGACTCATTGCTGAAGAAACTCAGAATAAAAATGAAGAATGAAGGGTATTCTCCAAATATGAAGTATGCCTTGATAAATGCAAATGAAATGGAGAAAGAAGTGGCTCTATGTGGACACAGTGAGAAATTAGCTATCGCTTTTGGTATATTAAATTTACCACCTGGAAGGACAATTAGGGTTACTAAGAATCTACGAGTTTGTGGTGACTGCCATGAGATGGCCAAGTTCATGTCCAAGACAACCAAGAGGGAGATTGTCTTAAGAGATTCTAATCGGTTTCACCATTTTAAAGAAGGAATCTGTTCCTGCAGAGGTTTCTGGTGAATCATCAGAGACATTCAATCAATTTAGCTGAGTTACAATGTCACTTGACTGAGATAAGGATGGCCACCCATGTGCAGAATAAGAGGCATGTTCCATGCCCTATCGTTTAGGTATGAGGAATATACTCTGTTCTGCCAATCACGAACGACCCATCCAACATCCACCGGAAACGGCCTCTTCTGCAGAATAACAGTGGAGGGGCGTTATAATTTATGGAAAGTGTCAGTTCGCCTTGAGATTCTGATGTCCATTTCTGGTACGTGACTATGTTTATCAATCTTTATAGGGGAATCAAATTAAACACGGTTAAACAAATGCTATTGCAATGCTGGGAAATTGCAATTTAGCATTGCTCCTCGAGTTTGAAAGAGCGTTATAGTAGCAAGTGGAAGCCACGCAGGAGCTTCACTAAATGATCCACCTACTTTGTGTATTTCAAGGGCATCTTATGTGCACAACGCTAAACATTATAAACACTTCACGTCCCTCTTCATATTTTGTGTTGATAGGAAATATAACCGCTGACTCGCCACTCACTAATGTTTAACCCCTTTAATTTAAGGAAAATGTTGGATCACGATTACAAATTCTTCGTTTTGCCCCCTTGCATCATACTTTGTCAGCCATGATCGTTGCCCCTCTCGCTTCTCGAGTTTTTGGACTATCCATTTTAGTCCTACCGTTCTCCATCAATCTTTTGCACTATTTTATGTTTCATAAATACACACTGGGAAAAACGGATTTTTTTTTTTAATTTATGAATCCAATTGCTTTCTCTCAATTTTATTTTTGGCTAAGGATGAGCACATAGATCTTGATTGCCCAATCAATGTAGTTAGTTTAGATGTCTTATTTTTCAAAAAAATTATAAAAATTATTCTTAATGAATTTATACTTCCTAAGTCAAGTCAATGGTTAAATTTTAATAATTTTTTTGGATCATAGCAGAGAATCTAATTGTCCTGTAGCTGCAACTTACAACCGTCACACGCCTTGCAAATCCAAATCCATTGAGGAATCGCCCCATCCACCAACCCTGAACCTCCAGCATGTCTTTATCAGAGAAATCTTTATCTAAAACCCTCTGATTTTTCATATATTACTTTATTTTTTTTCTTTATTTTTTCTCAACTTCCAAACACAACCTACAAGATCAGCGTCAGGTAGCCTCATGCTAATTGCCGGGAAACTTTAATTTGTCTTTAGACTACAATTAATTAATATACTAATAAGTCAGGATGGACAACTGATTAAAGAAGGTAGATGATGACAACCACGTTCACCACAGCTCCTTCAATGCAAAAGTAAAAGATGATGACAAAGGGATCTGAATGGATATAAAGAAATATTAGTTGGACAGCTCTAATGTTTACGAACTTTAAGAAATCTATCTGCAAACTGTCTGAATAACACACCCACCTGAACTTGCAATATTCTGATGCACATGCTAGGTCTTTACTAGTCCACAAATTAGGAACATTTCCTTAACTGATTACGAAAACAACACCCAAACCGAAAAAAATCGTTGTTTGAGGGGAGATATGATGTCCAGGATGACATTAATATGAACCTCATTAAAAGAAATGGAGATATGGCGAGAAGTCTTGGTTATAAAATTGACGAGGACTACAGTATATAAGGAGGCATATAATGATTTGAGCTAGAAATAATGGATATTGCCAGAAACGGGCGATAGATATGGAAACAAACAATGTTTTCAAATGTTCATGAATTTAATGTCCAACAAACACATCCAAATCACAACAATTTACATAGACAAGTGTTCCTATTTGAATTCATATAGATTAACAACTTTTTACCCGATATTAATTATGGGCGATCATAACCTTTTTATTTTGGCCATTGAAAAGGACTAAAAACAGCAAAAGAACAGATAACAAATCAGCATCAGAAATTGTGTCATGGTCAATTTTTAAGAGAACTTGTAAAGAGCAGTGCTCCCTTTGGACAAGGTCAGAATAGTTGGCGAATGATTGTTCATACTCAATAAATACAGCAGTTCATTTGAGTATTTCCGATCTGACGTGAAAAGGAGAACTGAATGTAAGCCAATTTAGGTGATTAACAAGTGTAGGAGAGACAACATCACAGGATGAACCGTTTTATTGAACAAGACATCCATACCCATAAGCTTTCATTATTATTCTTTCCCTCAGCAAATCAAATCATCAACAATGATTAACACGGTTAATGCCAACGAAAACAAAATGTTCAAGGGCAATAAAATGGATACATATAGGACATACAAATGAAAACGATTCTTAGGATTCAATTTTGGATGTTAAATTGACAAAAAAAAGAAAGGAAAGCTTCATATGAAATAGATGGCAGTACAGACTTTTCATTTGGCGTAAGCTGCACCTGGCTTACACTTCCTATAGGGCTTGTACAGAACATAAATAAAACACTATTATTCCAACAAAGCTAAATATGCAACCAAAGGAACAGAGGAGAAAGATTAAATGCCATGGCGCAATTAGCAAGAGAAACTGAAACTAAAATGAGTGGGTCGTTATTGCTCATATAGCACACGTAAATATATCTTTCGAGGTATTACACGCACCACCTCTCCCTTTTTGACCAAAAGAGCAAGTGATACAGTGACAAAGCATGGAATTCAAAGTAAACTTGTTGCAATGCACAAGTAGTTGATCTAAGCAACTAAGAATAGAACGCCAGCTTAATGATTACCCACATTTTTCATCTTCGTCTTTTATTGGACACTACACCCATTCACCCCCAAAAGAATTGATGAATTTCATTTTTTTTTTCCGTCTTTGTTTTGACAATCACCTTTCACCTTTCTTCTCAAATTCCTTTCTCCCTTTCTCAGGACATACTCTCCGGTGTCTAATGAACATATCAAACAATGATCCACATAAATTATCGATTGTCCTAATCTAAACTATAAAGCAAATAACCCTATATTTCTTCACCGACAACATTTTGAGCAGAGGATCAAGAAAATAATGAGAAAGACGATGGAAGAAAGCGCAATCGCCACACCAAGAACGACCTTGTTTGGGCCATGGTGATGCTCTTTCTTGTTGCTATTATCATCCTCGTCACTGTCGTCGTAATCACTGCTATCATCTGCAGAGGACTCCTTTGATGGCGGAGGAGACATCGGCATTCCATACTTATCACAAGGGGCAATGCCAAGCTTCAACTTTGAGGACAGGACCGAATGGTTATAGCACAGATTGCTGTTTCCACTCAGCTTGAGCACTGTCAGACCCTTTATAAACGTCGAGTTAAAAGGCATAACCCCACGAAGGTTATTATTAGCCAGATTCAAGTACTTGAGATTCTTCATATGTGAAATGAACTTGGGAATCGTCCCATTGAGCTGGTTTGAGCTCAGATCCATGTGAGTCAAACCCGGTATAGCCGATACTGAGCCCGGGATAGGCCCAGATAACGAATTTGAAGCCAAAGAGAGGCTTTTAAGCGAAATCAAGTTTCCTATAGCAGGGGGAATTTCACCATGGAGCTCATTGGACGAAAGATTCAAGTGTTCCAGACCATCCAGCATAGTAATAGAGGTGGGTATGCTTCCTTTCAGTTGATTAACAGAGAAGTCCACATGGGTAAGATTGGAATCGATGTATTTGGGAAGGTTACCAGTGAGATTGGCGCGAGAAATGGTGAGAGACTTGAGCTTATTCATGTGTCCAAGAATAACATAAGGACCCGAAGCTTTGACCTGGACATCGGAGACGGTGAGATCGGTGAGGTTCTCGAGGCGGGAGAGCCAAACGCCCGAGACCTTGCGGAGGCTTCTGACGCAGGAGAAAGAGCGAAGAGAGGCAATAAGTTCAGGAGGGAAGCGAATGGGAGTGACGGGGCAGTTGAGGAGCTGCAGAGACTGAAGGGTGGAGAGGGATTTGAGGGCGGTGTAGGAGAGAGCAACATAGGAGGAGCAGTTAGAGAGACGAAGGGAGACGATGTGGCGAAAGGGTTTAGAAGAGTCGCAAAGAGTGGCATTGCGGGAGCAAGGGTCCTTGGAGATAGGTATGTTGAGGGATTGAAGTGCTCTGAGTTGCTTAGGGTCGAGAGAGGAGGAAGACGACGAGGGAGAAGAAGGTGAGGAAGAGGGAGAAGGAGAAGAAGGTGAGGAAGAGGGAGAGGGAGAAGAAGGGGAGGGAGAATGTGGAGATGGTGAGGAAGCAGGAGACTCGGTGGCAGAGTAGATAATGGTGGGGAAGACGAGGAGGAAGAGAATGAGGAGAGGCGGCGACGGAGGTCTCATAGCTCAGAGATCAGAAACAGAGAAGAAGAGAGAGAAGCAAGGCTTGGGCTGCGCGGGGAGAGAGAGAGAGAGAGATGGGTCGGAGTGGAAAGTGAGAACATACAACGGTAGGGAAGGGAAAAAGGTCAATGAGATTTGATTTGCAGGGGAAGGCGCTATTTGTATTGTATTCGTACCTCTGTATATTGCGCCAGCCAACACAACATGAACCCAATAGCCTAACACAGTTCAGAATATTTTGTTCGCTTTTCCTACCCAAATATCAATATCACTATCATATACTCCTCCTCACAACTTTACATAAATTAAAAAATTTAATTAAAATGAGTTATTTTTTCAAGAAATACTAAAATTATTATTTTAGATAAACATTATTAATTAAAATGCTTTATTGTTAAAAAAAATTTATAATTCATTAGTAACACTAAATAAAAAAATTATTACTTTAAATAAAACTGGGAGACATGTTAGAAGTTATTAATAATAAAAGCAAGAGTGAGGATAAATAAAGAGTCTAATTTAATTTCATTTCAATATACCAAAATCACTCTGCAAATTTGAGCATTAATCGTCCCCAAAAAAAAAAATTTTTTTTTGAGCATTTAAGGGTCAAAGTAATGTTGTTTTGGGGGCACTACGCAAATGTGGGGTGGCACTTTTGTTTCATTGTTTGACCCTTTAAACTTCAAACCATATCTCACCTGAACAGTGCTATAATTAATTAAGGGCAAATATGAAGATTAGCTTTACCAAATTTTTATTTAAATGGCCCCGGAAGGATTGCCTTGTCTTAAACATTTAAGACTTCACATGATACCTGCCTTCTAATTAAATCATGCCTATCTAAGCGCATGTTCACTTCTTGTCAGCTTCTCACTTAAATATTGCTTTGCCCAGTTAAACACAAATTTTTATTGGGGCAATATTTTAAATAACCAATTAAAAAATATTTTTAAAAATTAAAATGAAAAAAGAGCACCCTTAGAAAAAAAGAATGTTTTATTAAACACATGGCGTTTGATATATGAAATATTGGTTTATCTAATAACTAATAACTCTCAATAAATTCGATTTACGTCTTATATAATCAATCAGCAAAACTATAGTTACAAAAATAATAAAACAGATAAAATATCATTTAACATTAAACAATTATCACGTCATAATCAAACTATACGATCATATAGATGAAGGAAGAATTTAACATTAGTATTATGAATTACTTAAAGAATATAAAATGTATGTTGCAACAGAAATTAATAATTTAAGAGGGAACTAGTTGTTCAAAAGATTGATTTCACAGGTAGGATGCAAAAAGGAACAAAGAAGGAAGAATATTAAAATGTTTGAAAGCTGGATTAGAGCAGCATCCAGCTCTAATTACCTACCTTTAATCATTCTCAGCAGATTGATAAATGATAACATCCACACAAAAAAAAAATTGATAACCACCAAACTTGACTAATTGTGTGGTGTCTTCACTCACACAACAATAACAATGGGAATAGGAATATCTCGATCGAGTAGAAGAAACCAAATTTAATCTTTTAGTTTCTTGTTTCATGTGAATAATATTTGGCATTTTTGTTTCCTTACTCTTACGCTTCCTTCTTCCTTTATTTGTTCTTCCTTTTATAAAGGCACATATAATAATTAAATACCCTTCGTAGTCACTCCAATACCATATGAAACTCTTGTCATTTACGTTTTTGTTCCCTCCTTCCCTATTTATGTATACATGGCCACTTTATTATGGATGGTGAAAACTTTTTCACTCGTTTGAAAATATATACATAAAGTACGAATGAATTTTTTTCTTCATGGTAATTTTGATTTCCTTTCCTTTCTTTGTGAAAAGGATTTCTATGTTCTTTTACATATCATAAACTACTATCCTTTAATCAACTTTTGATTTCAACCCCTCATCCCACAGATCCACATTCTTGTTTTACGCAGCAGAGTGCTGCTGTAAGCTTTCTTTTTATTTTTTCTAAAAAGGAATAAACTTTTCAAAAAAAAAAAAAAAAGAGTCAGAGCGCACAGAAAATCAAATGCCTCACCTTATTCCCAGCAAAGAATTGTATGACAGAGGATAAGCAATAATATGATATGTTGGCACAAACAGGTCCGAGAAACTTATAATATGATGCAAAGTCATGGAATTTAAGAAAGTGGACAGCTAGCTACATGTGTGTCAATCATTTTGTCTCTATTATTTCAATTTCAATTGCTATACTGAAACAAAGACACTATTTTCATTTCTCACAGTGATATGATATACTCAAGCCAATACTCAGGTCTCCACAAAGTATATGACACAGGATCATAAGTCGAATGCTTAAAGAGAACAAAATTAGTACCGCTTGGGTCCCAAAATTTCGCTGGCCAAGCTTCATTCGTAGTACTAATTCAACAATCTATGTAAATGCAGGTCTGAGAGATGGCTGAACTGTCAGGTCTGCTCACAAAAGGGTTAATCCTGACCCATACAAGAGAGAAGACAGAGGCCAAAAGCACTGACCAGAGAATAACAATGGTTGGAGTCCGATTCTGGCGACCCATGAGACCCTTGAGGAATGGGTAGAGATGGAAAATGACCCAGAAAGCGAAGAACACCTTCCCAAAGAGTGGTCCCCAAGTTTCGTATCCTCCACTAAGAGCATCAGAAAAGCCAGCAACTACACCAACCAAATTTACCACAATAAGGGTCGTTGGAGGAATCAAGACTGTAGTCCACTTCACTATGTACAGTTCTCCAAACTCTGCATCATCTGCTGCTTTGGCAGTGACTGTGAAGTTGGTATCAATTCCAGCCAGCATTTTCAGGAATCCTTGGAACACAGCAAACAAATGTGCAGAAACTCCTCCGATCACCCAGAACTGCTCGTTTCTCCACAAGTCTTCAATGCTGACACCACTCCATCGCAGCTCAAGCACACTGGTTGCTATAATGGAGAGGAAAAGACCAAGAAAGAGTGTACTTGCAAGGTTGGAGAGCTGTATGGAATCATGAAGAATAAATCTTTAGCTATACATCGTCTCTTTGGTTGAAGTTATGCTGACAATACTTAGTAAAGAGAAGGAAATTTAGTCAATTACCGTTGGGATGATAAATTTTCCTGTGAGAAGGCAAATTGCTGGCAGAGAGCAATAGGCAACGAGAGGGAGGGATGTGAATGGATAAACAATGGTGTTTATGTAAGCCATTCTCTGCAGCCATTTGAGGCGGCCTCCGGCGAAACCGTACCAGAGAGGGCAGTGTCTGCTAAGGAAAATTTCAACTGATCCGAGTGCCCATCGGAGAACTTGGTGCAACCGATCAGACAGGTTGATGGGGGCTGATCCTTTGAAGGCAGGCCTCAAGGGCATGCAGTAAACTGACCTCCATCCTCGACAGTGCATTTTGAAGCCCGTTAAGATGTCCTCAGTGACTGAACCATAAATCCAACCAATCTAACCAGACAGGAGAATGTTTATTGTTAGAGTAAAACGATGGAAGTTGGAATTGGGAATATCAATCTGAGGAAAGAAATTAACTTGCAACATGATTTACTAAATTTGCTTTTGCCTGACCTCTTTTCCCCATTCAGTCTTCTCCTCGTAGCCGCAGCTAATTACATGAATGGCCTCCTTGATCAGTGTGGAGGGGTTCACAGTGTCAGGCACTCCTCCATTCTCCATAAGGGTAGATTCAATGAAAACAGACGACAAGCCAAATGTTTTCTCGAAGCTCATCTGTGAAATTAGCATTGACCTCTCATACTCATCGTAATCTGCGAGAAAAAAAGAAACATCCCAGAAGAATATTAAGCATCAAAGAATCGATTAAATCTCATTGACAAAGTTAACTGTGCTTACTCTCAATCTCCCTGAGATTAAAGATGGCAGCTTCAAGTTCTGCCCGCTTTGCATCTTTATAAACCTCTGAGGTATCTTTGGCAGGCTTCTTGGAGGTGAAGCAACAGCATGATGAAGAAGATTTTGGTAAGCTAGGCATTGAAGGTGGGCTATAGCCATAAAGTGCTTGCCGATTGAAAACACATCCGGTTCCCACATACACTGGTCCTTGAATGCCATCAAGACCTTTCATGTTAACCTGCAAGGGATCAAAAATAGAGTCTTAAACTTCAGAAAACCCATGATCCATCAATATGATGAAGTAACTGTTGTTTCCATGATTTTTGCATACAAGCTCGTTAAGAAGCTAGTACACATGCATCGCCCGATCAATATTATGTACAAGGTTACAATCTGGTTTTAAGTGCAGCAAACTGCTAGGACATCATGACTAGGCTGACAGATTCTCTCAATACTTGTTGGCTTATTAGTCTAAGGAGGTAAAAATCATAGTTTAAAACTTACATCAAAGAATACTGTGTTGCGATTTGCATATCGATCACTACGATCAATGCCATCAAATCTCTGGGGGAACTGGACATAGCACAAATCACGACCAACTACTGGATCCATCAGAAAACACATTGCTTCACGAACAGCCTTGCTATTATTAACGTAATGGTCACAGTCAAGGTTGAGAATGTAGGGAGCGTTTGTGAGAACTGCAGACACCCTCACCTACATGAATCCAGATGAACATCAAGAAATATAAAACCTTAATGTGATCACATGAATTACTATTGTTGAAGTTTCTAACAGTACCAGTGCATTTTCAGCACCGGCTTTCTTGTGATGCTGGTAGCCTGGTCTTTTTTCTCTGGAAACATAGACCAGCCTAGGAAGTACGTTGCCTTCAATGTCAAGGGCTCCGCTGCTTCCAAGGAATACCTGAAAATGATGAATGGAAGTTTCTCTTAACAACTCAACTTTTGCTGAAAGCATGGCAGCCTATGAAAAGCAATTAAAGGTCTAGCATGTAGTGGGGTCAATAACTGATCAATAAAACCAGTGAATCTTAAGAAATTAGGAAGAGAAGACATCCACAAATAAACAATCAAGAAGTACTCTCCCTTTACCAGGAACAAGAAAGACGCATGGTGACTCAAATGATACAAGGACAACTAATTAATATCTGAAGTTTTGAATGGAAGAATCAATATGAATACAAGAAAAGCTAATAAGAAATCTCGTAGATACTGAAGGAAACACAAAGGCAGAAATTAATGAACTCAACGGACTGCTAATGAAATTTGGTCATGGCCGAAAAAACAGAGAAACTTTGGTTGAACTGCAGTTAGTTTCAGAAAATCAGCAACATTCTTTCCTTTTTTAAGTTCACAAGCAAAGATTAGGCAGTGGATTGTGCCTATGGCATTGAGATTTGGTTATATCGAGAAAAAAGAGACATACCTGAATCATGCCAGGGTGATCACGTGGATTATTTCCTGGCCAAGGTGTTCCATCACCCATAGTCCAGCCTTCGTCTGGTGTCTTTTGAGCCTTTGATACCAAAGCATTAATCCTCACCTTGAACTCTTCATAGTCTCTCTGAAAGAATTGAATAGTAGTTAAGAAGAGGATTGTATGTACGTATGGATGCATGTATGTATGTGTATATATAAGACAATTTATATATAAAGCAAAATACTAGCATTTTACTTAGAACTGCACAAATTTTTGGGGGACCCAGATTCAAGGAAGCTCTAAAGGCTTACTTTCATTGCTCTACGCTCCTTCACAAAAGAAGGCTGCACTTTGTCCTTCAAATAGTCAATTTTCTGAGAGAAGTAAAACTCGGGTGCCCGAGGTTCAATAGCATACTTCTTGCAGAAAGGAACCCATTTCCTTGCAAAATCAGCTGTCTCCACGAGAGATTCAAATGTCAGCATTGCAGCACCATCATCTGATACATAGCATGATACTTTATCTACGGGATAGTCCACCGCAAGGATAGAAAGCACTGTATTAGCCGTGATCAACGGTGGTTCCTTCATAGGATCAACTGTACTGACAAAGAAATCCACAGCAGCCAGCTCAGAAGGTTCACCCCCTCTCTCATACCTGGCATGCCATTACAGGAGTGAGCATCACTATCCTAAGCACTGATTCAACCTATTCAATTTCGAACATCGAAAGAGATAGCAAACCACATTATATTGCTTCTGAAACAACGCTATGGTATTGAAATGATATTTTTGCAAAAACTAACAAGCATGGTTTATATCAAAGCTCTGTTTTCATTCTAATACGAGTCGATTTTTATGTCCAAACCACCCATGATCATAAAGCATGGTGTGAACAAATTTTTGTGCTTTTACCTTGCAGACAGTCTGCCAATATAAGTTTCCCTGTTGATTGGAGACCATTTAGGGAATTGATCTAGCACCCAGGAAAATGCAAACCATATCTCACAGATGATAGATGTCATCCAAAGACCATAAGCACTGTCCACCGGATGTGTAACTCGATAATGGAAGAAAAGGCCTAGGATTACCAGGCGCATGATAATTATAGTCCGGTATGGTGAGAGTCTGGTTTTCGGGACTGGAATAACTTTTGAAAGTGGCTCATTAGCATCCGATGGCCTGCATAAAAAATCAGCAAGATTAGTCTAGATAAATAAAATCGTTAAAAATTTCTAACTAGAGGAGCATACACATTAATACATGAAAAAAAAAAAAAAAACTCAGAATTGGAATCACAATTTCAGCAGTGAAACCCCATTAATGCCATACTCAGCTGAAAATGTAGAATTAAATATGTTAGCATACTGTTTGCGATTCTAAGTACCAGTCTAATATTGTTAAAATAACAAGAAAAACTACATTCTTCCGTACACAAGGTATGATTTGGTCTATAGTTAAGATCTGGAAATTTTGCTATCCCGTGAAAAATGCATTATAGCCATTCGTTGGCCACTTAGTTTGCATCGTTCCATTACTGATAACACTTACTGTTTTTCTTCCATCTGCTGCTCTGGTGGAATTTGTGGTCCATGTTCAACCTTAGGTGCCTCCTTTTTCTTCTTCTTTCTCTTATCCTTTTCCTTCCAGCTTTCAACTCTATTTTTCCAAATGGGATTCCCATACTCATCAACTAAGTCTATAAGAAAAATCAAGTTCGTATAATGGTCAATAACTATTTCCATAATAAATTTGTTACCAAAAAATGTGTGTTATGTTACATCTCTTTTACCACTATCCACTGTTGACACTGTACTGACATGCCTAGCATGAAGTCCAACATCCTGCACAATTCAAGGGGTGGTGTAAATGCAGATGTAAATACCAACCATTCTATATTCCAAAATGAAATGAATGTATCTTAGTTGTTTCACCTCAAGATTATTTTCACTCTCCAAAATTAAGTCTCCTTAGTAGTTAACCGATAATGTCTTGAGTTTCAAGCAAGTCAATACCTGGGAATTACTTAGTTGGGTAGCCATTGTAGATCGATTCCCCAGAACCTCTGCGTCACCATGATCCATTGCTTTTCCTATCAAATTCACCAAAAAAAAAAAAGGAATGTACAGCAGGATCTTTCACAGTATGTAATCAAAAAAAAGTGCATAAAAGGAGGAAAGCTTCCGCTTTTAGAATGATTTTTGCATTATTAAAGAAAAGAAATCATTCAAAATAATCTGCAGATAATTCAACAGTGTCAAAAACTTCTTCTCGTCTCCCTTCAACAACCGAATATTGGATTGATTTATATTTTATGGTATAACGCACAGTCGAAGGAGGATTAAAATCCCTCATTTAGTTCAGTCTCAAAGAGGTATTGCGTCAAGAATCAAGACTGAAGGAAGTACAAAGCCAATAAGAAAGCCACACAGTGAAAGACAAACCATAAAACACAATCCAAAAACTACAGGTTTACCTTGATAGGGAGTGCCACATCTCAAACAGACTCTGCGACCCTCACTGATTTCAAAATCAAAACAAGCTTTGCAAATTGGGAAATTGCACTCATGACAGGCCACAAACACCTCGCCATTGGCATCAAACCCCACCTGTTCCCCGCAAGTGTTGCAGAGGGGAGCCCCAGATTGCATCATCTTTGGCGTTCAAGGACCTCAAAATCGGAGCCTCCCCGCCAGAGCTTGTCCCTCCTTTTCTCAGTCTCAGTCTCATTTCGAATGATTTTATACGAAAGGGATTGAGGGGGGTTCGTTTTCGGAGGTTGGAGGGTTGATGTCATTGTTTGATTCGCACACAAAGGCACGAAGTGGAGGCAGAGAGGGAAAGATCAGAAGCAAGGTCCGTTTAGGAGATCAGATGAAAAAGATTTAAAATTTTGCGGGAAGTGTAAGGAAGGCTTCAGTTGCGCGGGATACATCTCTAACTAACAAGACTTTGAAACGAGTCCACATATGAACACCCGCCATTGGCCAGCAACCAAACATCCGCGAACGATTATTAATTTAAAAAATATATACATGCATACATATATATATATATATTAGTATAATCTTGGTTATTACAAAGTTAATACATCAAAATTATAATTAATTTACAAACCTTCTGTAGTTTTTGAGAATTTAAATATTGTGACTAAATATTACCACAATTCTTGCTTTCATCCTTTTCAACTTTTTTAATCTGGATTTAGTTTGTATTTTGTTAGTTTGAGGATGTAATTTGACTTGCCAAATTCAAAAAAAAAAATTAAACAGATAGAATAGAAGGAAAAAAATACAAGAGGTTTAATTAAGAAAATTATTTATAATTAATTTATAAATTAAAGAAAAAAGAATATATATGTCTCATTAATCATTATTCATGTTGTTCACATATGAATAACATTGAATGGATGAAAATGCTTCAGATTTCTGGTTTTGAAGTCAAATTATTTTTCAAAAAATTCCCAGATTCAGTTTTTTGAATAAAAAATGGATACGCTCTTTTCTTAATATTACCTCTGATCTTAATTATAAGACCTCGTTTGTGATCTACAAACGAAGTCTTATAATGACTACAAACGAGATCTTATAATTAGGATCAGAGGTAGTATTATTATAGTATTCATGTATCCCATACTTCAGTATTGTGTTTGGAAAGAATTAAAACTGAAAGGACAATATAATCCCACTCAAATATAGCAATAGGATGAATTTCAATTTCTGTTGAGCAATATATTGGTAATTACATCACAAAATGTGACCTACGACTGATAATGATACTTGGCCACTCGCTCTCAAGAGATTTCTCTTGTTTGCCCGCGACGCTATCGTATTCTGCTTATGTAACCACTTGTACACCAGCAAGAGCATTCAACTGAAGGGTGCCCATTTGTTATTTCTGAGTTGCTCTTATGTCACATCACATTTTCTATCAACCTCGGGCTTAAATATTCCAAAGTTTCTATATTACATTTCATTCCCCATTGAATCTTCCCGCTGCCATTCTTGCATAATAAGGAAGACCTTAAAGAAATCAGTGAAATAAGTCCAAATTTCCATGGAAGTTTCAGCCTGAGTCCTTTACTTACTAGAACTGGATGAGTGAAGTTCTATATTCCCCCGTTTGAACGAAACAATGGAGTAAAACCTTAGTTAAGAATATTAACTTTAGTGGTTTCAACCAAAGTGCCAGACATTGACAGGTTTGTCTGTATAATGACAAAAGGTGATTGGAATTTACAACGTGATATTTCTTCTTTAAATGCACTCAAGATATGTTGCTTACAACCTCATGAACCAGTCGATTTTGTACAAGAAGCAGCGACTCAATGTAGAACAGTGAGCAGAGGATAAATACAGAGTGCAAGTCCAATCACTGATATCTAACTACAGCCACATGAATCAGCAGCTTTTGTACAAACCAGAAATGGTGTATCATGAATATGTACAGACTGAACTTCGGATAACCAATTTTTAGTTGCGGGTGCAGCCTCGCGAACAAGGCTCATTCATCTCCACAAGTCCTGGATTTCATAGAGGCAACACGTAAATTAGTAAGCTTATTACAAAGCTTGTTGGTCAAGCAAAAAGCATGTTTCTCTCAGATTTTATGCAGAGTGAAAAGCTTACCACAAGATCTGCATGATTTACATCCATCCCAGTTTCCATAAGCCTGAGATAAATTTTCCGTCTCATGTAACACATTGCTGCTTCGGCATCAAGCCATAAGTTTTTATACAGCATAGCCTGTGAGTGCAAGTGCTCCTCAGCATCAAGATTTTTGCCAAGATTTCTCCTTATAACCTGAAAAACTTCATTTTCTTTCTCAGGGCCTACATCACTGCTTGATCTTACAGAATATTGTCCTCTCTCAGCAATCACTTTAGAAACATTGCTTCGCAACCCATTATCATTCTGATTATGAAGCTTTGTTGGAATAGCAAAGGTCTCAACATTTGCTTCCTCAATTAAATTTCCCGAATGCTAACGAACACATGCACATATTCAACGAACACATTGGAATACAATTCACCCAAGATATAACTAATAAAATCAATGATAATTAACATCCTCATTTGTGAAATCATTATTGGAGAAGTACGATAACATAAATTTTACAACAGGATAAAATCATAGATATATGCAATCTGACATACCTTGGGAAGCTCTAATGACCTGCCACGGAGATCCAGGCCAGTTGACTGAACGGCTGAAATCATTAGGCCGCTGTAAATTGCACTAAACTCATTCAGGTTATTGATTATGTGCTGGATTGTATTGTGATCATGTTGTTTATGTGAATCTAATGTGTGAACACAAGATTGTAAAAGCAACTCAGAAAGAATAAGCATTCCATTAATCATTTTCTGAACATCAAGTTTTGGAGAATCAATCAAAGACTTGGATACACCTTGAAGTGTTTCAAAAAGCTTAGTAACAAGACCAGCTTCAGATGATGATGAACTTGAAGTTGGAGAATGATACTTGAGAGGGAGAAAACCTCTTAGTGACCCCATGGTCATATCATCTTTAGTTTCCTTTGAACAGCCTTCAACATTGCCAGCAGCAACTTTAGTTTCCTTAGAAACAGGCTGAGTCATGCAAGTAGAATTTAGTACAAAGCTACCTTTCGGATCACTGACAAGGTTAAATGCCTTCACACTTTCATTCAAGTTATTGGAATGCAGAAGCTCAACTCCCTTCAATCCTACAGGATGTGCATCTGCCATCACAGTCTTCGTTTGTTTGTTCTCTGCTGGCAAGAAGTGAACAGCTAAAGGCGCGCTGGATTTGGAAGATAAAAGATCATCTTCAGCCATTTTACCACCAAGACGACTGCTTCCTTCAGCATTTCCAGGAAAGAACTGAGGTGCCAAAGGATTCAGAGTATTAGATTTTTTGAGCTCCTTCTCAAAATCATGTGTTTGTACCGATCCTAAAATTTCTGAAGAAGATTGAGAAGTCATCTTTCCCTTCCAACAAGGAGAATCCAAATCAGAATCACTATCGCCTAAACTTTTGGAAGTTTGAATGGAAACACCACCACTGGATTCATCAGACTTCAACATGACCTGATTTGTGGTAATTGTTGAGTGACCTCTAGCATCAAAAGAGACAGATTTGAAAATCTTCTTAGGCTTCTCTGTATCACCATCATCAGTTCCTTTGCCTTCAGCATTAAATACGGTAAAGGAGTCCTTCGAACCAGATAAAATAGAACTAGAACAGTCCTTATCATCAACAGTTCCCCAACTACCTGTCAAGAGATCCATATTCTTTGATGAATCAGAAGGCAAAAGAATCGAGCAATGACTTGATGGTCCATGTATTTCTGCACGAAGACTTCCTGTCGAGTCAGAAGCAATGTTGCTTGTAGAAGATGAAATTTCTGAGAAGTATCGCCCATCTGGAATTCCACTTGAAATAGAGGCACTGCGTGTCACCCCAGATGGCTTGTGACAGCCTTGACAGTGAGAAACATTATTCACCTCTGCAGAAGAGGACATATCTGATGTTGAAAATATGAACGGATGATCATCACTATTTGATCTCAGAACAGAACTTGGTTTGGCACCACCTTGCATTTTGCCTGGAGATTTGGAAAAAATTTCTTTAACCAAAATTGAGTCATTGCCTTTACTGAAAATACCATCACAAGCTTCTTGACAGAGATTCAAACCACCAACAGCATGCATACTTGAACATAATCATTCCATGTTCTCTCATCGACTAATGTGTCATGCATGGTAGTCAAAATTTGTTCTAAAATTCAAAACTTAACATCAATTGCAAACTAGCCAAAATGCTAAATCATACACAAGCAGAGAGCAGAGGCCAATCATTGATAATAACGGACTTTTAATGCCCTTGGCAGCAGAAACAACTTAAGTGTCTCTCTCGATCTAGTGAATAACCGGTGACAATGGATGGAATGGGACATTGGAAACAGCGAAGACAGGGATCTAACGAAGAGCCTAAACCAAGCCTACCAGAAGTTATAGTTGTACATTTCTTCATTTCATTTGTAGCAGGTTACCACAACAAAAGACATCCATGACCCTAGTTGGCTTTCCAAATAGTTTCAAGAAGCTAAGCATAAAAGCAAGCGTGCGCCTTTATTTTGAAGTCAATGATGCCCATGAGAGAATAGGGTCAGACAGACCAAAAAAGTTTAGAAGGCACATGAAGAGAGAATCATTAACTTGTCTAGAGGCTGAACGCTCAAACGAATATTATATTCTTGAGTTCAGCTTTTACAGAGCTAATTCTAACTTACTTAAAAGAAAATTTCACAACTTGATAAATTTTGGAGAGAGAAGCATAATAAAAATAAATGAAAGAATCGAAAATAATTGTGACAATAAATATTTTTTTAAAAAAATAAAAAGCATAAATAATCTGCTGTACAAGAGTGATAGAAAATTGTCCAAAAATGTGTAAAGAGAAAAACATAGAGGCAAAAGTCCAAGGGAAATTTTTTCTTCTAATGGAAATGAAAATGACAACAAGAGGAGGGAAAGCAATAAAATTGAATCAAAATATAGTTCTGACAAAAATAATAACGGGAGAAACTTTGTAGGCCAGAACAATGACCTTTTCGACTGATGCTCCCATTAGGAGTTGAACCGTCATCATCCTTTCCAATGCCAAACAAGCTCTCATAAGAATCCTTTCCTTGATTCCCATGATTGATTTCGTACCCAGTACAAGTGCCAGAGCCTAAACCAGTAATGTTTGAACAGTACACGGGTAAGGGTAATGGAAGCTCCTTCGGCATATCAAGGTCCCACTCATTAAGATCAACAAAGTCATCATTTCCTTGAAAATCCATCGAAGGATGCGGCAAAAGGGACTCTTCGTCAGCTTGAGTCTGAGAAACAGGCTCAATAGGAAAAGCTGCAGAAACTGCCTCATGACCAAACCCAGAGTCACCCAGAGGGGAAGAAAATACCGGGTTACCCTTAGCAGCTAAGTTGAATTTAGGAAACGAATCAAGCAAAGAACCAAAGGGATCGGAGCTACCGTGATCGGGCGAATACAGAGCATGTTCCTGGCCGGAATGAACAGGGAATTTCAAAGTGGATTGTTGGGTGCTGCGGTTGAGCGTAAAGGGTTTGGCAGATGCAGACAAACGGGTCGAAGATGATAACGAAGCTCCTGTTTTGCTATGATTCATCGTTGATACCTTGGGCCTCAGAATTTGGAAGCGAGAACAATGCTCGGTGACCCAAAATGTAGAAACTTGAAGCAATGGAGGGAGACAATAACAAGGTGGAATAGGTACAAGATAAGCTATGCGGGAACAACGATGGGGCACGATGCCTGTTGGCTGTTGCTCTTCTTCGACCTTGACTTTGATGAACTCTAACTTGCTCGCTAAGTACTTCTTTTTAAATGTCAGTCTGGCTTTCCCAGGAAAGACGACGGGAGGAAGGGAAATGGAAAGATTTTGATTTAATTCGATAGGAACAAGCCTTTTTCTGTTGCGCGTGAGTTTTTTAAGGCCAGATATAATTATAGAAAAATCTTAATAAAAGATTACTATTACCTCAGGCACTTATGGTTTTTTTTTTTAAAATTAAACTACGATTGTAAAAGTGTCTTTATAATATATAAAATAAATGTACAAAAGAAATTATATCTCAACTTGTGTAAAAGTATTTTTTTTAAAGTACTTTATGAGGTTTTCGGAACATCCCTTTAATATAAAAAATATTAAGAACTAATTGATTAATTTGAGTCGATTAAAGAAATTAGTTATTCTTCTGATGCTATTTGAAAAATAGAGAGAATTTTTTGGAAAAATTAATTTTTTAGTCCTTTAACTTTTAACTCACTTATAACTCATTCCCTCAAATATGACTCAATATAACTCAATTCCTATATTTTTGACTTGATTAAAACCCAGTCTCTTATCTTTTTATTATTTATAATTTTGTCCTTTTCTATGAATAACTCATTGTTACTTCATCTTACATGGCACCATTGCCATCCACGTCGTCATCATCATATCAAAGCGCGTCCAAGCCTTAAAACAGAGTGTTGCGAGTTCGGCGTTTTTTTCACTCAATGACCATGCTTGCTTCTTGGTGCTAGGCATTGCTTCTCTATTCTTCTCTTGCAGCTTGATCACAAGCAGGGCTTACTGCTCTATTACTGGTCATACGCTCCATATGTTATTTTCTTCTTCTTTTTTTCCCTTTGAAAGATTTATGTATTCTCACGAGTGGTGACCCATTAAAATGGTGAACACCAATACTTCAATACAGAAACAAAAAGTTTGAAGAAACGCTAAAGAATGAAACAAATCAAGACAATCATCTGAATATGTTTCAGCAATTAATAATGTATTACCGAGTTTATCATCAAAGGGAGAATTTCAGTTAAATTTCAAGGTAGTAATTTAATAACAGTGAGGTCTCAAGACAATCTTCAGTTGCAAGATTGTGGAGGAGGAGTTGCAATATTTTGGCACCTAAGTATTTTTAACTTGGATTTTAGGATCTAATTGCAATTCTCCCAGTTAAAGAAAACCAGAAAACGGAGGAAGAGATCATCTGAAGCTGCAATGGTCAAGTCTACTACAAAAAAAGGCCTCAATTTTCATGATAGTTATTATGGAGACAAATTTTAAATTCCTCACGTACTCCCCTGATCTTATATACAAAGTTAAAATGGCATGGAGAACATATAACCAAGAAATTGAGTATATACGGTCGAAGTGATGAGCAAGAACACCTAGTACGTTGGTGAAGCTGATAGATGACGATGATTCAAACTAAGCTACCTTCTTAAGTTGTTCTTCTAGTTTTGTATTTGCTGCTCTTCGCAATTTTAACGATCTTTTAACTATCATATGAGTAGATAATGAACACAAACACGTGACACAAGTGAGGATATGGTGCCTATGGTCTAAGACAGAAACAAAGCAAGCCAAGCTCTGCAAAAAGAGAATAGAGAACTAAGAATGCTTAAGACTAAGAAGCAAGAAAGATTCAAGAAACGCCAAACTCGTAACGCTCTGTTTTGAGACTCGGAAGGTGCTCTGATGATGATGAGGACGGCCATGGTGCCATGTAAGATGACATTAGTAAATTTTTTTGCCATGTAAGACAATGTATCAATGAGTCAGCATGAGCCATTGATGGCAAAAGACAAAATTATAAATGATAAAAGGACGAGGGACTGAGTTTTAATCAAGTCAAAAGTATAGGGATTGAGTTACATCGAGTCAAAAGTATAGAGATTGAGTTGTATTGAGTCATACTTAAGAGACTGAGTTATAAATGAGTTAAAAGTTGAAGGATTAAAAGATTAATTTTCCTAAAGTTTTTCTTGGTCATATTTATATGTCACTTCATTAAATTTTTAGTATAAACGTATTATTTTGTCGTTCATTTATTATACTGTAAATAATTATTTTTTAAATATGTTAAATAGGAATAAAATTGAAAATTTGTTATATTTTAATAGATAGTTAATGTAATTTAAAGTTTTTCTTAGATTATGTGAAATATATTGAAAATGCCTTATAAATAAAACCAAAAAAATAAATTAGTTATTTATAATAAACGGTTGTTATGTTTTTTAAAATACTTTTACTAATCATTTATATTAACTAGAGTCTTGCATTTAGAATTAAAATTAAATGTTAAACGAGCTTGTATATTAAGTATTGAAAGTAATATTTGTTTTAGATGTTCGTGGATAATTCGATTTTGGTGGAGAAAATAGAAATTTTTTTGTGAACAGTATGGAGCTCAAAGGCCCAATTTTACTAAACCTTCTCCCACATCTATCTCAAGACCATAATTTACAAGGCAATAAGCAAAAGCATTACCTTCCTTATACACATACTGTATCCTAAAATTTACAAATCTCTGTTTTTATATAGAACCGTCAGTTTTTATTTAGAAGTTATATAGTTCATTTTATCATTTGTGGAATAATTTTCAGAACATTCATTACTTACTTTCTACCCCTTTTGGCCTTGACTTACTTAGACTCTTTGATAGTGTAATTAATGTATTAATTATATGTGCAGATAAGTAACTATTGAGCATGCATATAATTCATGGGTACTAATATGATATCGTCACGTCATTATTGAGGAAAGCGACAGAGCTGTGGAATTCCGACATTAGAAAACACTGGATTTCACAAAAGTTAGATTAGATTCATTTATTATTTATAAGCCTCAAATCATCAGACTTAATTTAAAATTCCCAAAAAATAAATAATAAAATTAATTTTTAATTTTTTATACAAAAAAATCGGCTATCAAGTGAAATATATTATTTACAAAAAATTATATTAAACCAGAATGATAATTCAATCAGAACCTTATAATCCAATGAAATCAAACCATCCCAATAAGTTTTTTCAGTTGTGAGTACGAAACATCATAAAAAAAAAAAAACTCTTCTGGTCCTTAATATAAGACTCATTTAACTAATTTAATTAGATTAAAAAAGTTAGGTAAGTTAGTTAATTATAAGAAATGTGATACGTTTTTCCTAAAATATTATAATCATCTTTCTTAATACTCCTCTTCCTCTTCTACTTGATTATGATTAAAGAAGTATCTATAGAGGTAATTTAAAAAAATTGATAAATATGAAAAATAAATCTTATATTTAGAATCAAAACCAACTTAATAATTAGATTTTATATTAAATACCGAAAGAGTACAACGCATAGATGAGTCATGGGGGAAAAAATGTCATGCGTTAGCCGTCACTCCAGTCTCCATTGGTTTCTGCGTTCATGTAACTTCCAAGTGCTGCCTTGGACATTCTTTAAATATTGGACCCGGGGATGCGATTAATTATAGTCACCAGGAAAACACTAGTTCAACTTAAAACACGTCATATTCATCAAATCCTATCGTTATTAGTAAGTTTCTCGGTTTCTAGGATACTACAAAATTATATACAGTGATTGATAATGATGTCCATATAACATGAGATAGAGTGATGGGAAACACAGATACCAGTAGATTGGGAAGTTTTAGATATTTTTTCTGGAAGTCGACATGGGTACCGTTCATTTTAATATGCCAGATATTATGACTTTTTGAAACTTATCCTTTTCTGCCCAAGATCATCATTTTACCCCTAAAAAGATTGTTCTGGTTCCGTTCCTTTAAAACCCAGGCTTCCGTCTCTGGACCTAGAAGGTGTCAATAATCGCTAGTCCAAATACTCACATCTATAAATATCTACTCATAATCTTTATAAATACATTTTAGCAGGAACTCCAATTAAAAATTATGCTAGAAACAATTTTGAACTCATTTATGTTTTTGAAGATACAGTTACCCTGAAGCCTTCAAAATTGTTCTAAACAAAAAAGATTAACAACCCTCGTTCTTGCTCGGATATTAGTGGCCAAAGTCGTACAATAATATAACAATAACCACTGTCATAACAATAATAATTAAAACAACTAAAGGGAATAACAAAAGGGTAAAAAACTAGAGGGAGGGAGTTAATTGAGGTTTCTACAAGTTCTATTGAAGAGTAAGAAGCTGTTTCTAGTTCTATGCAAGCTCCACTCTGCCGCCGGTCGAGAATGGACGAACATACTGGAAACTTGACACAGAGAAAGACAGCGTGGGAGGAGGACCGTCGTGATTCGAACTAATAATTGGAAGAAGGGGGTGGAATATAGGTATAGCGATGGCGAGGAAGGCGACGGAGAATGAGAAGACGAACCCGTCTGGGGAGCGGAGCGGAGAGGAAGACCTGCTCTGCCGCCGTCGACAGCAACGCCGTGTACTCCTCCAGCACCTCCGCCATCACCGACACCAGTATCATCTCTTCACACTTTCCACAATCAACCACTCCAACGTCAAATGCTCTGCCTAAACACTGCGTCGGCGTCAGCAGAATGAGGAGCCAGGCCGGACAAAGCGTCTTTTATATACAGAGAGAGAGAGAGAGAGAGAGAGAGAGCCAATTTTAAAATTCTCAAAAAGTTAAGTCAGTGATAATAAGATAAGCTTTCCCATATTTAAACTTAAAATAATTTAGCAGGATTGAGGAAATCTAAAAAAAAATAACTATTAGATTTTAAAATTTAAAATTAAGAATTATTATAAAAAATTTTGTTATTTATTTTTCAAATGTAATTATTTTTTATAAGTACAATAACTAATATTGATCTATAAATTTGAAATTTAATAATTATTTTTTATTATTTTTTATTAGTAGTATTAAATAGATTTTTTGTTTGTGATTATCCAATTTTAAAATTTGGAATTGAACTATTAAAAATAATGATATTTTATCTTATCTATGATAATCTCACGGATATCTATGCCTGTGAGGGGGTCATGGGTGGCCCAATCGTGTCACACTCTCCAAACTTGTCATCTCAAATTTGGCTTAAAACCCCTTTGTGATTGGGATGCTGCCTGTGGTTTTGTGCCACGTAGCCTGCTGCTTCATGATCGATGCGGCTATCTGCGTCCTCTGTTTTTTTTTCTGTCAGGATCATGGAGGATGGGCCCCTCTCAGTTAATATCCATTTCCATTGTATTAGTAAGAGTTTATTTATTTATTTATCCTAAAAATGCTTATTCTGATTTATAAATTATAAGTTTAGATGTATATACTGGCTCTGAAAAATTTTAAAAATCCAACTCATTTAAAATTTATAATAAAAAATATTTTCAATTTAGTAATTTTATTATATTTTTTAAACTTACAAATTTAATTATTTGTTATTATTTAATAAAAATTATATTCATTTTGGACATTCTACCGATTAAACTTATTTAATTATAACTCAAACAATTTTTATTTTATAAATTAATTTTAATAAAAATTAATCCAAATACAAATCACATTACTTAATCTCATTTTTCTAAAAGTTAAATTAAAAATAAATTATTTTTTTCTACCGCCAACTTAAAAAGACTCACGACAAATTTTTGAAATTCAATTCATCCGAAATTCATAGTAAAAAAATTATTTGAATTTAGTAATTTTGTTAATATGTTATTATTATGTTTTATGAACATTTGTTTCATGTTCATTATATTGGTGAGAATAAAATTAAAGAACAAACAGTTACATTGAAAACATAATGAATCAAATCATTATTTATATAATAAAAAATTGTTATATAAATAAAAAATCATTATTTATATAACAAAACCCATAATAGATTATATTATTTATAAACAATTAATCATATTTCTATTGGTCAAATCTCATTTTAGCTTGAAATAGTGAGTAATAATTATGATTTACTTAGAAAATAACGATGATAAGAATCATCATCATGTATCGACCATACACACTTTAAAAAGTAAATAATTTATTAAAATTATTATTTTAAAAATAATAAGTAGTGCAACTTGTATCATTTAGAATTGTTTATAAAAAATAAATAATTTATTAAAAATTATTATTTTAAAAATAATAAATAGTGCAACTTGTATCATTTAGAATTGTTTATAAACAGCTTTTAAAAATTTAGCCTACTAGTTGGGAAAAAAAAAACTAGCCTACTGGATTTGCATACATAACAAGAGCGCTACAATATCTAACCCGTCCCCTCCAGAACAGAACAATCTCAGAGAGGCAGAACGGAACTTGTTCAAGCAATGCGTCACCCTTGTTAGCTGCACAATCAATGGAGGCTTCTCTTAACTTCACCACATCGACTATCCTAAAGGCCACTGCGAGGCTTAACTTCTGGTGGTCGAATTTAATAAACATGGTAGCCAATTCAATAAACCAGGAATTTTGTTAGTGCAAGTGAGTTAACTTCCTACTGCGTCAATGAAAATATATATGAATCAGGTGTACAAGGAACTCACGGTTTCACACGCAGCAGGGACAGTTTAATTGTGCCTGAATGATCGGAGAGGATCGTCAGATTCAAAAAAATATGTACCCCCAGGGCCTTCAAAATGATTATCACAAGAAGAAGCACGGGAGCCACAGAGGAATATTTGGTTTAAGTAATAACGAAGCAATCCTTCTCCAGCCTTTCTGATGTTGTTTCCTACTTTGAATTAAACACAATCCTTTGATTGCCATTCAAGTCATTCCAATTCCATCTGCTTTATTCTCCCAGAAGATAGACTCGAGAGGCTATTGCTCTTATATATAATCCCTTCTTACATAGACAAACACACAAACGCAAGGAGTACTTCAACTCAAATTCACCAATTAAATAATTATCGCAGCTAGAAAATTTCATCACTCGACTTTTCAAAAATGCCTTCAGAACAAGTTAGACTGAGCCAATCCGCATCTGCCGAAGCAGAGAAGCACAGGCAACTGGACAGAGAAATCAGGGAGATGGTGTCCGCTATCACTCACCGGGTCACGGATCTCCAAAAATCATCCGGGTCAGGGTCAGCCCAGAATCTGGAGGACGAGGAAGATGACGGAGTGAGGATCATCACCCTGGCGGGGAACAACACCGGCGCCACCCTGCGAAGCGAACTGGGAGAAAAATCAGGTCAATTTCACGGGAGTGAAGAACAGGATGAATTGGATACTTACGTGAACAGCAATTTCCAGGCGATAAACAACTCAATGATGATGGGCGGTAGCTACGAGGCGAACGATCCTGGAGTGTGCTTGGATATCTCGGAATTCACAGGGCCACGATCAGGACACCGTGAGAAGCATGGGAAGAAGGCCAAGAAGGAGAAGAAGAAAGAGAAGGAAGCCGAAGCCTCGTCCTCCGCCTCCTCCACTGAGCAACACCATTCTGGTTGAGATAAATGCTGTGGTTGTGCAGTTCTGAAACTATACGTCCAATTCTTCCTTGAAAAACGCGGGTGGAGCTCGTTGATTTCCCGTTTGCCTCTTCATTGTGTGTTTGTTCCCTCCTCCTTTTTTCCGCACGTAATTGTTATTTTATTTCTGCGCTAATCATGGGTGAAGGAATCGGCTCTTAATTATCATTATAGGTTTGTTACATCATAATAATGGTGTGATGACTAAATAACATTACTTTATTTATTTTGCAGAAATTACAGTTATTCTTACTAATTATGGAAACAAGATTAATTATTCGATAATTTAATATTTTGAATTTTTTTGAAGTAAACTTTTATGTTATATTAAACAACTACAGTACTGTAATTAGGAACAAAATGTTTTCAGAAACATAATTTTATCATTGCCTGTATAGTGTGTTGTTGCTCTTGATTTGTTTCTTGAATATAAAATTTGTAATTCATTTCTGGGAAAGAATTTTCAAAAATTACTGCATCGAATCCTTAATAAGAGAGTTCTTTTAATTTTTATTTTGATTTTAAATATAAGATCTAAATTTATTTTGTCTCTCATATTTATCTATTTTTTTAAAATAGTCCTTATAATAATAGTAGTTCTAACCAATATACTTGATTAGTAAAGATATTTTAGAAAAAAATAATACATATTTATTACTAATAACTAACTTAACTAATTTTTTAATCTATTTAAATTAGTTAATTAGTTCTTATATTGAGGACCCAAGGCAGTATTAAAATAGTATATGTCAATTCAATTTAATATCTAAAAATCATATACTCTGTCAACCAAAAAAATAAAAATCATATACTCTTGAAAAAATACACACACGCACATATTACTATTACACGTTAGAGATGAATTAAATTACCCGGTCAAAAAAAAAAAAACAGAGATTGAACTAAATTAAAGTTATTAGAACAAAGTTTGAGAGACAAGTATACATTACATGACAAATAAATTATCCTAGATTCTCATCTTGACAAACAACATATCCTCGATTCTAACCTTAACAAATATGTAATCTTTTTCTTTAATTATTTTAACGAGTTAAACAGCAAAATATTACTTTTTAAAGTTGGTGCCTTGGTGGGTTAAAACAGCTAAGCTATCTGGTACTTTAATGACTGTATCCGAAGATTTTTGTTTTTTTCACCATACTACACTTCAAGGATATAAATAACCCATCTTTTCCTTAACCTGAAATTACCAACCGATTGTTAATGTAAAAACCAGTTAATTAATTTAAGTAGATTAAAAAATTAATTAAGTCAGTTATTTGAAATAAATAAGTGTTGTCTTTTCTAAAATATTTTTATTAATCAAGTGTATTAGCTACAACTATCGTAATTACAAAGATTACTTTGAGAACAAATGTATAAATATAAAAGAATATATTAAAATCTTATATTTAAGATCAAAATAAATAAAAACTCGTTATTATATTAAGAACATAGTGCTTTATTTGAGGACCATCCTATATTCTTAAAATTCTAAAGCTAGGTTAGTGTGGGGTCGTTCAACAGAGGGAATTAGCATAGGAGCTCTTCCAACTCAAAAGAAAGAAAGAAAGAAAGACTTGGCATTTAGCAGCGCAGATACAATAATTAATTACCTAACTTGGAAACAACTTATCATTTACTGAACAATCAGAATGAGGTTATACGAATAGATATTCCCCCCCCCCCCCCAAAAAAAAGGACGAAACAAATTCATTTAATCATTTTTCCCTTTTTTCCCCAGAGGAATTGCAAAGTTCAAAAATGAAACACCCTGTCAATCACTGGAGACTACGATGTGTTGCATTTGAGGTTCTTGTCCCATGATTTCTCCATCTTGTTGGCATGGCTTAGTCATATTCTCGTGATTTTGCTTTTCCGTGTTCTTACCCCAGAGCAGAATGTACAATCCCCCCATCACCAATATGGATCCCATCAAACTGCAACACCCGACTCAGGCAAAAATCAGTCACATACTTCATAATTGTTCGTTGTAAAAGGCTAAATACGTTTTAAGTCATAATGGTGAGCATATGAGTGGTTATTGTAAGCATTTACCTTCCAACATGAAGGGGCTCGTGCAAGATAGGAATGTCAATCATGGCTGCCATTATCTGAACAAGAGGGCTAAATGATGCAGTGAACACAGGACCCTTTTTCTTCACACACCATGACAGCCCCACAAAACACAAACCAGATCCTACCATCCCCTGCATATCGTACAGAGTTTCATTACTTTGGTCTTTATTACACTATGAAACCTCGATGACCAAAATATATCAGTTTTGTATTTAACACAGGAAAATAAGTACTCACAGAAAACACAACAGTGAGTATTTGCATGTTTCCCTTTAGAATCCATACGGACGAGTGCTGGGAAGTGGACAGGCTAAGAACAGCAGATTGGATGGCCCCAAAGAAGGTCATGATGGCTGTGCTAGAATATTGGCAGGGGTACTTCTTTCCTATTTTTGATTGCAAGAGAAACCAAGAGGACCAAAACAGTGTCCCCACAATCAGAGCTATCACACCAGTGGTCCATCTCTCTGTGTTCCTCGGAGCAGAATTCTGCTTCACTGCAGAAACCATATGACTTGCAGCTGCTGCCTCACTTTGAGAATAATTGAACAAGGGCTTTCCTTTGTACAGTGTCAATAACAATGCTCCTCCAATGCACACCACTGTGCCAAGTATCTTTGCTCTCCCTCTGTTGCATTTTATGTTCACAGTCTCTAACCTGAAGGGGAACAAGCTTCTGAATTAGTTGATTATATGCCTTGAATCTTAATGTTGCATCAACATAATACGTGAACTTATGTGAGTATACTGATGAGTGTATATATATGGAAGGGGAAAGGGGTGTGCCTTTTTGTTCATACCCAAATGGTAGTGCCATGATGAATGTGACCACCGGAACCATGTTAATAAAGGCACATGCGAAAGTAGCAGAGGTGTCTTGGATTCCCAGAAGGTAGAAGTACTGTGTGAGTGATGTCCTGCAAGAAATTATTGATCAAGTGTTACTCCACGAGAAGGTTAGTTTCTTAGCTACACAATAGATCATTTTATGGTAACATGAAGAAAAATGGATTCAGAAAAAAGGAATGCTGAAGTAACAGAAAGTGTATCTGACTAACCCAAATAATGCACTGAGGAAGAGGTAACATAAAATTCGAAAAGTGAGTTTTGGCCGGCCATTTCTGCAAACAAAAGCAAATGGTTATGAGATTTCTGATTTCTCTTCGGGAATTGAGTCCAGAAAACAAAGGAGGCCACAGAATTTGGGGCTACAAGAACGTACCTTTCCCAGAAGAAAGCAATTGGTGCTAAGAAAACGCAAGAAACAGACAAGCGGTATGTGATTATAACCAAAGGGTTCATGCCCTCTTGCAGGACTTTCTTGAGAAGAATATTGACGACAGCGAAAGCGAAATCAATAAACACCATTGCTACAAAAGGTTTCCATGCTTCAGAATTCATCTTCATGCTCAAGGGCCGAGTGCGAAGCTATAGGATGTTACAGAAGCCTTCGTCCTTTCCTTTATCTTTCTCTTTAGCAGAAAAAGTTATGAGATGCAATGGAGAGTGAGGTGAAGAAGCTTTTATATTGACAAAAGAAGGCAAGATTAAACACAGCGAATCACAGCAAACACAAAAAGAAACCAACTTTAACTATAATTATGCTCTTGCCTTTTGCTTTATTAAGACTAATGATCCTGCTCAACATGGACATAATTGGAGAACCTTTTCCCAGGATCGTAGAAAATACATTTAATAAGCTGGTTCAAAACCCGTGTACCTAATATCATTGGCCTTAATTAGGCCATGAGTTTTGCGTTGCAGGGCATTAACGCAGGATTAGGATTCTGTATTCTTAAACCATGTATGATTATAGGTGGCAAGAATATTATAGCTAAGAGTGTATAAAAAAACGGGACACTTTTCCTCTCTTAATTAACATGGCATCTAATACTTTCATGGTCATATCTCCAAATAGCACACCAGACACATTTTTCACATCTGATGCAAAACCCGGAACAAAATGTCAGATCTGGGTGCAGAAGAAGAAGAAGCTAGAAGAAGCAGGAAAACAGGAAATCAGCAGTGGAGACTTTTTCCTACTGTAGTGTACGAGATAAGGCCTGTAACTCTGGGGTTTATATAACCTGTGTGATTCTGATTCATCTCTAATGTCTAATGTCTTCCTTTAAGTCACCTGATGTGATTTTGTGTGGTGACTGATGTTGGTCGATAAATGGAAATTAGTACATTTCGAATGTAGGAAAGCTATAAATTGATAAATTCTTAGAATGAAATTATATTAATTTTCAATTGAAAATATAAAATTTTCCCAGGAATGTATATCTTCTGATAAGTAAAAGTTGTATCCTCAGAGATATTTTGGTGATCTCATTTCGTTATCAAGTTCAATATTAAAGATAGAATTTTGTGATTTAAATATATATCTCTAAGAAAACTAAGTTTCCAAATAAACTTGATTTTTCAAACATTAAGTGAATACACATCGTGTCCCTGAGGCTAGCTCCTAAGAGTGGGATATAAATAGAAATTAAGAGTTATTTTTTCTAATATAATATGAATTTTGGGGAGCGTACTTATTAGGAGGATTTTAACATTAATGCTCCTAATCCAACAAAACTTTAGGGACATTCTGACTTCCACCCAAAAAAAAAAAAATAAGTGAACCAATCCTTAATGAATTTTGTCCCTCCCGAATATATAATCCTTTGGCTCTACAATTTTTCCACGTGTAAAATCATTTTGATGTCTAAAGCAGCCATTACTATATACATGTATGGGACCAATTTTTACGAAGTATTTGAATAGAAATCAAATCATGGTTTTAAAAATAATTTTATAGTACATAAAATAAGAGTTAGAAAAATTGTATTTCAATTTACATAAAAATACTTTTTTAAAAGTGTTTTTAGATTTAATCTGGATTATCTTTGGGTGGGGATTATGATATTGAGAGTCCAAGCTGTTCGGGTTTCAGCTTTTCTGCAACATTATGCAGCATTCTTCACCTGATATGTTTCTCATTATTCTTTATGAATACCGAGATGTCTGTGGCATAACAAGGACCGTTCATTTTTATTAAAAGATCATTTAGCATATAATCGCTCAAAAATTTATATTCTGAAACACGTTGATATATACTGATGAAAAAGGGCTTGAAGCATACGAGAACCCTTCTCCGCTAACCAT